GTTTTGTTGAGGTTGAAACCAGCTTCATCAATGTAGATGAATTCATGTAGTTGTACAGCTCCATCCATGTCCAAGATTCTCTGCAACAACAAAATACATAGCATGAATGGCTGGCATTACTCAAAACACAGTACTACACACACAGAGTCACACCCCTCCCTACAACACAGTACTACACACACAGAGTCACACCCCTCCCTACAACACAGTACTACACACACAGAGTCACACCCCTCCCTACAACACAGTACTACACACACAGAGTCACACCCCTCCCTACAACACAAACACACCAGTGCCTTTTTCCCTCTTTGCATGTATGTGGTACTGGTACAATGGCACAGCTATTACTGTAATGAATTACATAAATTGCAATACAGTAAAAGACTGCAAAACTTACTTGTACATATTCTTGTCGAAGTCTTATGACCCTGACACTGTTCCTCTCAAACGGGACCCTGTACAACTGCTTCATTGTCAGTTGGTGCTTTGCCAAGACACGTCCAATCGTGGTGAGGCTTACTTCATTGATGTTTACAAATACTTGCCCATCTGCAATAATCTTTTGTTGTAGCTGGCGGAGAGAGATTGCGTTGTTTTCTCTGACAATTTCTACAATGGCAAGTTCCTGCAGTTGAGTGAACATGTGTTGCCGACCCCCTCCAAAAGGTCCTCTAGTCATTCTGTAGAAATATACAACCACAAATTGTGACTACGGGTTTAGTTATTTTTTACAGCACTGTATACTGTTCACAGTACTGTGACATCTCAATGGTACAGTGCTATGTACCAAGCTAACTTGAAATACAGTACATGTGATACGGTAAAGTACTGTAAATACTGTAGATGCTGTAAATACAGTAAAGAGTTGGAGACATACCTGTTTTCCAGTCTGAAGGTCCTTATGATGGATGCAACTGTGAACCGGCTCAGGTGTGGGTGGACTCTCTGGCCAGCTTCCCTCATTGTGAGGCCATGATTGATGACATGATCAACCAATGTTGCTCTAATATCATCAGATATAATGTTTTGTACATGGCCTCTTCGACCACGTCCTCCTCCTCTTGCTCCTTGTCTTCCTCTTCCTCTTCCTCTTGCTCTTCCTGCCTCCTCCATACTTGCAAAGTTCTAAAGAAGGCTGAAATGAGGCCCATTTATGTCTGACTGATGTGTGTCACGTTTTGTAAGTAAGTGTTTTCAGGTGTGTGTCTGAGTGTTTTCAATCACACAGTGTGTTTGGTATTTTGAATAGATGTGTTTTCCCAATGATAAACACAGGATTGCATTTATGAACAAAGTGTCTTATGTATGACAGTGTGTAGTGAGCATGAGAAAGTGTGTTGCAGAAAGAGAAAGTGTGTTGTAGAAATGAAAGTAGAGTGCAAAGCAGTACTTTTGTTTAAGCAATGGTCAGTCTGTGTTTTAGGTTTAGAACAAAAGTTTCAGGTTCTGTAACTTTGGTCTAAGCGTCTGTCTATAGTGTTCAAGCAACAGGAAAAAACTGTAACATCAGAATTAAATTAAAACAGACAGACAGACACACAGACAGACAGACACACAGACAGACAGACACACAGACAGACAGACAGACAGACACACAGACAGACAGACAGACAGACACACAGACAGACAGACATACAGACAGACAGACAGACACACAGACAGACAGACACACAGACAGACAGACACACAGACAGACAGACAGACACACAGACAGACAGACAGACACACAGACAGACAGACATACAGACAGACACACAGACAGACAGACACACAGACAGACAGACACACAGACAGACAGACAGACACACAGACAGACAGACACACAGACAGACAGACAGACACACAGACAGACAGACACACAGACAGACAGACAGACACACAGACAGACAGACATACAGACAGACAGACAGACAGACAGACAGACAGACACACACACAGACAGACACACAGACAGACAGACACACACACAGACAGACACACACACAGACAGACACACAGACAGACAGACAGACACACAGACAGACAGACAGACACACAGACAGACAGACATACAGACAGACAGACAGACAGACAGACAGACAGACACACAGACAGACAGACACACAGACAGACAGACAGACACACAGACAGACAGACAGACAGACATACAGACAGACAGACAGACATACAGACAGACAGACAGACACACACACAGACAGTCACATGTCATAGTATGTAACATGAGCTTATGTGACATACTTGTCCCTATTCAAATAAACTTAAATAAATAAAAATAAAACATACAGACAGACAGACACACAGACAGACAGACAGACACACAGACAGACAGACAGACAGACAGACATACAGACAGACAGACAGACAGACATACAGAGAGACAGACAGACACACAGACAGACAGACAGACAGACATACAGACAGACAGACAGACAGACATACAGACAGACAGACAGACAGACAGACACACAGACAGACAGACAGACAGACAGACAGACAGACAGACAGACAGACAGACAGACAGACAGACAGACAGACAGACAGACAGACAGACAGACAGACAGACAGACAGACAGACAGACAGACAGACAGACAGACAGACAGACAGACAGACAGACAGACAGACAGACAGACAGACATACAGACAGACAGACAGACATACAGACAGACAGACAGACAGACAGACAGACAGACAGACAGACAGACAGACAGACAGACAGACAGACAGACAGACAGACATACACACACACAGACACACAGACAGACAGACAGACACACAGACAGACAGACAGACACTGATCTAAACAAGTGTTAATGACAACCTTAAAATAAATAAATAATTATAAGTATAATAACTAAAAAACATTTCCTAAGTCTGTCAACACAATAGTCATAGCTACACACAGCCACACACAATAACACACAGTAACACATAGTTACACACAGTTACACACAGTTACACAAAGTGACACACACTGACACAAAGTGACACACGGCTACACACAGTTACACACAGCTACACAAAGTGACACACAGTTACACACACAGTTATACAGTTACACAAAGTGACACACAGTGACACAAAGTGACACACAGCTACACACAGCTACACACAGTGACAGTTGGTTGTTGGAGAATTGTATTTTTTATGGTTTTGGCCTGAGGCGAAACAGGCGCGAGGCCGAGAGCACACAGGAGTGTCGCCCTCTGGTGGCCGCTGAGAGTACTGCGTTATCTGTCTCATCTGGACACACTACACTTCCTCTGACTGAGCTGAGGGAGAGGGTGAGAGAGGGGGAGAGGAAGAGAGGGAGAGGAAGAGAGGGAGAGTAGAAGAGAGGGAGAGTGGAAGAGAGGAAGAGAGGGAGAGTGGAAGAGAGGGAGAGAGGAAGAGAGGAAGAGAGGAAGAGAGGAAGAGAGGGAGAGTGGAAGAGAGGGAGAGAGGAAGAGAGGGAGAGTGGAAGAGAGGGGGAGAGGAAGAGAGGGAGAGTAGAAGAGAGGGAGAGTGGAAGAGAGGGAGAGAGGAAGAGAGGGAGAGTGGAAGAGAGGAAGAGAGGGAGAGTGGAAGAGAGGGAGAGAGGAAGAGAGTGGAAGAGAGGGAGAGTGGAAGAGAGAGGGAGAGAGGGTGAGAGGAAAAGAGGGAGAGGATGAGAGAGACACACTGGTGATAAACTTCTGTAGCCACAGCTGCCCTGGGGCGCACTGGCAGAAGCGAGGCCCCTCCCACCAGTAACTTTAGGTGCATTACTCAGTAAAGTGTGAAAGTACTGATCTGAATCTGCTGCTGACTTAAAAACACTTTATCTCGTGTTTACTTCCTGTGACACACAGTTTTACTTCCTGGAACAAAACCAAAAATACCAAACACAGACTGACAGAAGCAGCGAAGGCCAAAGGTTTTATTAACATCAGAATTAAATTAAAACACTGCACTTGCTTCAAAACATAAAACACAGCAGAGACGTTTGGGTGTTAGTGGCAGGAAGTAAAGCTGGGGGACGTAACTTTCAAACACTCAAACCGCATCAATGGTCCTGGGCTGGTTCTGGACTGGTCCTAGACTGGGTCTGGGCTGGTCCTGGGCTGGTTCTAGTGTGGTCCTGGACTGGTCCTGCACTGGTGTGGTCCTGGGCTAGCCCAGCAATGGTTCTGGACTGATCCTGGGCTGGTCCTGAACTGGTCCAGTGCTGGTCCTGGGCTGGTCCTGGATTGGTCCTGGACTGGTCCTGGGCTAGTTCTGGACAGGTCCTAAACTGGCCCTGAACTGGTCCTAGACTAATCCTGGACTGATCCTGATCTGGTCCTATGTCAGCTGGGAGCCAGTGCCAGTTACCATAGAAACACACTGTTTACTGGCAGCAGTTAGCTTTACTTTTGCTGTATTTCATTCATATTAACCAGTTTTAACTTGTGTTAAAAACAAAAACTGAATAATTTAGGACTAATGAACAGTTAGAACAATTTAAATGAAATATATATAATATATAAAAATGAAGTCTTTCTGAGCAGAGACGACCTGATGACTGACACATGTCTCCATGACGACCTGATGACCGACACATGATTACAAACAGGCGTTTATCTCCTGTCACTTCCTTTGGGTTGGTTTTATTTTAACGGAAACTGCATTTTCTTTTTTAGTCAGAAATGTCAGAACTTCTCCATTTTAAGTTTTTAAATGTCAGGTTTTTTTGCTTCCACGGATTTGAGTCTGGGACCATGTGACCTCCCCCCTCACTAACACTGGGACCATGTGACCTCCTCCCTCACTAACACTGGGACCATGTGACCTCCCCCCTCACTAACACTGGGACCATGTGAACACTGGACATGTGACATCACAAAGCGGGGGCTGGGGAGGCTCAGATTCAGATTCAGATTCATTTATTTGCCATTTGCAGTAAAACCACATTGGAAAAACTGTGCAAGACTACCCCGGTGTGCACCAACACACCAGAGCTCTTGCCACGGCGCCATCTTTACGGCGCCATGCGACAAGCTCAGGCCAAGGACTGTTTCTTCTCCACGTGGATGGTCTCGTACGTGTCGACGCCGGGAGCAGACAGTTCCTACAAACAGAGAACGGACTGTGAGAGGGTCTGCTGGACCCGGGACTCTGGACCCTGGACTCTGGACCCTGGACTCTGGACCCTGGACTCTGGACCCTGGACTCTGGACCCTGGACTCTGGACCCTGGACTCTGGACCCTGGACTCTGGCCCCTGGACTCTGGCCCCTGGACTCTGGGCCCTGGACTCTGGCCCCTGGACTCTGGCCCTGGACTCTGGCCCTGGACTCTGGACCTAGACTCTGGACCTAGACTCTGGCCCTGGACTCTGGCCCTGGACTCTGGCCCTGGACTCTGGCCCTGGACTCTGGACCCTGGACTCTGGACCCTGGACTCTGGACCCTGGACTCTGGACCCTGGACTCTGGACCCTGGACTCTGGACTCTGGACTCTGGACCCTGGACTCTGGCCCTGGCCCTAGACCATTTAAAGAGAACAGAGAGATGTCTGACCACATAGATTTGTCCTGGAGCTTGTTTCTGCAACGACAGGAAGAAAAAAACATATGTGTTACTTCATACTTTACTCATCTGTGCAATAATCATTTAAACTAACGTCAAAATGTGCAATAATCATTTAAACTAACGTCAGAATGTGCAATAATCATTTAGACTAACGTCAGAATGTGCAATAATCATTTAAACTAACGTCAAAATGTGCAATAATCATTTAAACTAACGTCAGAATGTGCAATAATCATTTAGACTAACGTCAGAATGTGCAATAATCATTTAAACTACAGTCAGAATGTGCAATAATTATTTAAACTAACGTCAAAATGTGCAATAATCATTTAAACTAAAGTCAGAATGTGCAATAATCATTTAAACTAACGTCAGAATGTGCAATAATCATTTAAACTAACATCAGAATGTGCAATAATCATTTAAACTACAGTCAGAATGTGCAATAATCATTTAAACTAAAATCAGAATGTGCAATAATCATTTAAACTAAAATCAGAATGTGCAATAATCATTTAAACTAAAATCAGAATGTGCAATAATCATTTAAACTAACGTCAGAATGTGCGATAATCATTTAAACTAACGTCAGAATGTGCAATAATCATTTAAACTAACGTCAGAATGTGCAATAATCATTTAAACTAAAATCAGAATGTGCAATAATCATTTAAACTAAAATCAGAATGTGCAATAATCATTTAAACTAACGTCAGAATGTGCAATAATCATTTAAACTAACGTCAGAATGTAAGTAAGTAAGTTTTTATTTATATACCGCCTTTTCACTGCAGATCTGAGTCTCAAAGCGGTTTACAATTGTTAATTTTGGGCATTTGTATCTCACTCCACACAGAGATGGGAGCGGGGCCAGTACAGGAGGCACATGCCAGACCTATTGGACATATTTTTAGTGGTAGGGGAAACCGGAGTACCCGGAGGAAACCTACGCAGACACGGGGAGAACATGCAAACTCCACTCAGAAAGGCCCTGGTCCGACCGGGATTCGAACCCAGGACCTTCTTGCTGAGAGGCGAGAGTGCTATCCACTCAGCCACCGTGCCGCCCACGGTGTAGTTTAGATGATTATGTGCAATAATCATTTAAACTACAGTCAGAATGTGCAATAATTATTTAAACTAAAATCAGAATGTGCAATAATCATTTAAACAAAAATCAGAATGTGCAATAATCATTTAAACAAAAATCAGAATGTGCAATAATCATTTAAACTAAAATCAGAATGTGCAATAATCATTTAAACTAAAATCAGAATGTGCAATAATCATTTAAACTAACGTCAGAATGTGCAATAATCATTTAAACTAAAATCAGAATGTGCAATAATCATTTAAACTAAAATCAGAATGTGCAATAATCATTTAAACTAAAATCAGAATGTGAGATAATCATTTAAACTAAAATCAGAATGTGCAATAATCATTTAAACTAAAATCAGAATGTGCAATAATCATTTAAACAAAATCAGAATGTGCAATAATCATTTAAACTAACGTCAGAATGTGCAATAATCATTTAAACTAACGTCAGAATGTGCAATAATCATTTAAACTAACGTCAGAATGTGCAATAATCATTTAAACTAACGTCAGAATGTGCAATAATCATTTAAACTAACGTCAGAATGTGCAATAATCATTTAAACTAACGTCAGAATGTGCAATAATCATTTAAACTAACGTCAGAATGTGCAATAATCATTTAAACTAACGTCAGAATGTGCAATACAGAACCACATGTGTCACTGTCTCTTTTCTGAGTCACTTTGTCCCATTAATTCTGACATTATTCAAACTATTATTGCTCAGGTGTGTGTGTGTGTGTGTGTGTGTGTGTGTGTGTGTGTGTGTGTGTGTGTGTGTGTGTGTGTGTGTGTGTGTGTGTGTGTGTGTGTGTGTGTGTGTGTGTGTGTGTGTGTGTGTGTGTCACTATTTGACCTTTGAGTTACTTCATCGTTCTACTACTCTCTAGTGCTTTGGCGATTAGCTTTAGCATTAGCATTAGCTTTAGCACTAGCTTTAGCTGTTCACTGATTCAAAGTAATGAGTTTAGTTTAGAGAAAGAGGAAGTGGCAGAGACAGTGACACAAGTGTGTGGAAAGTCAGATATAAATAACTGTGGTCAGAGAGAGACCAGAGGAACCAGACCAGAGGAACCGGACCAGAGGAACCAGACCAGAGGAACCGGACCAGAGGAACCGGACCAGAGGAACCAGACCAGAGGAACCGGACCAGAGGAACCGGACCAGAGGAACCGGACCAGAGGAACCAGACCAGGGGAACCAGACCAGAGGAACCAGACCAAAGGAACCAGAGGAACCAGAGGAACCGGACCAGAGGAACCAGACCAGGGGAACCAGACCAGAGGAACCAGACCAGAGGAACCGGACCAGAGGAACCGGACCAGAGGAACCAGACCAGAGGAACCGGACCAGAGGAACCGGACCAGAGGAACCAGACCAGAGGAACCGGACCAGAGGAACCGGACCAGAGGAACCAGACCAGAGGAACCGGACCAGAGGAACCGGACCAGAGGAACCAGAGGAACCGGACCAGAGGAACCAGACCAGAGGAACCGGACCAGAGGATCCAGACCAGAGGAACCGGACCAGAGGAACCAGACCAGAGGAACCGGACCAGAGGAACCGGACCAGAGGAACCAGACCAGAGGAACCGGACCAGAGGAACCGGACCAGAGGAACCAGACCAGAGGAACCGGACCAGAGGAACCGGACCAGAGGAACCAGACCAGAGGAACCGGACCAGAGGAACCAGACCAGAGGAACCAGAGGAACCAGAGGAACCGGACCAGAGGAACCAGACCAGGGGAACCAGACCAGAGGAACCAGACCAAAGGAACCAGAGGAACCAGAGGAACCGGACCAGAGGAACCAGACCAGAGGGACCGGACCAGAGGAACCGGACCAGAGGAACCAGACCAGGGGAACCAGACCAGAGGAACCAGACCAGGGGAACCAGACCAGAGGAACCAGACCAGGGGAACCAGACCAGAGGGACCAGACCAGAGGAACCAGACCAGAGGAACCAGACCAGAGGAACCAGACCAGGGGAACCAGACCAGAGGAACCAGACCAGAGGAACCAGACCAGAGGAACCAGACCAGGGGAACCAGAGGAACCAGACCAGGGGAACCAGAGGAACCAGACAAGGGCCGTACCTCAGGGCAGCTGCTGGCGTATGAGTCCTTTAAGTGCTGGATCTGAGAGAAAAACAAAAATCTTGTTTAAACTAAATTATAAACATTTACAATAAAACTTCTTGTATCTGGGTTTTTTCAGATTAAGATTATTCAAATCTCAAACTTTAGCACAGTAAAGCTGCAACACGGGGCCAGAGAGAGACCAGAGAGAGAGAGAGAGAGACCAGAGAGAGACCAGAGAGACCAGAGAGAGACCAGAGAGAGACCAGAGAGACCAGAGAGAGACCAGAGAGAGATCAGAGAGAGACCAGAGAGACCAGAGAGGGAGACCAGAGAGAGACCAGAGAGAGACCAGAGAGAGACCAGAGAGAGACCAGAGAGAGACCAGAGAGAGATCAGAGAGATATCAGAAAGAGACCATAGAGAGACCAGAGAGAGACCAGAGAGAGACCAGAGAGAAACTAGAGAGAAACTAGAGAGAAACTAGAGAGAGACCAGAGAGAGACCAGAGAGAGACCAGAGAGACCAGAGAGAGACCAGAGAGAAACTAGAGAGAGACCAGAGAGAGACCAGAGAGAGACCAGAGACAGAGAGAGAGAGAGACAGAGAGAGAGAGAGAGAGAGAGACAGAGAGAGAGCAGAGACAGAGAGAGAGAACCCTTAAACTGGTCTCAGTCTGGTCCTGGCCCAGATGGACTTGGTCTTTGGTCTTGGTTCCAAGCGTGGGTCTGACCTTGAGTCTGCCGTAGAGGACGGTGAGGATGAGGCCGTAAAGAAGAAGGACCGCATCCAGAATGTAACAGATTTTAATGTCCTCCAACATCTGACACACACACACAGAGACACACACACAGACACACAGAGACACACACACAGACACACACACACACAGACACACACACACACACAGACACACAGAGACACACACACAGACACACAGAGACACACACACAGACACACACACACAGAGAGAGACACACACACAGACACACAGAGACACACACACACAGAGAGAGACACACAGAGACACACACACAGACACACACACACAGAGAGAGACACACAGAGACAAACACACACAGAGACACACACACACACACACACAGACGCACAGACACACACACAGAGAGACACACACACACTTGTTATTCTATTTTCAACATTGTTCCTCATTATAAACAGACCAATCAAAGAAAATAAACAGATCAAAGAAACACAGCAGTAAATAAAGTAAAAAATAATAAAAAACAATAGATAAAATAAAACACATTTGGATCAGTCTCAATCATCTCCAACCAGTCCTGGGTCTACAGCCTCAGTCCTGGGTCTACAGCCTCAGTCCTGGATCTACAGCCTCAGTCCTGGGTCTACAGCCTCAGTCCTGGGTCTACAGCCTCAGTCCCGGGTCTACAGCCTCAGTCCTGGGTCTACAGCCTCAGTCCTGGGTCTACAGCCTCAGTCCTGGATCTACAGCCTCAGTCCTGGGTCTACAGCCTCAGTCCTGGGTCTACAGCCTCAGTCCCGGGTCTACAGCCTCAGTCCTGGGTCTACAGCCTCAGTCCTGGGTCTACAGCCTCAGTCCTGGATCTACAGCCTCAGTCCTGGGTCTACAGCCTCAGTCCTGGATCTACAGCCTCAGTCCTGGATCTACAGCCTCAGTCCTGGGTCTACAGCCTCAGTCCTGGATCTACAGCCTCAGTCCTGGGTCTACAGCCTCAGTCCTGGGTCTACAGCCTCAGTCCCGGGTCTACAGCCTCAGTCCTGGGTCTACAGCCTCAGTCCTGGGTCTACAGCCTCAGTCCTGGATCTACAGCCTCAGTCCTGGGTCTACAGCCTCAGTCCTGGGTCTACAGCCTCAGTCCCGGGTCTACAGCCTCAGTCCTGGGTCTACAGCCTCAGTCCTGGGTCTACAGCCTCAGTCCTGGATCTACAGCCTCAGTCCTGGGTCTACAGCCTCAGTCCTGGATCTACAGCCTCAGTCCTGGATCTACAGCCTCAGTCCTGGGTCTACAGCCTCAGTCCTGGATCTACAGCCTCAGTCTTGGATCTACTCTGGGTCTGCAGTACGGGAAACCGGAGCACCTGGAGGAAACCTGTCCTCAGCTCAATTCATTGTATTTGTGTTTAGCCGTGTTTCAAAGGGAGTAAAAAGAGGTCTGTTTTTTACACAACACTTTCTCTAAAAATACTTTGATTCACTTTTTGTCATTTTCTTGGCTGTAAATGTATAAAAAAGTTTCTGTTTCTGTAAAAAGTCTGATGTCGTTACCTTGTGTCTGATGTCGTTACCTTGTGTCTGATGTCGTTACCTTGTGTCTGATGTCGTTACCTTGTGTCTGAGGCTGGAGCTGGAGCTGGAGAATCGTCGACGGCTGAAGAGAGACTGAAGCAGAAGGAAGTGGATTGTATGTGTATGTCCGAGCCACACACCCACACTTCCTCTACACAACTCACTACACAACAAACAACTCACTACACAACAAACAACTCACTACACAACACAACAAACAACTCACTACACAACTCACATGTTCACACAAAAGTGCAGGTTTATATACAGTGCCTTGCGAAAGTATTCGGCCCCCTTGAACCTTTCAACATTTCGCCACATTTCAGGCTCAAACATAAAGATATGAAATTTTTATTTTTTGTCATGAATCAACAACAAGTGGGACACAATCGTGAAGTGGAACGAAATTTGTTGGATAATTTAAACTTTTTTAACAAATAAAAACTGAAAAGTGGGGCGTGCAATATTATTCGGCCCCTTTACTTTCAGTGCAGCAAACTCAGTCCAGAAGTTCAGTGAGGATCTTTGAATGATCCAATGTTGTCCTAAATGACTGATGATGATAAATAGAATGCATCTGTGTGTAATCAAGTCTCCGTATAAATGCACCTGCTCTTTGATAGTCTCAGGGTTCTGTTTAAAGCGCAGAGAGAACCATGAAGACAAAGGAACACACCAGGCAGGTCCGAGATACTGTTGTGGAGAAGTTTAAAGCCGGATTTGGATACAAAAAGATTTCCCAAGCTTTAAACATCTCAAGGAGCACTGTGCAAGCAATTATATTGAAATGGAAGGAGTATCAGACCACTGCAAATCTACCAAGACCCGGCCGTCCCTCCAAACTTTCATCTCAAACAAGAAGAAGACTGATCAGAGATGCAGCCAAGAGGCCCATGATCACTCTGGATGAACTGCAGATAACTACAGCTGAGGTGGGAGAGTCTGTCCATAGGACAACAATCAGTCGTGCACTGCACAAATCTGGCCTTTATGGAAGTGTGGCAAGAAGAAAGCCATTTCTCAAAGATATCCATAAAAAGTCTCGTTTAAAGATTGCCACAAGCCACCTGGGAGACACACCAAACATGTGGAAGAAGGTGCTCTGGTCAGATGAAACCAAAATTGAACTTTTTGGCCACAATGCAAAACGATATGTTTGGCGTAAAAGCAACACAGCTCATCACCCTGAACACACCATCCCCACTGTCAAACATGGTGGTGGCAGCATCATGCTTTGGGCCTGCTTTTCTTCAGCAGGGACAGGGAAGATAGCTAAAATTGATGGGAAGATGGATGGAGCCAAATACAGGACCATTCTGGAAGAAAACCTGTTGGAGTCTGCAAAAGACCTGAGACTGGGACGGAGATTTATCTTCCAACAGGACAATGATCCAAAACATAAAGCCAAATCTACAATGGAATGGTTCACAAATAGACGTATCCAGGTGTTAGAATGGCCAAGTCAAAGTCCAGACCTGAATCCAATCGAGAATCTGTGGAAAGAGCTGAAGACTGCTGTTCACAAACGCTCTCCATCCAACCTCACTGAGCTCCAGCTGTTTTGCAAGGAAGAATGGGCAAGAATTCCAGTCTCTCGATGTGCAAAACTGATAGAGACAAACCCCAAGCGACTTGCAGCTGTAATTGCAGCAAAAGGTGGCGCTACAAAGTATTAGCGCAAGAGTTTTTTATTTGTTAAAAAAGTTTAAATTATCCAATAAATTTTGTTCCACTTCACGATTGTGTCCCACTTGTTGATTCTTGACAAAAAATTATTTTTTTATATCTTTATGTTTGAAGACTGAAATGTGGCGAAATGTTGCAAGGCACTGTATACAGCATGTTTCACAGACCAATCTCACACCAAGCTCTTTGGTTTTAAAGCTGGGGTATGTAACTTACCCCTAATAAGTAATGCATGAGAGACTAGAGAGAGAGAGAGACAAGAGCAAGAGAGAGAGACTAGAGGGAGAGACTGGAGAGAGAGGCCAGAGAGAGACCAGAGAGAGACCAGAGAAAGAGACCAGAGAAAGAGACCAGAGAGAGACCAGAGAGAGAGACCAGAGAGAGACCAGAGAGAGAGAGAGAGACCAGAGAGAGAGACCAGAGAGAGACCAGAGAGAGACCAGAGAGAGAGAGCAGCAGCTACACCACCTCTGCTGCTGTTGTACTTTATTCTAAAAGTGACTAATAATAATAATAATAATAATAATCTTCTTGATGTAGAAATGTTCTGAAATTCAAAATGGCAGCCACACTCCGTCAGTCTGCCCCGAGGCTTCTGCGCCAAACCCAAGAATCCACTGGAGCAAAAATACAAAGATATGTTTTTATTGTGAAGCAGCTCAGAACAGGCTGCGGCCACTCGTAATCAGAGAAATACCAAAACAACAGACTTTTCCACAAAAACACATAAATTAGGCACAAAAGTTATTATTGTTTCAGAAGAAAAAGGCATCGGTCCAAACGTGTCACCGCTGTTCGTATGTGTTCACATGAAACCACTGGAGACGAGAGAGAGCAGAGAGAGAGAGAGACACAGAGAGAGACCAGAGAGAGAGAGAGAGACACACAGAGAGAGACCAGAGAGAGAGAGAGAAAGACACACAGAGAGAGACCAGAGAGAGAGAGAGACCAGAGAGAGAGACCAGAGAGAGAGCGAGAGACACAGAGAGAGAGACCAGAGAGAGTAGAGGGAGAGCAGAGAGAGAGAGAGTAGCGAGAGAGTAGAGAGAGAGTAGAGAGAGACCAGAGAGAGAGAGACAGAGAGAGACCTGAGAGAGACCAGAGAGAGAGAGACCAGAGAGCAGAGAGAGAGACCAGAGAGAGAGCGAGAGAGAGAGCGAGAGACAGAGAGAGAGAGACCAGAGAGAGACCAGAGAGAGAGACCAGAGAGACCAGAGAGCAGAGAGAGAGACCAGAGTGAGAGCGAGAGAGAGCGAGAGACAGAGAGAGAGAGACCAGAGAGAGAGACCAGAGAGAGAGACCAGAGAGAGACACAGAGAGAGAGACCAGAGAGAGAGACCAGAGAGAGAGAGACCAGAGAGAGACACAGAGAGAGAGACCAGAGATAAAGACTAGAGAGAGAGAGACCTGAGAGTGAGAAAAGAAAGAAACCAGAGTCTCTCTTTCTAGTGGTGAGAGGAGGAATTGATTCTGTTCAGTATTGCGATACTTTTATGCACACGATTAAATCACTACAGTCGAGAATCTGTTTAACTTGTGTTTTCTGAGTTTCTGAGGTTTATGTGATTCTGTGATAAAAGCTTTGAAGATATCACAGAATCACGTCTGTATGAGTTAAGAATCGCGATATGTTCAGAATCACGATATGTTAAGAATCGCGATATGTTAAGAATCACGATATGTTAAGAATCAGGATATGTTAAGAATCGCGATATGTTAAGAATCACGATATGTTAAGAATCAGGATATGTTAAGAATCGCGATATGTTAAGAATCAGGATATGTTAAGAATCAGGATATGTTAAGAATCGCGATATGTTAAGAATCGCGATATGTTAAGAATCGCGATATGTTAAGAATCGCGATATTATTGAATTGTGGCTCAAATATCGCAATACTATCGAATCCTCACAGTTTTGAATGTTCTGCCTCTACATGTTCTGTCTCCGTGACTCCAGAGACGTGAAGACTTTAAACCTCAGAACAGGTCCAAAGTCGAAGCTTCAGTCACTTTTCAGAATCAGAAATCACAACTGACACGAGACCGTAGCTGCCGAGTTCGTTGCATCCAAAAAAGGTCCGACAAAAACCCACGATTTCAGCATTATTCAGGCTTTTTAGGGTTTTGTCCTTAAATAAAACAGACTCTGGCCTTTTGCAGCAAGTAAAAATACATTTATATTTGCAAAGAAATGGACTTAAACAGGTCCATAAAGGTAAACAGGTGCAAATGTGATTAAAAAACTAGATATTATTGTGGTTGTGACAGTACAGGGTTTGAAATGAGAGAAATTGTGGTATTTTTCTGTCTTTGATTCACTTTTTTTCACTTTATTATTATTATTATTATTGTTACAGTGTTGCTGCTGAGCTGATTTAAGGTTAGCATAATATTTCCAGCGTCTGTCTCACAGTGTTGCTTCAGCTGAGGCGGCTGTTTGTCCATTTGCAGTCAGAGAGGAGTCAGCAGCAGTGATGTCATCCAGTGGAAGTCAAAGAGGAAGAAGAAGAAGAAGTTCCTCTTTCGAAAAACAAGGCGTCCATTTTGAATCTAAAAATCTCCTCTGAGCTGCTACATTTCTCTCCGACCGTTTTACAAAATAGTCTTCAAACGTGATACAAAAAGTCACAAAGGCATCCGTCGTTAGTGTTGGCCCGGTACTTGTCCTACAGTCTGACAGTAGAGGGCCGTAAAGCTTCCGGAACGTTTTGCAAACTCAGTGAAACCATGCTCCATTGTCTTGATAAAGCTCTGGGATTTTATGACTCGATTCCAGCCGTAATCTGTGTTTTTAAATCTGTAGTGTGTCCAGGGAGCCGGCTGGATTAGAGAGCAGCCACAGGGACAGAACGATCCACGGACTGAATCTGTTTACTGATCTTGGTTTGAGGAGTGTTGTTGAGGGGGGGGCTCAGAGGACTGCAGGGGCAAGGAGGATTCTGGGTCGGATAAAGTGGAAGAGAATGGACAGAGTAGTTTTGTGTTGTACGTCTCACCAAGAGAAGTCTAATACCTCTGGGGTATGTTTTAATGTGAGAGGAAGACGCTACCTAGCATGCTACGTGCTAACAACCATTTTCTAAAAAACTGGTCATAACTGGTCCATCATTACTGGTCCGTCATCATAACTGGTCCGTCATCATAACTGGTCCGTCATCATAACTGGTCCGTCATCATAACTGGTCCGTCATCATAACTGGTCCGCCATCATAACTGGTCCGCCATAACTGGTCCATCATCATAACTCGTCCGTCATAACTGGTCCATCATCATAACTCGTCCGTCATAACTGGTCCATCATCATAACTCGTCCGTCATAACTGGTCCATCATCATAACTCGTCCGTCATAACTGGTCCGTCATAACTTGTCCGTCATAACTGGTCCGTCATCATAACTGAACCATCATAACTGGTCCGTCATAACTGGTCCGTAATGATAACTGGTCCATCATCATAACTGGTCCGTCATCATAACTGAACCATCATAACTGGTCCGTAATGATAACTGGTCCATCATCATAACTCGTCCGTCATAACTGGTCCGTCATAACTGGTCCGTCATCATAACTGGTCTGTCATAACTGGCCCATCATCATAACTGAACCATCATAACTGGTCCGTCATCATAACTGGTCCGCCATAACTGGTCCGTCATCATAACTGGTCCGTCATAACTGGTCCGTCATCATAACTGAACCATCATAACTGGTCCGTAATGATAACTGGTCCATCATCATAACTCGTCCGTCATAACTGGTCCGTCATCATAACTGGTCTGTCATAACTGGCCCATCATCATAACTGAACCATCATAACTGGTCCGTCATCATAACTGGTCCGTCATAACTGGTCCGTCATCATAACTGGTCTGTCATAACTGGCCCATCATCATAACTGAACCATCATAACTGGTCCGTCATCATAACTGGTCCGCCATAACTGGTCCGTCATCATAACTGGTCCGTCATAACTGGTCCGTCATCATAACTGGTCCGTCATCATAACTGGTCAGTCACAACTGGTCCGACCCTTCATCAGCACTTCTCAAACCAAGCCTTCAGCCTCTCCTGCGGGTCTTCACACCGAGGTCTCGCTCTGCAGCCGCATCACAAAGCGGTGAGACTTGGGGTCCACAAACTCCTCCCCCAGCTGCAGGAAGGGGAGGGGCGTAACCGTGACGACCAGCGAGTAGTCCTGGCGCCGCAGGGAGAAGACCTGACCCGGCCGCAGGGCAGAGGTCACGGGCTCCTCGCTCACCAGAGTCCACTGCCGCCCCCTGTCTGTGCTGCTCTGGTACTGCAGCGTGGGGCCGGCACACAGGTACCGCTCCAGGAAGGCCTGAGGAGAGAGACACCAGGAGAGAGAGACCATCAGAGAGACCATCAGAGACACCAGGAGAGAGACCATCAGAGAGACAGGGGATCAGGAGAGAGACCATCAGAGAGACCATCAGAGAGACCATGACCAGATAGAGAGATAGATAGAGAGATAGATAGGTAGAGATAGATAGATAGATAGAGAGATAGATAGGTAGAGATAGATAGATAGATAGAGAGATAGATAGATAGAGAGATAGATAGATAGACAGAGAGATAGAGAGATAGAGATAGATAGAGAGATAGAGATAGAGAGATAGATAGATAGATAGACAGAGAGATAGAGAGATAGAGAGATAGATAGATAGATAGACAGAGAGATAGAGAGATAGATAGATAGAGAGATAGAGAGATAGAGATAGATAGAGAGATAGAGATAGATAGAGAGATAGATAGATAGATAGAGAGATAGAGATAGATAGAGAGATAGATAGAGAGATAGATAAATAGATAGATAGATAGAGATAGATAGAGAGATAGAGAGATAGATATATAGATAGATAGATAGATAGATAGATAGATAGAGAGATAGAGAGATAGATAGATAGACAGAGAGATAGAGATAGATAGAGATAGACAGAGAGATAGAGAGATAGATAAATAGAGAGATAGCAGTCTGACCTTGGGCGTCATGTTGTGAGTGATGCAGAACTGCAGGTGGGTCAGGATGTTCTCCATGCTGTGGAAGGCCTGCTGCCGGGTGGTCCTCAGGTACTTCTGCATGGCCCTCGCCATCGGGGCGAAGATGGCCTGGGCCGCCTCCCGGGGGTCCATCACCTCCCTGGGGTGTTTGGGGGACGAGGAGGACGACTCATCCTCCTGGAGCCGTCTGATGTGAGTGAAGGCCTCCTCCACCGCCACCACCAGCCTGCAGGGGGCGCAAGAGGCATCAGAGACCAAGATGGATCATGTGTTTCCCCGGGACGATAAAGGCAGAGAGCTACTCCTTTAAACACCCTGGGAATGTTTTTGTGTGATATATTTTGTTTTGAAGGAGCCTGATATTGGGTACAGTTATTATTTGTTACTAGTGACAAAGTAAATAATAATAATGAATGATACCATCTGAAATATTAAGTATAATATTTGATTTGATTCATTTCTAAATCCTTTGGCGAGCTACCTGGAAGGGGATGGCAAGCTACAGGTTAGAGACCCCCGATATAGATGGATGATGCTAACACAGCTCAATGAAGCTCATTAGGGAAGGGCTCATGGACAAAGTTTAGCTCCAACTCGCCGTTCTCATGAAGGTGAAAAAGCTTTGAAGCAGAGACAGAAGCACAGAGGGTCTGGCAGGGAGGGGGTTCAGACAGGACGGGGTCTGACAGGGCGGGGTCTGACAGGGCGGGGTCTGACAGGGCGGGGTCTGACAGGGCGGAGTCTGACAGGGGGGGTCTGACAGGGCGGGGTCTGACAGGGTGGGGTCTGACACAGGGCGGGGTCTGACAGGGCGGGGTCTGACAGGGCGGGGTCTGACAGGGTGGGTCTGACAGGGCGGGGTCTGACAGGGTGGGGTCTGACAGGGTGGGGTCTGACAGGGCGGGGTCTGACAGGGCGGGGTCTGACAGGGCGGGGTCTGACAGGGTGGGGTCTGACAGGGCGGGGTCTGACAGGGTGGGGTCTGACAGGGTGGGGTCTGACAGGGCGGGGTCTGACAGGGCGGGGTCTGACAGGGCGGGGTCTGACAGGGCGGGGTCTGACAGGGCGGGGTCTGACAGGGCGGGGTCTGACAGGGCGGAGTCTGACAGGGGGGGTCTGACAGGGCGGGGTCTGACAGGGTGGGGTCTGACAGGGCGGGGTCTGACAGGGCGGGGTCTGACAGGGCGGGGTCTGACAGGGCGGGGTCTGACAGGGCGGGGTCTGACAGGGGGGGGTCTGACAGGGCGGGGTCTGACAGGGTGGGGTCTGACAGGGCGGGGTCTGACAGGGCGGGGTCTGACAGGGCGGGGTCTGACAGGGCGGGGTCTGACAGGAAGGGGTCTGACAGGGCGGAGTCTGACAGGGGGGGTCTGACAGGGCGGGGTCTGACAGGAAGGGGTCTGACAGGGCGGAGTCTGACAGGGGGGGTCTGACAGGGCGGGGTCTGACAGGGTGGGGTCTGACAGGAAGGGGTCTGACAGGGCGGGGTCTGACAGGGCGGGGTCTGACAGGGCGGAGTCTGACAGGACGGGGTCTGACAGGACGGGGTCTGACAGGACGGGGTCTGACAGGGCGGGGTCTGACAGGGGGGGGTCTGACAGGGGGGGGTCTGACAGGGCGGAGTCTGACAGGGCGGAGTCTGACAGGGGGGGTCTGACAGGGCGGGGTCTGACAGGGTGGGGTCTGACAGGGCGGGGTCTGACAGGGCGGGGTCTGACAGGGCGGGGTCTGACAGGAAGGGGTCTGACAGGAAGGGGTCTGACAGGGCGGGGTCTGACAGGACGGGGTCTGACAGGGCGGGGTCTGACATGAAGGGGTCTGACAGGGCGGGGTCTGACAGGGTGGGGTCTGACAGGGCGGGGTCTGGCAGGGTAGGGTCTGACAGGGCGGGGTCTGACAGGGCGGGGTCTGACAGGGCGGAGTCTGACAGGGCGGGGTCTGACAGGACGGGGTCTGACAGGACGGGGTCTGACAGGACGGGGTCTGACAGGACGGGGTCTGACAGGGCGGGGTCTGACAGGGGGGGGTCTGACAGGGGGGGGTCTGACAGGGTGGGGTCTGACAGGGCGGGGTCTGACAGGGCGGGGTCTGACATGAAGGGGTCTGACAGGGCGGGGTCTGACAGGACGGGGTCTGACAGGGCGGGGTCTGACATGAAGGGGTCTGACAGGGCGGGGTCTGACAGGGTGGGGTCTGACAGGGCGGGGTCTGGCAGGGTAGGGTCTGACAGGGCGGGGTCTGACAGGGCGGGGTCTGACAGGGCGGAGTCTGACAGGGCGGGGTCTGACAGGACGGGGTCTGACAGGACGGGGTCTGACAGGACGGGGTCTGACAGGACGGGGTCTGACAGGGCGGGGTCTGACAGGGGGGGGTCTGACAGGGGGGGGTCTGACAGGGTGGGGTCTGACAGGGCGGGGTCTGACAGGGGGGGGTCTGACAGGGTGGGGTCTGACAGGGGGGGGTATGACAGGAGGGGTCTGACAGGGCGGGGTCTGACAGGGCGGGGTCTGACAGGGCGGGGTCTGACAGGGCGGGGTCTGACAGGGGGGGGTCTGACAGGGGGGGGTCTGACAGGGGGGGGTCTGACAGGGGGGGTCTGACAGGGTGGGGTCTGACAGGGTAGGGTCTGACAGGGGGGGTCTGACAGGGGGGGTCTGACAGGGTGGGGTCTGACAGGGTGGGGTCTGACAGGGCGGGGTCTGACAGGGCGGGGTCTGACAGGGCGGGGTCTGACAGGGTGGGGTCTGACAGGGTGGGGTCTGACAGGGTGGGGTCTGGCAGGGTAGGGTCTGACAAGGGGGGGTCTGACAGGGTGGGGTCTGACAGGGGGGGGGTCTGACAGGGCGGGGTCTGACAGGGGGGGGTCTGACAGGGGGGGGGTCTGACAGGGCGGGGTCTGACAGGGCGGGGTATGACAGGGCGGGTCTGACAGGGGGGGGTCTGACAGGGCGGAGTCTGGCAGGGCGGGGTATGACAGGGGGGGTCTGACACGACAGGGCGGGGTCTGACAGGGCGGGGTCTGACAGGGCGGGGTCTGACAGGGGGGGTCTGACAGGGGGGGTCTGACAGGGGGGGTCTGACAGGGGGGGTCTGACAGGGCGGAGTCTGGCAGGGCGGGGTATGACAGGGCGGGGTCTGGCAGGGTGGGGTCTGACAGGGGGGGGTCTGACAGGGGGGGGTCTGACAGGGGGGGTATGACAGGAGGGGTCTGACAGGGTGGGGTCTGACAGGGGGGGGTCTGACAGGGGGGGTCTGACAGGGCGGGGTCTGACCTGGCCTTGCGCTTGCGGAGCCTCCTCTCCAGCTCCGCCTCCTCGTAGTAGAACTCGTTGTGGGAGTTGTCTCGTCTCCTGGCGGCGGCGGCGATCATGGCTCTGGACTGACCACTCGTGTTGTTCGTGGGGTTTTCTGTGGAGACAAAAGAACGTGTTTGTTATTGTGTGTCACGGACGAAAGTTAAATCTAGTTTATTTTTGTATCGCCCCAAAATCCCAACAGTAGTTTTGAGATCAGAGAATCCAACAGTTCAAACTCAGGAAATGCAAAGATTAAACCACATTGGTCAATTATTATTTCATTTTATATTATTACGTTTTTAGAATGATCAATTTTATTTTTATTTTTGCTGCTACTGGACACTTGAATTTCTTCTACGGGGATCAATAAAGTATCTATCTTTCTTTAAGGGGCAGAGACCACTGTCTATAAATGTTCATAAATGTCCTGGATCATCACGGTCCTTAGAGCCTCCAGAGCAACACCTCCATCTAGTGGTCAAAGTGGGGATCTACACCCTGTTGTATTCAGTTATAACAACAGACCTGAGAGCGTTAAAACAGTCCATCTGTTGTTAGTTCAGTCTAAGATGAAGAGATCCTTTATCAGTCCCACAGAACCATCAGAGTATAAAGGGGAAATGTCAGTGTTGCCTCGTCAGGTACAGACTCCCCAGGCCGAACTCACCGTCGATGGAGTAGACCTTGAATCCGCTCATCTTCTTGCTCAGGATGGACTTGGGGAGGTTGTGGGAGGCGGGGTTATAGACGGGGAAGTCACTGTAGTATCTGTCCAGGATCCACACAGCGGCTCTCTGGATACTAAGCACAAGAAGGTCTGGTTAGTGCTGTGATGGGAGACCTCTGGGAACACCAGGGGCCACAGTGGGGCCAACTGTGGTTGTGTCCTTAGGCAAGACACTTCCCCCACATTAGAATGAGTCTGGTGTGTGTGTGAATGGTTGGTGGTGGTGGGAGGGGCCGATGGCACAGACTGGTTTCCTCGCTTCTGTCAGTGTGCCCCAGGGCAGCTGTGGCTACAGTAGTTTATCACCTCCTGCTGGGACTCTGAGGAGCACAGGGACTGTGCTCGCCCATGTCGTACCTGTGCTCACCCATGTTGTACCTGTGATCACCCATGTTGTACCTGAGATGTCCATTGTTGTAGAAGCAGCTGGTACCTGTGCTCGCCCATGTCGTACCTGTGCTCACCCATGTCGTACCTGTGATTGCCTGTATCGTACCTGTGCTCACCCATGTCATACCTCAGATGTCCCGTGTTTTAGAAGCGGCTGGTACCTGTGCTCGCCCATGTCGTACCTGAGATGGCCCATGTTGGTCGAAACGGCTGGTACCTGTGCTCGCCCATGTCCTACCTGAGATGGCCCGTGTTGTAGAAGCGGCTGGTACCTGTGCTCGCCCATGTCGTACCTGTGCTCGCCCATGTTGTACCTGAGATGGCCCGTGTTGTAGAAGCGGCTGGTACCTGTGCTCGCCCATGTTGTACCTGAGATGTCCAGTGTTGTAGAAGCGGCTGGCCCCGTCGCTGCTCCTAGTGGCCTTGAGGCAGAATGCAGGCTGCAGCTGCCGCACCTCGAGCAGGACCAGGGCGAGGTACTGGATGAAGAGCAGAGCGTCCACCAGCGACGCCGCGTACTCCACGATGCCTCTGAAGTCACGCTCCCGAGGCTCCAGCACGCGCACGCCGTAGAACAGCCAATAGGAGGCCACGAACAGCAGCACCAGCACCTGACCGCCAATTTATATACAAACAGATATAAACAAATGAACAAATAATGTTTAACCCATTTTGGAAACGGGGCAAGTTTAAAAACATTTGGAAACTATAAAAGTGAGTCACTTTTCTTTATCTTTTTGTATTTTGACATTCATTTTATTTGACATGAGTTTTTGGGTGTAGTTTTATTTTTGATTCTTTCACAACTGGACCAATAATCCAAACAGACATAACTGAAGATTCATTGTTAAATATTTAATATAAATCTGAAGCCGAATAACGACTTTTAATCACAGGTAAACAATTCACAACAGATTAAATTAAGGATAACATGCCATAGTCTCCCATTACCATCAACGCAACCATCAACGCTATCATCCACATTACCATCAAAGCTAACGTTAAAGTAACCATCAACGCTACCATAAACGTTACCATCAACCCTACCATCAACATTACCATCAAAGCTACCATCAACACTACTATCAACCCTGCAAGTAACTGTTATTATGATGTTATTGAAGATCATTTCTGGGCCATTGAAAGTGTCTGGCGGGCCGCATTTGACCCACGGGCCTGAACTTGACCTGCCTCTGGCTAACTCCGCCATGTTTACTCCTGAGTCCTATTCATGAAGGTTACAGTGACATTTCTCTGATGTGAGATCAATAAAACCAGTGAGGGAAGTCTGGGCGTCTCTGCTTGGACTGCTGCCCCCGTGACACGGCAACGGATGAAGCGGAAGAAAATGGACAGAAGTGTTGAAAAGGACCCTTGCTACAAACTAACGGCAGTGCATCTGTTCTGTCCAAACTATCCACATCAAAAACAAATACAGATACATAAATGATAGATAATTAATGATAATAATAATAATAAGGGCCGTACCATGAGCAGACAGCGGAACACGTAGAAGCGCGGCAGAGAGGACCGTGGCGGGCGCAGGAACAGGGCCCAGGACGCCAGCAGCAGCACCAGCAGCTTGAAGGCCAGGGACACGTACAGACCCTCGCAGGGGGTCCCACACGGCTCCAGGGACTCCCGCCACAGCAGCTGCGGCAGGAGCAGGAACGCGAGCGGCGTGAGGAGAGCGACCAGGCCGAGCAGAGCCGAGAGCACAGGGACCAGGAAGCGAGAGCACCTCAGGGGGGCGCTCTCCTCCAGCTCTTTGGAGCCGCGGGTCAGGTCCTCGTTCGAGACGCTGTGGTCTGAGGTTCCCGTGACGACGGTGGTGGTCTCGCCCCAGTTATCGTCCTGAGAGAGAGAAGAGGAGGAGATGAGAGGAGAGGGGAGGAGGGGGGAGAGAGGGGAGGAGATGAGAGGAGAGGAGAGGAGGGGAGGAGATGAGAGGAGAGGGGAGAGAGAAGAGGAGAAGATGAGAGGAGAGGGGAAGGAACGAGAGAGGAGAGGAGAGAAGAGGAGGAGATGAGAGGAGAGGGGAGGAGAAAGGGGAGGAGGGAGAGAAGAGGAGGAGATGAGAGGAGAGGGGAGGGAAGGAGAGGAGGGGAGGAGAGAGGAGGGGAGAAAGGGGGAGAGAGAAGGGAGAGAGAAGATGAGGAGATAAGAGGAGAGGGGAGGAGGGGGGGGAGGAGATGAGAGGAGAGGGAAGGATGGGGGAGAGAGGGGAGGAGATGAGAGGAGAGGGAGAGAGGAGGGGAGGAGAGAGAGAAGAGAAGGAGATATAAGAGGATAGGGGAGGGGGGGAGAGACAGGAGATGAGAGGAGCTGAGAGGGGAAGGAACGAGAGAGGAGAGGAGGGGAGGAGAGAGAGAAGAGAAGGAGATAAGAAGAGAGGAGAGGGGAGGAGGGGGGAGAGAGAGGAGATTATCAAGACCAGAGACCAGAGAGAGAGAGAGACCAGTGTTGCATTTTGTCCATTGAGACGTTTTACTTTTTCATGTTTTTAAAAGTGAAATAATATCTAATTGTATAAAAGTAGGAAAGATTTAAAAATAAATCTTTTTGTTTGTAACTCTTGTAATTCTCCACGCTGCCACCAGAGGGAGCCAATTCTACTGATTGCCCATTAATTCCTGTTGGTGCAGGTCTGAGGACAGTGATGTGTGTTTAAACTGTTGGATTGAGGCGACAGATGTAGACATAGAAAGGGAATTCTGACCCGCTCCTCCCTGGTCTCGTCCAGCAGTGGTTCTCCTGGTGTGTGGATGGTGACGGACTTGTCTCCTCGGCTGCTGCCATCTCGACTTTTGGAGCGGCGTCGATCCCTGCGCTCCCTGCGATCAACAACGATTCAGTTTAATTACCGTTTGCAGTAAAACCCCATTGGAATAAATGTGCAAGAGTCCCCAGTGTGCACAAGACAAGTACAGGAAAAAACAGGCTGGTTCAACACAGCCAACGAAGACCAGAGATAGACCAGAGAGAGACCAGTGAGAGACCAGAGAGAGACCAGAGACAGACCAGAGAGAGAGACCAGTGAGAGACCAGAGAGAGACCAGAGAGAGACCAGAGAGAGAGACCAGAGAGAGACTAGAGAGAGATCTAGAGACAGACCAGAGAGAGACTAGAGAGAGACCAGAGAGAGACCAGAGAAACCAGAGAGACCAGAGAGAGAGACTAGAGACAGACCAGAGACAGACCAGAGAGAGATCAGAGACAGACCTGAGAGAGACCAGAGGGAGACCAGAGGGAGACCAGAGAGAGACCAGAGAGAGACCAGAGAGAGACCAGAGAGAGACCAGAGAGAGACCAGAGAGAGACCAGAGAGAGACCAGAGAGAGACCAGAGAGAGACCAGACACTGACCTGAGAGAGACCAGAGGGAGACCAGAGGGAGACCAGAGAGAGACCTGAGAGAGACCAGAGAGAGACTAGAGACAGACGAGAAAGACATTTGTTCCTGTACTTGTCTGGTGCACACTGGGGACTCTTGCGCGTGTATTCCAATGTGGTTTTGCTGCACATGTATCGGTGTGTGAGCGTGACCTGTGTTTGCGTGAGCTCCGGTGCGAGTGCGAGGACTTGTAGGAGTATCCAGAGTACTGCGACTCGTTGTCCATGGTGCCGTGAGTGGGAGTCCCCCCTGCGGCCCCCCACGGAGCCACCCCTGGACCCCCGTCTGCAGCGACACAAGCGGGTCCACTGTCCGGAGCCGGGACTGAGACGGAGACGGAGACTGAGACGAGCTGAAAACACAGGAAAACACCTTTAATTTCATCAAGTCATGAGTTTATAAAAGTGTTTTCTGATCTGCGTCGGAGAATCGTCAGTTTAGTAAAGTGACCCGAGATTATTTGGCATTTTAATCTGAAATTAAATAGTGTTTTGTTTATACACTGGAGACTAAAAAGAGACTAGAGAGACACCAGAGAGAGAAACCAGAGAGAGACCAGAGAGCCAGAGTGAGAGACCAGGGAGAGACCAGAGAGAGACCAGAGAGAGACCAGAGAGAGACCAGAGAGAGACCAAGAGAGAGACCAGAGAGAGACCAGGGAGAGACCAGAGAGAGACCAGAGAGAGACCAGAGAGAGACCAGAGAGAGACCAGAGAGAGACCAGAGAGAGACCAGAGAGAGACCAGAGAGAGACCAGAGAGAGACTAGAGAGAGACCAGAGAGAGACTAGAGAGAGACTAGAGAGAGACCAGAGAGAGACCAGAGAGAGACCAGGGAGAGACCAGAGAGAGACCAGGGAGAGACCAGGGAGAGACCAGGGAGAGACCAGAGATAGACCAGAGAGAGACCAGGGAGAGACCAGAGAGAGACCAGAGAGAGACCAGAGAGCCAGAGTGAGAGACCAGGGAGAGACCAGGGAGAGACCAGAGAGAGACCAGAGAGAGACCAGAGAGAGACCAGAGAGAGACCAGAGAGAGACCAGAGAGAGACCAGAGAGAGACCAGAGAGAGACTAGAGAGAGACTAGAGAGAGACCAGAGAGAGACTAGAGAGAGACTAGAGAGAGACCAGAGAGAGACCAGAGAGAGACCAGAGAGAGACCAGAGAGAGACCAGAGAGAGACCAGGGAGAGACCAGAGATAGACCAGAGAGAGACCAGGGAGAGACCAGAGAGAGACCAGAGAGAGACCAGAGAGCCAGAGTGAGAGACCAGGGAGAGACCAGGGAGAGACCAGAGAGAGACCAGAGAGAGACCAGAGAGAGACCAGAGAGAGACCAGAGAGAGACCAGAGAGAGACTAGAGAGAGACCAGAGAGAGACTAGAGAGAGACCAGAGAGAGACCAGAGAGAGACCAGAGAGAGACCAGAGAGAGACCAGAGAGAGACCAGAGAGACCAGAGAGAGACCAGAGAGAGACAAGGGAGAGACCAGAGAGAGACTAGAGAGAGACTAGAGAGAGACCAGAGAGATACCAGCGAGAGACCAGAGAGAGACCAGAGAGAGACCAGAGAGAGACCAGAGAGAGACCAGAGAGAGACCAGAGAGACCAGAGAGAGACCAGAGAGAGACAAGGGAGAGACCAGAGAGAGACCAGAGAGAGACCAGAGAGAGACCAGAGAGAGACCAGAGAGAGACCAGAGAGAGACCAGAGAGAGACCAGAGAGAGACCAGAGAGAGACCTGAGAGAGACCAGAGAGAGACCAGAGAGAGACCAGAGAGAGACAAGGGAGAGACCAGAGAGAGACCAGAGAGAGACCAGAGAGAGACCAGAGAGAGACCAGAGAGAGACCAGAGAGAGACAAGGGAGAGACCAGAGAGAGACTAGAGAGAGACTAGAGAGAGACCAGAGAGATACCAGCGAGAGAGACCAGAGAGATACCAGCGAGAGAGACCAGAGAGAGAGACCAGAGAGAGACCAGAGAGAGACCAGAGAGATACCAGCGAGAGAGACCAGAGAGAGAGACCCTGCTCTGAAAGACGACTGTGAGGTGTCTGTTCTGGAGGTTATTTATAAATCCAGATCTTAGAATAATCAATGACACTTCTGGTCCCTGGAAAAGTCATGTTCCAGCTTCTTCCCTGAGGCAGAAGATATTGTTGGCCGAGATACAGGACATGCTAACATGCTAACATGCTAGTAGCTTCTTTCAGCTGCTCTCAGTCTGAACAAACCTTGATCTTGTATTGAAGCTGTTTTTGTTGCTTTCACTGATGATTGTTTATCATTTTCTTTTATCTAATTCTATGTCTGTGTCACACTGGGGACTCTTGCACGTGTATTCCAATGTGGTTTTACTGCAAATGGCAATTAAACTGAATCTGGTCCTCCTGCTGTCTCCTGTGCTGACACCAGGTGGCGCTCTCTCACTGGTCCTCTTGGGTGGCGGCCATATTGCATGACTCTGTTTTCTCTGGACTTGTTTGGCCTCTCGTCTCACGTTCTCTCCCGCTCTGCCGTGGTCTCCGGGGAAACGGGCCCCGACGCCACTCTTGTCCAATCAGGAGGCGCGGTTGTGGCGTGGGACCGGAGTAACGGCGTCTGTGATGGATGTGCCGCAGTCACTGGAGCCGAGCGGATAAAGAGAGGGGCGTGGCTCCTTTCACTGCTGAGGACGAGCTGCCAGTCACCGCGGCAACGATCACAGGGACAGACCTCAATACAGACACAGGGACTGGCCTCCTGGTTCTCTCTCTATGGTTCTCTCTCTCTGGTCTCTCTCTATGGTTCTCTCTCTATGGTTCTCTCTCTATGGTTCTCTCTCTCTGGCCTCTCTCTCTGGCCTCTCTCTATGGTTCTCTCTCTATGGTTCTCTCTCTCTGGTCTCTCTCTATGGTTCTCTCTCTATGGTTCTCTCTCTATGGTTCTCTCTCTCTGGTCTCTCTCTATGGTTCTCTCTCTATGGTTCTCTCTCTATGGTTCTCTCTCTATGGTTCTCTCTCTCTGGTCTCTCTCTGGTCTCTCTCTGGCCTCTCTCTGGCCTCTCTCTCGTCTCTCTCTCTGGTCTCTCTCTCTGGTCTCTCTCTCTGGTCTCTCTCTCTGGTCTCTCTCTCTCTGGTCTCTCTCTCTGGTCTCTCTCTGGTCTCTCTCTCTGGTCTCTCTCTGGTCTCTCTCTCTGGTCTCTCTCTGGTCTCTCTCTGGCCTCTCTCTGGCCTCTCTCTCGTCTCTCTCTCTGGTCTCTCTCTCTGGTCTCTCTCTCTCTGGTCTCTCTCTCTGGTCTCTCTCTCTCTGGTCTCTCTCTCTGGTCTCTCTCTGGTCTCTCTCTCTGGTCTCTCTCTGGTCTCTCTCTCTGGTCTCTCTCTGGTCTCTCTCTGGTCTCTCTCTGGCCTCTCTCTGGTCTCTCTCTCTGGTCTCTCTCTCTGGTCTCTCTCTCTGGTCTCTCTCTGGACTCTCTCTCTGGTCTCTCTCTCTGGTCTCTCTCTCTGGTCTCTCTCTCTGGTCTCTCTCTCTGGTCTCTCTCTCTGGTCTCTCTCCAGAGACAGAAGTTTGTACTTTTTTAGTCACAGCTAAAACAAAAACACAGAAGTACAAAGTTCAGACATTTTGAAACATTCACAGACTCTCTCTCTCTCGCTCAGTCTCTCTCGCTTCAGTCTCTCTCGCCTCAGTCTCTCTCGCCTCAGTCTCTCTTGGTCAGTCTCCCTCTCACACAGTCTCTCTCGCCTCAGTCTCTCTCGCTCAGTCTCTCTCGCCTCAGTCTCTCTCGCCTCAGTCTCTCTCGCTCAGTCTCTCTCGCCTCAGTCTCTTTCGCCCTCAGTCTCTCTCGCTCAGTCTCTCTCTCGCTCAGTCTCTCTCTCGCTCAGTCTCTCTCGCTCAGTCTCTCTCGCCTCAGTCTCTCTCGCCTCAGTCTCTCTCGCCTCAGTCTCTCTCGCTCAGTCTCTCTCGCTCAGCTCTCTCGCTCAGTCTCTCTCGCCTCAGTCTCTGTCACTCAGTCTCTCTCGCTCAGTCTCTCTCGCTCAGTCTCTCTCGCTCAGCTCTCTCTCGCTCAGTCTCTCTCGCTCAGCTCTCTCGCTCAGCTCTCTCTCGCTCAGTCTCTCTCGCTCAGCTCTCTCGCTCAGCTCTCTCTCGCCTCAGTCTCTCTCGCTCAGCTCTCTCGCTCAGCTCTCTCTCGCTCAGTCTCTCTCGCTCAGCTCTCTCGCTCAGCTCTCTCTCGCTCAGTCTCTCGCTCAGCTCTCTCGCTCAGCTCTCTCTCGCTCAGCTCTCTCTCGCTCAGTCTCTCTCGCTCAGCTCTCTCGCTCAGCTCTCTCTCGCCTCAGTCTCTCTCGCTCAGACCGGTTCTCAGACCTCCACACTGAATCTAACCCTTTTACTCAGAGCCGAGGAAACAGCGGTAACTCGAGTCCCAAACCAAACAAAGTGCACTTTTCACACAGAAAAGGCCTCAGTTCTGGTTTCTGAAACTGGAAGCGACCCGTCCATCATCAGAGAGAGGCCTGGAAACTGATCCATGACCTCAGGGACGAGGCCCAGGGTCAAAGGGACCACTTCATAAATACATTTCTCAGATTATTGACTCGACCACCAAAACAAATGTCGATGGTGTCCATGCAACTGAAACAGAAACCATAAAGGCCCCGTGCTCTTCCTGGTGCAGGGCCGGGTCGTTGTTTTGGCATTTAGGAGATCGTCATTTTGTTAAAGACATATTTGATATTTTATGTGAAAGGTTTACTTTAGTTAAACAATTATTGGTAACATTTAAGAGAGAGAGACCAGAGAGAGAGAGAGAGAGAGAGAGAGAGAGAGACCAGAGAGAGGGACCAGAAAGAGAGACCAGAGAGAGAGACCAGAAAGACAGAGAAGAGAGAGAGAGACCAGAGAGAGAGAGACCAGAGAGAGGGACCAGAGAGAGAGAGAGAGAGACCAGAGAGAGAGAGAGACCAGAGAGAGGGACCAGAGAGAGAGACCAGAGAGAGAGACCAGAAAGACAGAGAAGAGAGAGAGAGACCAGAGAGAGAGAGACCAGAGAGAGAGACCAGAGAGAGGGACCAGAGAGACAGAGAGACCAGAGAGACCAGAGAGAGGGACCAGAGAGAAACTAGAGAGAGGGACCAGAGAGAGACCAGAGAGAGACCAGAGAGAGGGACCAGAGAGAGACCAGAGAGAGACCAGAGAGACCAGAGAGAGGGACCAGAGAGAGAGAGAGACCAGAGAGAGAGACCAGAGAGAGAGACCAGAGAGAGACCAGAGAGAGGGACCAGAGAGAGGGACCAGAGAGAGACCAGAGAGAGAGAGAGAGACCAGATAGAGAGACCAGATAGAGAGACCAGAGAGAGAGAGAGAGAGAGAGACCAGAGAGAGAGACTAGAGAGAGAGAGAGACCAGAGAGAGAGAGAGAGAGAGAGAGGGGGAGAGAGAGAGACCAGAGAGAGAGAGACCAGAGAGAGAGAGAGAGGAGCAGAGAGAGACCAGAGAGAGACCAGAGAGAGACCAGAGAGAGGCCAGAGAGAGACCAGAGAGAGACCAGAGAGAGACCAGAGAGAGGCCAGAGAGAGACCAGAGAGAGACCAGAGAGAGACCAGAGAGAGACCAGAGAGAGACCAGAGAGAGACCAGAGAGAGACCAGAGAGAGACCAGAGACTAGAGAGAGACCAGGATTGAGGCAGTCCAGTGCATTATGCCAATTGTCGCTCATGTAACTTAAGTTGTAAAACCTCCGTCCTCAGACCCCCTTGTTGGCTTTAGTTCAACATCTATGTTTTTTCTCAGTGTGAATGAGGCTCATGTCCCGCTACAGAACCATGTGACGCCTCGCACATGGTCACCCATTTACCTGTCTCTCCATTCAACCCAACACACCCAAAACCTAAAAGGTGTGGTCCGTATTCAGTTTCCCAACTCCTTCTTTGTCCTGAAAACAAAAACACACTTCCTCTTCACTTTAACTAAGCTGGTTTTGGCTCCAGACCGATCCAGACCGGTCTGAGTTTGATTTTTGCAGCGACGTCTCAGTTTTTGGTCCGAGTTTCGCCGCTTTCTCTGGACTCTTTGTGAACGCAGCTCTATTGTCGCTGCTCCATGAGTTATTTTGGTTCTGTCTCTGACCCGTCTCTTTTGTCAGAGAAAGTGACAGACCCACTCCGCCCCGACTGAGCTTTCACTTTCACTTTGGTGCGGTTTGAAAATATTCTTCTGTTGTGCTGAAAAAGGAGAAGTCGTGAAAATAGTCTGAATGATAAAAAACAATTCAGTATTTCAGATTAAAGACGGCAGGACGCCCACAGAGCAACAGCAGCGACTCAGTGTTTAACGTTTGTATTTGTAATGTTTTGATTCAATTCATTGGCAGGTTTTTTAAAGTAAACGAGTGACAAGAGTAAAGTGACTGTAGGCTGTGAGAGAGACCAGAGAGAGAGACCAGAGAGAGACTAGAGAGAGACCAGAGAGAGAGACCAGAGAGAGAGGCCAGAGAGAGACTAGAGAGAGACTAGAGAGAGAGACCAGAGAGAGGCCAGAGAGACCAGAGAGAGACCAGAGAGAGACCAGAGAGAGAGACCAGAGAGAGAGACCAGAGAGAGACCAGAGAGAGACCAGAGAGAGAGACCAGAGAGAGAGACCAGAGAGAGAGAGACCAGAGAGAGACCAGAGAGAGAGACCAGAGAGAGAGAGACCAGAGAGAGACCAGAGAGAGACCAGAGAGAGAGACCAGAGAGAGACCAGAGAGAGAGACCAGAGAGAGAGACCAGAGAGAGAGACCAGAGAGAGACCAGAGAGAGAGACCAGAGAGAGAGACCAGAGAGAGAGACCAGAGAGAGAGACCAGAGAGACCAGAGAGAGAGACCAGAGAGAGAGACCAGAGAGAGAGACCAGAGAGAGACCAGAGAGAGACCAGAGAGAGAGACCAGAGAGAGAGACCAGAGAGAGAGACCAGAGAGCGAGACCAGAGAGAGACCAGAGAGAGAGACCACAAAGAGAGACCAGAGAGAGACCAGAGAGAGACCAGAGAGAGAGACCAGAGAGAGACCAGAGAGAGAGACCAGAGAGACCAGGACTAGAGAGGACTGGAGAGGACTGTAGAGGACTCTCTCTCTGGTCTCTCCAGTCTCTCTCTCTCTCTGCTCTTTGGTTGCTAGGTGGTTGCTACCCCATGATTCTGGGCCACAGCGCCTGCTCCAATCAGCTGGGTCGGTCAGTCCTGTCTTCCTGGTGTCTGTCTGTACAGTGTGGTTCTGATGGATGTGTACTGTCACTTTAAGAGCAGGTCGCAGCACGCTCAGAATACATGATTAAAACAAGCCTCGACCAAAACCACACAATATTTATGGTCTGTCATCATTGTAATCATTTAAACACACACACACGCAGACGCACACAGACTCACACAGACACAAACACACACGCAGACGCACACAGACAGACTCACTCACACACACACACACACACACACACACACGCAGACGCACACAGACACACACACACACACACACGCAGACGCACACAGACTCACACACACACACACACACACACACACACGCAGACGCACACACACACACTTGAGATTTGTTGAATGTCCTACTTTCATGTAATAACAGACGCACAACACTGTAAAGGAGCAATACATGGAAAAGAAGGAAACTGCATTGGTCTCTCTCTCTATGGTCTCTCTCTCTCTGGTCTCTCTCTGTGGTCTCTCTCTCTCTCTGGTCTCTCTCTGTGGTCTCTCTCTTTGTGGTCTCTCTCTCTATGGTCTCTCTCTCTCTGGTCTCTCTCTCTGTGGTCTCTCTCTTTGTGGTCTCTCTCTCTATGGTCTCTCTCTCTCTGGTCTCTCTCTCTCTCTGGTCTCTCTCTGTGGTCTCTCTCTTTGTGGTCTCTCTCTCTATGGTCTCTCTCTGTCGTAACAAGTATCTCTAAACTCTGTACTACTTCTGCCACCTCCAACAAAACACTATGAACTAATCAGACCCCAACAGACCATCTTCACCTCATGAGTGAAACCAGATCCCTGTGAGTCACTATTTGACTCTTTGGGCCGAGAACTGATTCCCTTCTGTCTGGAAAAACAGATTTAAAGATGTGACAGAGACCAAACAAACACAGGTGAAAACTACAGAACTGTTGTGAGAGCAAAGGACCAGGATTAAAATGGACATAGTTCTATCTCATGGGTCGAAAGTTACGAACCTCAGCTTTAATCATCTTTAAACAGAAAAATATCAACACTTTTTATCATCTGTAATGTTGTGTAACTTTTACTGGCTCTTGTCCAGGCTCTTATTTATCTGGGGTCTCTCTCTGGTCTTTCTTTTGAGTCTCTCTGGTGTCTCTCTCTGGTGTCTCTCTCTGGTGTCTCTCTCTGGTGTCTCTCTCTGGTCTTTCTTTCGAGTCTCTCTGGTCTCGCTCTGGTGTCTCTCTCTGGTGTCTCTCTCTGGTGTCTCTCTCTGGTCTTTCTTTCGAGTCTCTCTGGTGTCTCTCTGGTGTCTCTCTCTGGTGTCTCTCTCTGGTGTCTCTCTCTGGTCTCTCTCTGGTCTCTCTCTGGTCTCTCTCTGGTCTCTCTCTGGTCTCTCTCGGGTCTCGCTCGGGTCTCTCTCGGGTCTCGCTCGGGTCTCTCTCGGGTCTCGCTCGGGTCTCGCTCGGGTCTCTCTCTGGTCTCTCTCTGGTCTCGCTCGGGTGTCTCTCTGGTCTCACTCTGGGGTCTCTCTCTGTAAGTAAGTAAGTAAGTAAGTTTTTATTTATATACCGCCTTTTCACTGCAGATCTGAGTTTCAAAGCGGTTTACAATTGTTCATTTTGGGCATTTGTCTCTCACTCCACACAGAGATGGGAGCGGGGTCGCCAGTACAGGAGGCACATGCCAGACCTATTGGACATATTTTTAGTGGTAGGGGAAACCGGAGTACCCGGAGGAAACCTACGCAGACACGGGGAGAACATGCAAACTCCACTCAGAAAGGCCCTGGTCCGACCGGGATTCGAACCCAGGACCTTCTTGCTGAGAGGCGAGAGTGCTATCCACTCAGCCACCGTGCCGCTCTCTGGTCTCTCTCTGGTCTCTCTCGGGTCTCTCTCGGGTCTCGCTCGGGTCTCTCTCTGGTCTCTCTCTGGTCTCGCTCGGGTCTCTCTCGGGTGTCTCTCTGGTCTCTCTCTGGGGTCTCTCTCGCTCTAGTCCATGTAATCGTGGACTCACTTGATAAAAAGATGTTTGATCTCATTGACTTTTCTGGTTAAATAAAAGTTAAATAAACAAAATGACTAGTTCTAGAACATTGTACAGATATTATTGTTGCCTTCCTGTTGTGTATAATTTATATATATATATATATATATATATATATATATAGATAGATATAGATATAGAGAGAGAGAGTAGTGTATAGAAGTCTATTGAAACATGTAAGAAACACAGTATATATTATATTGTCCTGTCCGTGCACTGCAACACTGACATTTCCACACGTGACGTCAGCTGCATGATATTCTCCTCACACTGAGTCTGCTGCACCCACTTTTACTTTGAAACAGCTTCAGCAAACATCATCCAACATTAATGAGGTGAGATCACTGCCGCCTGTAGCATCTGCTGCTTTAGCATCCGCACTTTTACAAGACAACTCCAGAAGAAGAGGGAGAGGGAAGAAGCTGGAAGTGGAACTAGGAGACAATGGAGACGTCAGGGTCCAGTGGCCGCGTCTCCAAAAGCAAATTATCTCAATCCCCGTCTCCTTTTCTTCCCCTCTCCACACACGGGACGTCCTAAATGAATGGACGCGCTCGAAGACGCAAAGCAAGACGCATGGATGAGTTCAAAACGTTCCATAAGCGACTCCTTCTCCCTCCTTTAGCGTCGGGAACACAAACACAGACTGCAGGGAGGGTGCTCTGGAGAGATACGTGGCCTCGATAAAAACAATAGGCTGAAGTTCCCGATGGTTTGAAAAAGGCGACCCTCCTCTGACTATTGTCCCAGAGAAACCACAGACACCAGAGGAACCAGACGGACGCTGCGCCTTTACGCACGGCCCAAGCCCAGATAAACGTCAAACACACGCGGACGGTTCGGTTCGAGGACTTACTTATTGCTGATTATCCATCCAGGTAATTTGTCTCCACTTTCCACTTTTCTCTCCACTGAAGCGCAGCCGCAGCAGAGACCGCCTCCGAGGCTCAGAGGCCCCACCCCGAAGGAAGGGCCCCTCCCGCGGAGAGAGAGAGAGAGGAGGGGGGGGGGGGGCTGTACAGTATGATGCGTTTGTGTTCCTGATAAACATGATTATTGTGTGATCAGTGCTGGACACGTGACTTCAAAAAAATACTAATGTGTGTTATTTGTTACTACAATATTACTGTCTGTGAATAAAGTATTAACTCTACTGCATTACTCTGAAGTTACTTTCCCGGAATATAGAAATACAAATTAGCTTTTTATGTTATATATATCATTATAAACTAAATGTAGCTTATGATGCTATATACAGTACAGAGCAAAAGTTTGGACACCCTCTCTCCTTCACTGAGTTCTTTTCATGACTGTTTCTGTAGATCCACACCAGGCTGTGTCAGGGCCGGACCAGAACCCAGTCCAGATGGTTTTGGACCTGAACCCAGTCCAGATGGTTTTGGACCTGAACCCAGTCCAGATGGTTTTGGACCTGAACCCAGTCCAGATGGTTTTGGACCTGAACCCAGTCCAGATGGTTTTGGACCTGAACCCAGTCCAGATGGTTTTGGACCTGAACCCAGTCCAGATGGTTTTGGGGCTGGACCACAGAGTGAAGGGGCCAACAAGTGCTAAGCATCATGGGAACTCCTTCCAGACTGTTGGAGACCATTTCAGGTCCTGTTGAAGCTCATCCAGAGAATGCCAAGAGTGAAGCAGTATCAGAGCAAAAGGAGCTACTTTGAAGAACCAGAATATAACACATATTTACACTTGGTTCATACTTTTTTACTACGAACATCATTCACATGAGTTCATCATAGGTTTGATGCCTTCAGTGTCAATCTACCATTTTCATTATCACGAAAATAAAAAATTCTAAAACTTGTGGTTTTCAAGTACACAGACCAAAATATAATCTCGACCAGCACCTCTGAGAAAAGGGACATAAACTGTCAAAGTGACCAAAAGTGTCTAAATTTGAAAAATAAAATGTAAGGGTTCGGGTTAGTACAGTATCGACTCAAAACGACTGCTCCGGGAGTTCAAAGGTTAAAATGTAGAAACAGAAAAACTCAGATGTAGATGTGCACTTTATTGTCCCCGTAGGGCACTTCCCCCTCTGCATTTGACCCATCCTGAGGCCACTGAGGCTTACGTCAGGAGCAGTGGTCGCCGTAGTAACAGCGCCCGGGAACCATCTCTGTTGATGCTCGGCTCGGTCAGGACCAGAGCTGGAGGATTTAACCTGAGCATGTTTTAGTTATGAAGAACCCGTCGATTTGACTGCTGGGAGTTCTGATGTTAACCAGTTCTTCACACTCTTATTGATTAAAATAACCTTTTAAGCTTTGAACACTATTAAAAATGAGAATATATGAAGTAATAAATGCTTAAATCAAGTGTTTTTAATCCTGATCTGACGGCGTTAAAACTACCTTCTTCATTTAGTCTTATTTCAAGAACTGTTGCTGTATTTTCTCGTTCCAAAAGGAAACATTTCTGTATATTTTTAAAACAAGATCCTTTTGTTTTGTCTCATTGGAGAATCTGGTTTTGAGGCTCAGAATGTGCTCAGGTAAATAAAACATAACTCAGGCCGGTCCCCTTCGTCTCCCTCAGAACTGGGAGCTTTTTAATGATCATTGATTCAAAAGTGGCTCATGATTCAAAAGGTTCACTTCACAACAACAGAAGAAGACGTCACAATCTGCATCCACACTTTAAAAGCCAGAGTTGCATTCGTTCAGGACAGACAAACGAGAAACTAAACAGATGTAGAGTTTTGTTTTTGTGATATTAAAGCCGGGGAATCTGACTTTTAAACCCAGCAAAAATATGTCAAATACATATTCAAATCCACAAGGCATTCCAGGCTATAAAACTGTTCTAAGGATATTTTTAGTTTTTGCAGATAGAAAAGTGGGAAAGAGCTCCAGCCACACTTGGCCCAAAGGGTCAAATAGTGACTCACAGGGCTCATATGCAAAAACAAAGGACTTTTCTATTAAGATGACGCAAAACCAGTAAAGATAGGTACCCCAGCTTTAAGTCACTTCACCCATATGTTCTGTTCTCTCTGTTGCAGGGAAAAAGCTGCTTTCCATGTGAACGAGCAGTGAGTCTACCCCGAGCTCCTCCTCTTGTGAGTGAGTGTATTTTCTCTACAGTTTTGGCTCCCATTTTCCTACCATCTTTATCAAAATAAGTTTAGAACTCGGTAAATGTATGGTTTTGGTTTTCCTACATTTGTAACCAGTTCTGTTGTAGTAAAAAAAAAATCGTCATTACTTTCAAGTATTTTTGAATAAATCTTTAAGTTCCTTCATTTAAATGTAAAATGAACATGTTTTCTGTAGTTTTCTTGATGCCAGTTTAAGCTAATTTTGTTCAAGGTCCTGGTTCTGCTTGTTTGGGTTTTCCACATCCGCCAGAGAGGAGCGAGTGCAGGTTACCATAGCAACAGTTTGCCGTTAGCCGTTAGCATTTGGTCGCTAGCGTTAGCTTGTCAGCAAACGGTTTTTGCTGTATTTAAAGTTATACAAACCAGTTTAGGCACTAATTAAATGGCGAGTGAAAGCTTAAAACTTGAATCTGAAGAAAACAAACATTTTTTGAGGCAGTTTCTCAGAATTATTTTGTGTTAAATAAAAGCAGGTAAAATGATGGCTCTGGAGGTTCTAGTAGTTTCATTATTGTCCCAATGTTAAAATGTCAGGAAGACTTTGGTTCATCCCTCACTAATCAACTGCTAATTAGTGTATAATTTATAGTTATTTAGTGATTAATTGGTATTTATTAAGCACTTATTAATCCTTATTCTATATATAACTAACTACTAACTGACACTTTCCCATGTGGGTTAAGGTTAAGGTTCACTAGTTAGCATTTATTTAGCTGTTAGAGAAGGTTGATACCAAAATTTCTTCTTTGCGCCACATCTTGTTGCAAATACATGTTTTTGCGTCACATTAATGGAAGAGACAACAAACTATTCATAATCTAAACTTAACATAAAGATGAGACTTTGTTTATTGTCCTAAAACATTGCCCCGTGCTGCTTTTAACACTCACACGCGTTACTTTCAAACCTTTTCGTAGCGGAAATAAAACAAAAAATCATTCTAACAAGAAGCACAGAACCAAGTCCAAAGTTTAGTGTCCAGAAAACACAAAATTAAACATTCTTTGATAATTAAAATCGGACGAAACCCGAGCAAAAGTCATGAAATATTCACATCTGGTCCTCGTGCTCAGGGCCCACTGGTTCCCACTGGTTCCCACTGGTTTCCACTGGTTTCCACTGAGGGTTTTGGTCCAAATTTATACACAGTCGAATCAGAATCGGCCAAAAGTGTCAGTGCGGATGTGGCCTTTCCTCACAAACACGCTGTGAGTCTGTGCAGAGTGGGCCCTGGCTGTAGTGTGGGGGCAGGATCAGTAGGTGGCGCTGGTGGGTTCTCTCCCAGAGCAGAAGAGGATTTCTGCCTTGGAGCTGATGAGGTATGTGAGGATGAGAGAGAGGAGCAGGATCCCCACGCCCACCCCCAACGTCAGCATCTGGGAAGAAGAGAAGAGGGAACCTTTATCTGTGGGGACGTTTTGCACCAGGACAGTTGTAAGAGCGCACACATATGTAACACTTATTATTTATTTTGTTACTTAACGCTTTTTGGACAATCAAAGTCTATTCACATGTCATTCTTACATTCCAAACACAGTGGTGATAAACTACTACTGTAGCCACAGCTGCCCTGGGGCACACTGACAGAAGCGAGGCAACCAGTCTGTGCCATCGGCCCCTCCCACCACCACCCATTCACACACACACCAGACTCATTCTAATGTGGGGGAAGTGTCTTGCCTAAGGACTAGTCGGAGAGAGACCATAGAGAGACCAGAGAGAGAGACCAGATAGAGACACCAGTGAGAGAAAGACCAGATAGAGACACCAGTGAGAGAAAGACCAGATAGAGACACCAGTGAGAGAAAGACCAGATAGAGACACCAGTGAGAGAAAGACCAGATAGAGACACCAGTGAGAGAAAGACCAGATAGAGACCATAGAGAGACCAGAAAGACAGAGAGAGACCAGAGAGAGAGACCGGTGATAGAAAAACCAGCGAGAAAGAGAGAGAGAAAGAGACTAGAGAGAGAGACACCAGACAAAGACCAGATAGAGACGCCAGACAAAGACCAGAGAGATGTAGCAGTTTGCAAAGTGAAATAGAATGAGTTTTAGTGTTTGATTCTATCTCTGTGTCGTCTGTTCCAATGTTCACACATGTTTATACACATGTTTATACACATGTTTATACACAAACACGTGATAAACATAGCCTCTAATGTGGCCCAGCTTCACCCAGAATCCACCTCACGCAGGCCCCAGACTCAGTGCATGCTCCTCAGGTTTTCCTCACCTCTAATTCGTGACTGGCCACCAGGAAGATGCGGCCGTTGATCTTCTTCCAGCGAGACTCGGTCCAAGTGGAGTAGTCTGCGGAGGAGAGCAGGTCCAGGTCGAAGGCCGGAGAGATGGCAGGAGACAGACGCACCGAGGACCGGACACACAAACTGTCTGTGTCTGTGCTGTTGGCCACCGGGGCTCCCTGCACCCACATGTAACTGTACAACTGGAGACACACACACACAGGGACACACACACACACACACACACACAGGGACACACAGACACACACACACACACACAGACACACACACACACACAGGGACACACACAAAGACACACACACAGGGACACACAGACACACACACACACACACACACACAAAGACACACACATAGAGACACACACACACACACACACACACACACACACAAACACACACACACAGAGACACACACACACACACACACACACACACACACACAGGGACACACACACACACACACACACACACACACACACACACACACACACACACACAAAGACACACACACAGAGACACACACACACACACACACAGGGACACACACACACACACACAGGGACACACAGACACACACACAGGGACACACACACACAGGGGCACACACACAGGGACACACACACACAGGGGCACACAGACACACACACAGGGACACACACACAGGGACACACACACACAGGGGCACACAGACACACACACACAGGGACACACACACACAGGGGCACACAGACACACACACAGGGACACACGGACACACACACACAGAGACACACACACACACAGAGACACACACACACGGACACACACACAGAGACACACATGGTTTGTTAGACTGGAGAAACCCGGGTGGGACTGGTCAGGAGATATTGGAGTTAATTCTCTGTCTGCTAAATCCTCAATGACATCATACATTCATTATAATTAGGGTGTTGTTTTCACCAATTCAAAATGTAATTTGTTATTTCTGAGCTGCAGATGCCACAGGCGCTACACAAGCGCTACACAGGCGCTACACAGATTCTACACAGGCTAAGGCTTTTATTCCATTCCTTTTTAGGTATTTTCCAAAGAATTGACACTCGTTAGAGAAATATATTTGACCAAAATAGAGACTCCATTATTTTTCCATTTGATACGAGCAGTTTCTATATTTTTGACTAATTTGAAAGAGTCACATGGTTATTAATGGACAAATCTATTTCCTGTCCTTCTAAAGACTTTTTGTACTCACATGTCGGCTCTCCTTGTCGTCCTCGTTCTCCCTCTGGGCCTTGCAGTCCTCCTGGGTCACGTTCACCACTGTCCCGGTTAAATTTGCCAGAATGTATTCAACCAAAAAGGAGGGTTCGCTCTTCTGCATGTGGACGCCGGTGTAGAAGTTTGTGGGTCTGTCCACTGCAACACGCAGCACACACAACGATTTATTACTAAGCGGCATTCATCCCAGATTTACAAACTTTACGAGGCCTTGGACAAAGTGTAAAACTAATGCTGGCCCCTGGTCTCTCCAACATGTCTGCCTCTGGTCTCTCCCTGGTCTCCCCCTGGTCTCTCCAACATGTCTGCCTCTGGTCTCTCCCTGGTCTCCCCCTGGTCTCTCCAAGATGTCTGCCCCTGGTCTCTCCGAGATGTCTGCCTCTGGTCTCTCCAAGATGTCTGCCCCCGGTCTCTCCCTGGTCTCCCCCTGGTCTCTCCAACATGTCTGCCCCTGGTCTCTCCAACATGTCTGCCCCTGGTCTCTCCAACATGTCTGCCCCTGGTCTCTCCAAGATGTCTGCCTCTAGTCTCTCCCTGGTCTCCCCCTGGTCTCTCCAACATGTCTGCCCCTGGTCTCTCCAAGAGGTCTCCCCCAGGGCTCTCCAACATGTCTGCCCCTGGTCTCTCCAACATGTCTGCCTCTGGTCTCTCCCTGGTCTTCCCCTGGTCTCTCCAACATGTCTGCCCCTGGTCTCTCCCTGGTCTTCCCCTGGTCTCTCCAACATGTCTGCCCCTGGTCTCTCCAACATGTCTGCCCCTGGTCTCTCCAAGATGTCTGCCCCTGGTCTCTCCAAGATGTCTGCCTCTGGTCTCTCCCTGGTCTCCCCCTGGTCTCTCCAACATGTCTGCCTCTGGTCTCTCCAACATGTCTGCCTCTGGTCTCTCCAACATGTCTGCCTCTGGTCTCTCCAACATGTCTGCCTCTGGTCTCTCCAACATGTCTGCCTCTGGTCTCTCCAACATGTCTGCCTCTGGTCTCTCCCTGGTCTCCCCCTGGTCTCTCCAACATGTCTGCCTCTGGTCTCTCCCTGGTCTCCCCCTGGTCTCTCCAAGATGTCTGCCCCTGGTCTCTCCGAGATGTCTGCCTCTGGTCTCTCCAAGATGTCTGCCCCCGGTCTCTCCCTGGTCTCCCCCTGGTCTCTCCAACATGTCTGCCCCTGGTCTCTCCAACATGTCTGCCCCTGGTCTCTCCAAGATGTCTGCCTCTAGTCTCTCCCTGGTCTCCCCCTGGTCTCTCCAACATGTCTGCCCCTGGTCTCTCCAAGATGTCTCCCCCAGGGCTCTCCAACATGTCTGCCCCTGGTCTCTCCAACATGTCTGCCCCTGGTCTCTCCAACATGTCTGCCCCTGGTCTCTCCAACATGTCTGCCCCTGGTCTCTCCAACATGTCTGCCCCTGGTCTCTCCAAGATGTCTGCCTCTGGTCTCTCCCTGGTCTCCCCCTGGTCTCTCCAACATGTCTGCCTCTGGTCTCTCCAACATGTCTGCCTCTGGTCTCTCCAACATGTCTGCCTCTGGTCTCTCCAACATGTCTGCCCCTGGTCTCTCCAAGATGTCTGCCTCTGGTCTCTCCCTGGTCTTCCCCTGGTCTCTCCAACATGTCTGCCCCTGGTCTCTCCCTGGTCTTCCCCTGGTCTCTCCAACATGTCTGCCCCTGGTCTCTCCAACATGTCTGCCCCTGGTCTCTCCAACATGTCTGCCTCTGGTCTCTCCCTGGTCTTCCCCTGGTCTCTCCAACATGTCTGCCCCTGGTCTCTCCAAGATGTCTGCCTCTGGTCTCTCCCTGGTCTCCCCCTGGTCTCTCCAACATGTCTGCCGATACTATAATAGATCCTTGTGCTGTACTCACCGAGGCGACTCTTGAAGTCTGAGGGAATCATCTGTTCAAACCAGGAATTATTCGACTTCACCAAAAACCCGTACAAAAGCCGCGCCACCTAGAGGACGGGAGTGGTACAGGCTCAAAAACCGGCACCTATTCGGACTAACTAACTAAGCATTTCATGTTTTAATGGGAAAAACTAAATATTCATAAACAATATGTAGTGCAGGTTTGAAGTATGAATATTGAGATGGTCCGAGGATGAGCAAAGAAGGTTTTAGTGAAGTCTTACGGTCTGTGGGTCTGCGGTGATGGATGTAGCTTTAGCAGAGTCACCTCCAGCCTGAAGGAACAGAGTCTGAGCGACCAGCGTAGCCACGTCTGCCAGGGCCTGAAACAGTCAAATGCAGGGTCACAAATACTGCCTTTTATACGTGTCAGCTCGTGGTGGACCATTATTAACACAGATATCAGACAGAGTTGATAAATAAATATATACAGTGCCTTGCGAAAGTATTCTGTCCCCTTGAACCTTTCAACATTTCGCCACATTTCAGTCTTCAAACATAAAGATATACAATTTTAATTTTTTGTCATGAATCAACAAGTGCGACACAATCGTGAAGTGGAACGAAATGTATTGGATAATTTAAACTTTTTAACAAATAAAAAACTGAAAAGTGGGGCGTGCAATATTATTCGGCCCCTTTACTTTCAGTGCAGCAAACTCAGTCCAGAAGTTCAGTGAGGATCTTTGAATGATCCAATGTTGTCCTAAATGACTGATGATGATAAATAGAATGCACCCGTGTGTAATCAAGTCTCCGTATAAATGCACCTGCTCTTTGATAGTCTCAGGGTTCTGTTTAAAGCGCAGAGAGAACCATGAAGACAAAGGAACACACCAGGCAGGTCCGAGATACTGTTGTGGAGAAGTTTAAAGCCGGATTTGGATACAAAAAGATTTCCCAAGCTTTAAACATCTCAAGGAGCAGTGTTCAAGCAATTATAGTGAAATGGAAGGAGTATCAGACCACTGCAAATCTACCAAGACCCGGCCGTCCCTCCAAACTTTCATCTCAAACAAGGAGAAGACTGATCAGAGATGCAGGCAAGAGGCCCATGATCACTCTGGATGAACTGCAGATAACTACAGCTGAGGTGGGAGAGTCTGTCCATAGGACAACAATCAGTCGTGCACTGCACAAATCTGGCCTTTATGGAAGAGTGGCAAGAAGAAAGCCATTTCTCAAAGATATCCATAAAAAGTCTCGTTTAAAGTTTGCCACAAGCCACCTGGGAGACACACCAAACATGTGGAAGAAGGTGCTCTGGTCAGATGAAACCAAAATTGAACTTTTTGGCCACAATGCAAAACGATATGTTTGGCGTAAAAGCAACACAGCTCATCACCCTGAACGTACCATCCCCACTGTCAAACATGGTGGTGGCAGCATCATGCTTTGGGCCTGCTTTTCTTCAGCAGGGACAGGGAAGATAGCTAAAATTGATGGGAAGATGGATGGAGCCAAATACAGGACCATTCTGGAAGAAAACCTGTTGGAGTCTGCAAAAGACCTGAGACTGGGACGGAGATGTATCTTCCAACAGGACAATGATCCAAAACATAAAGCCAAATCTACAATGGAATGGTTCACAAATAGACGTATGCAGGTGTTAGAATGGCCAAGTCAAAGTCCAGACCTGAATCCAATCGAGAATCTGTGGAAAGAGCTGAAGACTGCTGTTCACAAACGCTCTCCATCCAACCTCACTGAGCTCCAGCTGTTTTGCAAGGAAGAATGGGCAAGAATTCCAGTCTCTCGATGTGCAAAACTGATAGAGACATACCCCAAGCGACTTGCAGCTGTAATTGCAGCAAAAGGTGGCGCTACAAAGTATTAGCACAAGAGTTTTTTATTTGTTAAAAAAGTTTAAATTATTCAATACATTTCGTTCCACTTCACCATTGTGTCCCACTTGTTGTTGATTCTTGACTGTATGCATTATTTTAGTTGTATGTATTTGTTACAGGCAAAATTATCAGTCTAATCCAGTCTACAGGTCTAAACAACAACAATCATTTCCGGACTATAAGCTTCTGCTTTTTTCTAGCTCCTAGTCCCCTGTGGTTTATATAGCCATGCAGCTAATATGTGTGTTTTAGACTCAGTCCCGGGTCTACAGCCTCAGTCCCGGGTCTACAGCCTCAGTCCCGGGTCTACAGCCTCAGTCCCGGGTCTACAGCCTCAGTCCCGGGTCTACAGCCTCAGTCCCGGGTCTACAGCCTCAGTCCCGGGTCCACAGCCTCAGTCCCGGGTCTACAGCCTCAGTCCTGGGTCTACAGCCTCAGTCCTAGGTCTACAGCCTCAGTCCTGGGTCTACAGCCTCAGTCCTGGGTCTACAGCCTCAGTCCTGGGTCTACAGCCTCAGTCCTGGATCTACAGCCTCAGTCCTGGGTCTACAGCCTCAGTCCTGGATCTACAGCCTCAGTCCTGGGTCTACAGCCTCAGTCCTGGATCTACAGCCTCAGTCCTGGGTCTACAGCCTCAGTCCTGGGTCTACAGCCTCAGTCCCGGGTCTACAGCCTCAGTCCCGGGTCTACAGCCTCAATCCTGGGTCTACAGCCTCAGTCCCGGGTCTACAGCCTCAATCCTGGGTCTACAGCCTCAGTCCCGGGTCTACAGCCTCAGTCCCGGGTCTACAGCCTCAGTCCTGGGTCTACAGCCTCAGTCCTGGGTCTACAGCCTCAGTCCTGGGTCTACAGCCTCAGTCCTGGGTCTGTGATGGTGTCTTACCTTGGCGGTGTCTGTGACAAAGCTCAGCTGCTCCTCTGGCGTCAGCTCCGGAGGGTACGTCATGTTCAGGTTCTCAGGATTATCAAACATACTTTCATAGTATCTGAAGGAGAGACGACAGAGTCATATAAAGCAGAAGCTACGGTGTCTCTCTCTCTCTCTCTCTCTCTGGTCTCTCTCTCTATGGTCTCTCTCTCTGGTCTCTCTCTCTCTGGTCTCTCTCTCTCTAAGGTCTCTCTCTATGGTCTCTCTCTCTCTGGTCTCTCTCTCTCTGGTCTCTCTGGTCTCTCTCTCTCTAAGGTCTCTCTCTCTAAGGTCTCTCTCTCTCTGGTCTCTCTCTCTCTGGTCTCTCTCTCTCTGGTCTCTCTCTCTCTAAGGTCTCTCTCTCTAAGGTCTCTCTCTCTATGGTCTCTCTCTCTATGGTCTCTCTCTCTGGTCTCTCTCTCTGGTCTCTCTCTCTGGTCTCTCTCTCTGGTCTCTCTCTCTGGTCTCTCTCTCTGGTCTCTCTCTCTGGTCTCTCTCTCTGGTCTCTCTCTCTGGTCTCTCTCTCTGGTCTCTCTCTCTGACCTGTTGGTGAAGGTGCTGCTGTGATCCTGCAGTACGACTCCAGGGAAGGGCCGAGCTCGGAGGAACCTCTGGAGGGAGGAGGGGGGGAGGGGCTGGGAGGCCTCTGGCTCAGACACATTGGTGTTGGAGCTGCTGGAGGCCTCTTTCAGGTTCTCTATCAGACTCTGCACCTGAGAACACAGCACAGAGCTCCATCACACACAGCCTTTCCCATTCTGACACTTGCACTAGCAGTATTTAATATCTTCATTATCATTAAAGGGCCCTAATCTGTCATCCTTAAAGGGCCCTAATCTGTCATCCTTAAAGGGCCCTAATCTGTGATCATTAAAGGGCCCTAATCTGTCATCATTAAAGGGCCCTAATCTGTCATCATTAAAGGGCCCTAATCTGTCATCATTAAAGGGCCCTAATCTGTCATCATTAAAGGGCCCTAATCTGTCATCATTAAAGGGCCCTAATCTGTCATCATTAAAGGGCCCTAATCTGTCATCATTAAAGGGCCCTAATCTGTCAGCATTAAAGGGCCCTAATCTGTCATCCTTAAAGGGCTCTAATCTGTCGTCTTTAAAGGGCCCTAATCTGTCATCCTTAAAGGGCCCTAATCTGTCATCCTTAAAGGGCCCTAATCTGTCATCATTAAAGGGCCCTAATCTGTCATCATTAAAGGGCCCTAATCTGTCATCCTTAAATGGCCCTAATCTGTCATCATTAAAGGGCCCTAATCTGTCATCATTAAAGGGCCCTAATCTGTCATCATTAAATGGCCCTAATATGTCATCATTAAAGGGCCCTAATCTGTCATCATTAAAGGGCCCTAATCTGTCATCATTAAATGGCCCTAATCTGTCATCATTAAATGGCCCTAATCTGTCATCATTAAAGGGCCCTCATCTGTCATCATTAAAGGGCCCTCATCTGTCATCATTAAAGGGCCCTAATCTGTCATCATTAAAGGGCCCTAATATGTCATCCTTAAAGGGCCCTAATCTGTCATCCTTAAAGGGCCCTAATCTGTCATCCTTAAAGGGCCCTAATCTGTCATCCTTAAAGGGCTTAAATCTGTCATCATTAAAGGGCCCTAATCTGTCATCATTAAAGGGCCCTAATCTGTCATCATTAAAGGGCCCTAATCTGTCATCATTAAAGGGCCCTAATCTGTCATCATTAAAGGGCCCTAATCTGTCATCATTAAAGGGCCCTAATCTGTCATCATTAAAGGGCCCTAATCTGTCATCATTAAAGGGCCCTAATCTGTCATCATTAAAGGGCCCTAATCTGTCATCATTAAATGGCCCTAATCTGTCATCATTAAATGGCCCTAATCTGTCATCATTAAAGGGCCCTAATCTGTCATCATTAAAGGGCCCTCATCTGTCATCATTAAAGGGCCTTCATCTGTCATCATTAAAGGGCCCTAATCTGTCATCCTTAAAGGGCTCTAATCTGTCGTCCTTAAAGGGCCCTAATCTGTCATCATTAAAGGGCCCTAATCTGTCATCATTAAATGGCCCTAATCTGTCATCATTAAAGGGCCCTAATCTGTCATCATTAAAGGACCCTCATATGTCATAATAATAAACTTCTCTTTTCCAATACTTCTTTAACTGATAACAGTAGTTCAGAGATATTTGGATTTCTAAATTACTTTTCCAGCCCCTAAATCTTTATGGGAAAACTTGCTAAGAAGTACAGATGATGGGTGAGAAACCTTCCTTTGCTTTGACTAATCCCTGTACGACTGAGAGCTTACACAAACTTACCCCTAAATTTTGTTATTGTTTTCATTTCGATGTCCCGCCCTCCACCGTTTCATCAATCAGAAAGTCTGTGATCCGGGCGTCAGAACTCACCGCGTGGAGCTAATCTCACTGGTAAAGTACCATGTGGCGCAGAACTAAAAAAGGTCTCGTTATGATTCTCAAATCATTAACGACAAAACAAGGAATAAAAGCAGGATTTCTATCTTTGTGAAAAAGGTGTTGGTTATAGATTTGTTGTTGACTAAACTCTTGTCTATTCAGCTGTTATGGTCCCAGCTGGATTCGTCTGCATATCTGGCAACCTGAGTCAGGGACAGTGGGAGAGGCTGCAGTACCACTTTTGGCCACATTTTTACACACTGCTCCTTTAAACTGGGAGTATCCATCATGAGCGTAGGTTTGCTGCTGTTTAGCTTCCAAAACTGACACCACTTCCTGAAAAGCGATCGGTGAAGCCAGAGTCAAGAAACGTGTTTTCACTGCGCTTCGTAAAAAGTGAGTAAACAAGAGAAAAGTGTGCAAAGGTTTCCACAAGCAAATTATTCATGAAGGCTATAATAAGAGTCATTCTGCACCTGCAAAGTCCCTCTGTCCTCTTTCACCGTCGGATTCATAAATAGGTAAATCTCACAGCTCAGAGCAGTCACATGACCCTATTCTCCTGCAGACGAAGCCCGAGTTTTCAACCCTTTAAGCTCCAGGACACTTTCTATACAGCGCCCAGGCTTCAACAGACGTTTTGAATTGGAAAAGATTAAAAGCAGTTCTCAAACCTCTGTGTTGACGCTGTCGTTCTTCCGAGACACTGGATCTGAATGTAGATAGATTGGAGAACCCTGAGGTCTGATTCCCACCTGCAGCAACACAAACAGGAAGTTAAAGAAGACATTTATATAAAAAGAGGCTAGAGTAAGAAGAGGAGGGATCTTTAAAGATGCTATACCCAATTTTGTTTCTAATGAGATCATAAAAATGCTTATTACTACAGACAAGTTGTATTATAATCTGTAATTTAATGTAAAACTTGAGCTCATTGATTCAGCTGTGGATGAACTCAGTAAAAAGTGCTGAGTAGAGACTTAGCGTGACGCCCGCTCTCCTCCAATCACAGAGCGAGGCTGCGTCCTCTAGCCTCTACAGCGCTGCTAAACACAGTAGCATGTTAGCATAAGTGGCTATAACTCCTCTGGCTGTAACTGCAGACACAGCAAAACAGCCCAAACCACACAACAGTGAGGAAGAGAAGAGGAACTAAAGCCAAAACATGATCAAAGAAGAAACCAAGCCCTGAACAGAGCTCGCTTACATCGTATCCTCTGGAGAGACTGGTCTATGGGAGAGACCTGCGGGACCGCCTCGGACCGTCTACGCTCGGACTATCTACGCTCGGACTATCTACGCTCGGACTATCTACGCTCGGACTATCTACGCTCGGACTGTCTACGCTCGGACTGTCTACGCTCGGACTGTCTACGCTCGGACTATCTACGCTCGGACCATCTACGCTCGGACCATCTACGCTCGGACCATCTACGCTCGGACTATCTACGCTCGGACCATCTACGCTCGGACTATCTACGCTCGGACTATCAACGCTCGGACTATCTACGCTCGGACTATCTACGCTCGGACTATCTACGCTCGGACTATCTACGCTCAGACTATCTACGCTCGGACTATCTACGCTCGGACTATCTACGCTCGGACTATCTACGCTCGGACTATCAACGCTCGGACTATCTACGCTCGGACTATCTACGCTCGGACTATCAACGCTCGGACTATCTACGCTCGGACTATCTACGCTCGGACTATCTACGCTCGGACTATCTACGCTCGGACTATCTACGCTCGGACCACATTCGGACGTGAAACTAGCGGTAATCTTTCAGTTATATATATTTCAGTCAGATCTTTTGGACCATTTCATCGGTGATTGTTGTACAGCTAACAAGAAGTTGTGCTAATGCTAATGTTAGCATAAGTATCAGATCGCAAATAAAACTAGATGGCTTCGTGGGATGAGAGCGTAGGGGAAATGAGAAGCCTGTGAGCGAGTTGGGGGCGGGGCTAAACATTCAGACCGTGCAGAAACGGGTATAGCTCCTTTAAGCCTTTGTTGAACAGTTAAAATGTGATGAAGTGAGTTTGCAGAGTTCTCCAGGAGCCACTGACCTGTCCCACTTCCACCATGGAGTGAACGTTGTCCAGGTCCAAAGCAAACCTGGTGTTCTCCATGTCGTAGACCATCTTGGAGCTGCCGATGTAATCAAACGTCTCCTGATGAAGAATGAGAAACATGGAGTGAGGTTTTCGCTTTAGAAAAGGGTTCTCAAACAGATAACAATGGATCACAATAACACATTTTCATTAACAAATCGCCTCAGAAATTTGGGCAATAAACGATGGCTTTTTCCACTTAAAGCTGCACTAACTGACTTTATTTTTGTATTCATTACTAAAATACTGTCCATGTAGTGCATTGGGATATACGTCCTTTTGAAGAAAAAGTAGCGCAGATTTGTGCTGGCGTAACATAATATTTTAGATTGAGTTTTGATGAAACAAGGAAGAGAATGTGTTTCGGGTCGCAGATTGTGACCAATCACAGCAGACCACTGGCCCCCACTTTCGTAAGAAATCTACAGGTCCGTTAGCACAGACGGCTGAGTTAGCACAACAAGCGGCAGAGCTAACCTGAAGTTTCCTCGTCTTCGTCACCGGTTACTGCTTACACAGCGAGACAGCCATCCAAAAGAAAGTCTCGTTCCTCCGCGCTTCCCGGTTCTATCGTTCTATGGTCACGCCATCCACGTGAAAATCCATATCCATGTATTATCCATATTGGAAGACGCTAGCTCCATCAACAACAGTGGGTGTGTGTGGGGGGCGATAGCTTCGTGGGTGCGGGGAGGGGAGCAGAAAGAGAGAGGCCAGCGAGTCCACGGCTTCAAAATCCCAAAGTCAGTTAGTGCAGCTTTAATAAAAGGGCAAACGGCACAACGACGGCAAATAGACCATTTGGAAGAACAATGGAATTTTACAAGTCTGTATTAGCACAAGACTAAAGTTTGATGTCCACTAGGGGGCCACACAATTTCATATGTTTGAGACCACTGCTTTAGGACAACTAGACATTCAAACGTTAGCATGTTAGCGTGTTATCGTGTTAGCGTGTTAGCATGTTAGTGTGTTAGCATGTTAGCGTTTTAGTGTGTTAGCGTGTTAACATGTTAGTGTGTTAGTGTGTTAGCGTGTTAGCGTGTTAGTGTGTTAGTGTGTTAGCGTGTTAGCATGTTAGTGTGTTAGTGTGTTAGTATGTTAGCGTGACTGACACAGAAAAACACGAGAGACTGACCCCTTCAAAGAAAGCGTAGAGGATGGTCCTGTTGGGCTGGTCCTCGTCTGAGATGTTCCTCAGAGCCTGAGCTGCAGCCAACAGAGCGATGAGGCCGGACGCACTGCTCTGGGCTCCAGGGGCCAAGTCAAAGAAGAAGGACCGACTGTCCATCTGAGAGACATGAGAGGGAGGGGGGACAGAGACATTATTGTTGCATGTATTCCACTGGCACATGTAAATAATTAGCTAAACCCCCAGAGCTGAATAACATGGATTTGAGAGACTCACTCTGGCCGCGGCGATGACCACGCTCTGGGACGGTTTGTGACCTTTCTCCGTGTTGTTGATCGGTCGAGTCGACGTCCAAATGTTGGAGCCTCCCAAAGGGTCGCACACCATCTCTGCACAACACCAGGATTAGGATCATTCTATGAACACACCGAGTCCAGCTGCGAAAGACAGAGACAGGACTGGACGGAAAACAATCAGGGTTTGTGTCGTCAACTGGGTTTAATAAAGTTTAATTTGAATTAGGATTATTACATTCAGGGTTGTGTGTGTGTGTAGATTATTTTAGTGGTAAAATAAAGGGTGTGGTCGATTTTTGATTATAAAAAATAGCTTTAAAACCATTTCTACCACATAAGCACAGACTCAGTGGGGGCCGCACTGACAGTACAGTTTGATGTACACTAGGGGGCGACACTATACGTCTCTGCGGCCCCACAGCAGAGGTCAGGTTTACCGGGGCTGATGCTGAAGTCGTTCTGGATCCTGTTCCTCCGCATGCAGGTGGGCGTGTCTGTGACCGCGGACATGTGCGAGGACAGCTGCATGGCGCACAGAGGATACTGCGGGATGCTGCCGTTCTCACCGCGGTTATGGTCCTGGTAACACTGGAGCAGACAGACACGGGTCAGGGTCAGATGGTTTCAGTCCATGAGTTTACAGACGCGGTGCTGTTCAGACTAAACTAAACACTAAAACAGCGGGTACCTGGCGGATGACTCGGGTGTCGTTGTCTTCTTTCATAGAGAAGATGGGGAAGGGGAACTCCTCGTACGACAGGCCGTTTCCAAAAGGATTCCACATGGTCCTGTTGCAGTGAGCGTAGGTCGGGTCGTAGGTCTCCGTGTACACGCCTGTGGACAAACATGTGCTTTAGAAAGGCAGACAACAGAAGCTGATGTGTACAACTGTCTGAACCAATCACAGATCAGAGATCTCTAAGATTCTGCTTCACTTCTTTTTCTGCTCCATTTAAAGTTTGCTCGTTGAAAGAGAAAGCTCTGGATTTATTCCTCAGTCTCTGATCTTTGAGAAGTGACGAGATCGTGGATCTCTAAATACAGACACGCTTGGCTACATCCTGTATTTACATGAATACACACTCTCCCTCCCACTAAATAAGGGAGCTTCATCCACAGAGTGGCTGAGGCTCCCTTAGAGATGGGGAGGAGCTCAGTCACAAGGTAGGAGCTCAGAGTAGAGCCACTGCTCCTCCATGTGGAGGTGGCTCTACTGTGTGGGATGCCTCCTGGTCTCCTCCCTGAGGGGGTGTTCTGGATATTTCCCACAGGGAGGAGACCCAGGACTCAGAGGGCCTGTGTCTCAGCCTCAGATTCCCCCAGATGAGCTGGAGGAGGTGTGTGTGGAGAGGGAAATGGACGGACTGATTGTGTGTTGTGTGTTGTGTGTTGTATGTTGTGTGTTGTGTGTTGTGCTGGAGCAGCACCTGAGTTCTCGTTGGGGCAGGTGGTGTGAGGAGAGAAGCCTCCGGGTAAGTTTGTGTTTGGCTCAATCACAGCGACACCTGCAACTCTGCGAGAACCGTCCTTTAGTTTCATCAAGATTGACCTGTAACAGAGACAGAGACATGAGAGAGAGACAGGAGAGAGAGACGGAGACAGGAGAGAGAGACAGGAGAGAGAGATGGAGACATGAGAGAGAGACAGGAGAGAGACAGGAGAGAGCGACAGAGACATGAGAGAGACAGGAGAGAGAGACAGAGACATGAGAGAGAGACAGGAGAGAGAGACAGAGACATGAGAGAGAGACAGGAGAGAGAGACAGAGACAGGAGAGAGACATGAGAGAGACAGGAGAGAGAAACAGGAGAGAGAGACATGAGAGAGACAGGAGAGAGAGACAGAGACATGAGAGAGAGACAGAGACATGAGAGACATGAGAGAGACAGGAGAGAGAGACAGAGACATGAGAGAGAGACAGAGACATGAGAGAGAGACAGAGACATGAGAGAGAGACAGGAGAGAGAGACAGAGACATGAGAGACATGAGAGAGAGACAGAGACATGAGAGAGAGACAGGAGAGAGAGACAGGAGAGAGAGACAGAGACATGAGAGAGAGACAGAGACATGAGAGAGAGACAGAGACATGAGAGAGACAGGAGAGAGAGACAGAGACATGAGAGAGAGACAGAGACATGAGAGAGAGACAGGAGAGAGAGACAGAGACATGAGAGACATGAGAGAGAGACAGAGACATGAGAGAGAGACAGGAGAGAGAGACAGAGACATGAGAGAGAGACAGAGACATGAGAGACATGAGAGGGACAGGAGAGAGAGACAGAGACATGAGAGAGAGACATGAGAGAGAGACAGGAGAGAGAGACAGAGACATGAGAGAGAGACAGGAGAGAGAGACAGAGACATGAGAGGGACAGGAGAGAGAGACAGAGACATGAGAGAGAGACAGAGACATGAGAGAGAGACAGGAGAGAGAGACAGAGACATGAGAGAGAGACAGGAGAGAGAGACAGAGACATGAGAGAGAGACAGGAGAGAGAGACAGAGACAGGAGAGAGAGACAGGAGAGAGAGACAGAGACATGAGAGAGACAGGAGAGAGAGACATGAGAGAGACAGGAGAGAGAGACAGAGACATCACACATGAGAGAGAGACAGGAGAGAGAGACAGAGACATGAGAGAGAGACAGGAGAGAGATGAGACAGCGCAGGACACGGTTTAACCAGCACAGAGGAGGTAGATCCAGTTACTGCACCACGCCTGGATTATGTACAAAATGAAAAAATTATCTGGGGCGACAGTAGCTCAGTAGAGCATTGGCTTTTGAGCCTGAAGGTTGTGGGTTCGAGTCCACGTCAAGACCTACATCACAACTCCCACTGATGACTGCTGTCATTATGTCCTTGGGAAAGACACTTAACCCCACTCAGCCTGAAGCTCTGACTGCTACCCCCGACCCAGAAATGGATTAGGGGGAAGAAAGTGAATGGATGGAGGAATGGTTATTTTTCGGGAAACAATGATTAAACGACAGACAATTTAGTTTGGGTTTAGGTTGTGTCTCTGTACCTGGTGAAGAGCTCCGCCTCCAGGATGACCATATAAGGAGGGCTGTGTCCGGTGTTCAGGACCCAGTCGAGGTTCTCCTCCGACTCCAGAACGTGCAGGACGCCCACATCGCCAGAGAGAGAGGCTGAAAGAGGAGAGCGAATTATCACACACAGAGAGAGGGAGAGAGAGAGAGGCTGAAAGAGGAGAGCGAATTATCACACACAGAGGAGAGAGAGGCTGAAAGAGGAGAGCGAATTATCACACACAGAGGAGAGAGAGGCTGAAAGAGGAGAGCGAATTATCACACACAGAAGAGAGAGAGGCTGAAAGAGGAGAGCGAATTATCACACACAGAGAGAGGGAGAGAGAGAGGCTGAAAGAGGAGAGACTCTCTTTCTGGTCTCTCTCGGCTCTCTCACTCTGGTCTCTCTCCGCTCTCTCTCTCCGCTCTCTCACTCTGCTCTCTCTCTCCGCTCTCTTTCACTCTGCTCTCTCTCTCTGCTCTCTCTCTGATTAACCAGTGATCTGAGACTCTCTTTAAACCACAGGGAAATGTAAAAGGAGCACATTATTTGACGATTTAAAAAGAAGTGGGAAAGATTTTCCTTTTTACAAACAAACACATGATGCACTGTGTCCACAGTCACAAGGTGTGTTCAACTCACACACCACTGCTGAAGTCTCTCTCCGTGCTCCCTCTCTCCTTCTGATCTCTCTTTCTCTCTCTGGTCTCTATCTATCTAAGTCTCTCTATCTGGTCTCTCTCACTCTCTGGTGTATCTCGCTGGTCTATCTCTGGTCTCTCTCTCTCTGGTCTCTCCCGTTCTCTTTCTGGTCTCTCTCTCTCTGGTCTCTATCTCCCTCTAGCCTCTATCTCTACCTGACTCTCTGGTCTCTCTCCCTCTAGCCTCTCTCTCTCTCTGGTCTCTCTCTCTCTCGTCTCTCTCCCTCTAGCCTCTCTCTCTCAAGTCTCTCTCCCTCTAGCCTCTCTCTCTCTATCTGGTCTCTCTCACTCTCTGGTCTATCTCGCTGGTCTATCTCTGGTCTCTCTCACTCTGGTCTCTCCCGCTCTCTTTCTGGTCTCTCTCTCTCTGGTCTATTTCTGGTCTCTCCCTCTCTTTCTGGTCTCTCTCGCTCCGGTCTTTCTCTCTGCACTGTAGGAAAAAGCTTCACCCTGGACGTGTCTGAGGCCGAGGCCGATTCAAACCTGTGAGAATCGCTCTGAATCAGCAGTGAGTGAAAGACGTGAGAGAAACCCCGGGGACTCACACTGGCAGCCGATCTGGTGCGTGGCGTTGAGCAGCCGCACACAGGCCACGGTGTAGTTCAGATTCAAGTAGATCTTCTTCTCCATCGAATTACAGCAGATCCCTGAAAACACACCACGAAAACACGTGAGGATTCAGAAGTATCGCGATCTTTAGGCCACAATTCAATATTATCGCGATTCTTCACAATTCGAGATAAAGACAGAATGTGATTCATGTTCTTCATATTAGCAAACAGACATCATAGAGTCACAACAGACATCATAGAGTCACAACAAGCAGACGTCATAGAGTCACAACAAGCAGACATCATAGAGTCACAACAAGCAGATGTCATAGAGTCACAACAAGCAGACGTCATAGAGTCACAACAAGCAGACATCATAGAGTCACAACAAGCAGACGTCATAGAGTCACAACAAGCAGACGTCATAGAGTCACAACAAGCAGACGTCATAGAGTCACGACAAGCAGACGTCATAGAGTCACGACAAGCAGACGTCATAGAGTCACGACAAGCAGACGTCATAGAGTCACGACAAGCAGACGTCATAGAGTCACGACAAGCAGACGTCATAGAGTCACGACAAGCAGACATCATAGAGTCACAACAAGCAGACGTCATAGAGTCACAACAAGCAGACGTCATAGAGTCACAACAAGCAGACGTCATAGAGTCACAACAAGCAGACGTCATAGAGTCACGACAAGCAGACGTCAGTCACGACAAGCAGACGTCATAGAGTCACAACAAGCAGACGTCATAGAGTCACGACAAGCAGACGTCATAGAGTCACAACAAGCAGACGTCAGAGTCACGACAAGCAGACGTCATAGAGTCACAACAAGCAGACGTCATAGAGTCACGACAAGCAGACGTCATAGAGTCACAACAAGCAGACGTCATAGAGTCACGACAAGCAGACGTCATAGAGTCACAACAAGCAGACGTCATAGAGTCACGACAAGCAGACGTCATAGAGTCACGACAAGCAGACATCATAGAGTCACAACAAGCAGACGTCATAGAGTCACAACAAGCAGACGTCATAGAGTCACAACAAGCAGACGTCATAGAGTCACAACAAGCAGACGTCATAGAGTCACGACAAGCAGACGTCAGAGTCACGACAAGCAGACGTCATAGAGTCACAACAAGCAGACGTCATAGAGTCACGACAAGCAGACGTCATAGAGTCACAACAAGCAGACGTCAGAGTCACGACAAGCAGACGTCATAGAGTCACAACAAGCAGACGTCATAGAGTCACGACAAGCAGACGTCATAGAGTCACAACAAGCAGACGTCATAGAGTCACAACAAGCAGACATCATAGAGTCACAACAAGCAGACGTCATAGAGTCACAACAAGCAGACGTCATAGAGTCACAACAAGCAGACGTCATAGAGTCACAACAAGCAGACGTCACAGAGTCACAACAAGCAGACGTCATAGAGTCACAACAAGCAGACGTCATAGAGTCACAACAGGCAGACGTCATAGAGTCACAACAAGCAGACGTCATAGAGTCACAACAAGCAGACGTCATAGAGTCACGACAAGCAGACGTCATAGAGTCACAACAAGCAGACGTCAGAGTCACGACAAGCAGACGTCATAGAGTCACAACAAGCAGATGTCATAGAGTCACAACAAGCAGACGTCATAGAGTCACAACAAGCAGACGTCATAGAGTCACAACAAGCAGACATCATAGAGTCACAACAAGCAGACGTCATAGAGTCACAACAAGCAGACGTCATAGAGTCACGACAAGCAGACGTCATAGAGTCACAACAAGCAGACGTCATAGAGTCACGACAAGCAGACGTCATAGAGTCACGACAAGCAGACATCATAGAGTCACAACAAGCAGACGTCATAGAGTCACAACAAGCAGACGTCATAGAGTCACAACAAGCAGACGTCATAGAGTCACAACTAGCAGACGTCATAGAGTCACAACAAGCAGACGTCATAGAGTCACGACAAGCAGACGTCAGTCACGACAAGCAGACGTCATAGAGTCACAACAAGCAGACGTCATAGAGTCACGACAAGCAGACGTCATAGAGTCACAACAAGCAGACGTCAGAGTCACGACAAGCAGACGTCATAGAGTCACAACAAGCAGACGTCATAGAGTCACGACAAGCAGACGTCATAGAGTCACAACAAGCAGACGTCATAGAGTCACAACAAGCAGACGTCATAGAGTCACGACAAGCAGACGTCATAGAGTCACGACAAGCAGACGTCATAGAGTCACGACAAGCAGACGTCATAGAGTCACAACAAGCAGACGTCATAGAGTCACGACAAGCAGACGTCATAGAGTCACGACAAGCAGACATCATAGAGTCACAACAAGCAGACGTCATAGAGTCACAACAAGCAGACGTCATAGAGTCACAACAAGCAGACGTCATAGAGTCACGACAAGCAGACGTCATAGAGTCACAACAAGCAGACGTCAGAGTCACGACAAGCAGACGTCATAGAGTCACAACAAGCAGACGTCATAGAGTCACGACAAGCAGACGTCATAGAGTCACAACAAGCAGACGTCATAGAGTCACAACAAGCAGACATCATAGAGTCACAACAAGCAGACGTCATAGAGTCACAACAAGCAGACGTCATAGAGTCACAACAAGCAGACGTCATAGAGTCACAACAAGCAGACGTCACAGAGTCACAACAAGCAGACGTCATAGAGTCACAACAAGCAGACGTCATAGAGTCACAACAGGCAGACGTCATAGAGTCACAACAAGCAGACGTCATAGAGTCACAACAAGCAGACGTCATAGAGTCACGACAAGCAGACGTCATAGAGTCACAACAAGCAGACGTCAGAGTCACGACAAGCAGACGTCATAGAGTCACAACAAGCAGATGTCATAGAGTCACAACAAGCAGACGTCATAGAGTCACAACAAGCAGACGTCATAGAGTCACAACAAGCAGACATCATAGAGTCACAACAAGCAGACGTCATAGAGTCACAACAAGCAGACGTCATAGAGTCACGACAAGCAGACGTCATAGAGTCACAACAAGCAGACGTCATAGAGTCACGACAAGCAGACGTCATAGAGTCACAACAAGCAGACATCATAGAGTCACAACAAGCAGACGTCATAGAGTCACAACAAGCAGACGTCATAGAGTCACAACAAGCAGACGTCATAGAGTCACAACTAGCAGACGTCATAGAGTCACAACAAGCAGACGTCATAGAGTCACAACAAGCAGACGTCATAGAGTCACAACAAGCAGACGTCACAGAGTCACAACAAGCAGACGTCATAGAGTCACAACAAGCAGACGTCATAGAGTCACAACAAGCAGACGTCATAGAGTCACAACAAGCAGACGTCATAGAGTCACAACAAGTAGACGTCATAGAGTCACAACAAGCAGACGTCATAGAGTCACAACAAGCAGACGTCATAGAGTCACAGAAACCTCAGATGATGAATATCGCGATACTTTTCTTTGCTGAATCGATTTCATTTTGTGAGCAAATTATCGCGATACTGAACAGAATGGATTTTTCCCACCACTAGTCGTACCCATGGACCTGGGTTAGTGTTCCCCAACCACCAACTGAACAATACAAAACTCTGCAGCCTTTATCAACGTCATTCTCATCAATGTTTATTATACAGAAAATCAAACAAGAATAAAAAAAACATTATTTTCATTTTCAGCTTGATTTTGACCAAGCAGGTGATATACTATTTCCAAGGCACACCAAGAACCATCTCATGTCACATCAGCATGCCACGGCCCACTGGTTGAAAAACACCACTCTCGGTTGTACCTGCATCAGCTACTTGGCCATGTTTACCTGATGTTTACTCTACTTCTTCTCACTTCAACACTGGACTTTCTCCTATCAAAAAGCAAAGCCGTAATCGCTGCGTCCACTTTACAGCAGGAAAATTAGTGCCAAATATTGACTTAGCATTAAACATGCATCTGTTTACGCTGCGGCTCGTAAACCTGTGTGTGGCTACAACAAACATTAGTCTGGACGCCCTTTTACTCATAGGTCACTTTGATACACACATGATCACTGTGAGACAAAATTACCTTCACTTCTACAATAAATATTAAACGTCTTAATCTTTCTAAAATATTACAATAAACAAAGAAAATCTAAATAAAACAGTGTTTCTACAGCACACTTCTTTCTATACATTTATAATTATATATTTTTTGTATCCCAATTAAACAAATATTATCCAAGCGAAGCCCCACTTTTCAGCTGGTCCTCTTGATTTCACTTTTCTCTCTCAAAAGCTAAAGATTTGACAGTTTTATATAGAGACAGTATAGACCGGTCGGAACAGGGCCTTTCTGAGTGGAGTTTCCATGTTCTCCGTCTGTGTAGGTTTTCCTCCGTGTGCTCCGGTTTCCCCTACCATTAAAATCATGTAAAACAGATCTGGTATGTGCCTCCTGTAGACAACCTGCTCCATCTCTGTGCTATATTAAAACAAATACTTACATAGATAGGATAAATATACTGACAACCTGCTCTCTGACTGAATATTGTAAACACACGATAGAACTCATTCCCAGAAAAAAATGGTTAATTATGATTTTCTCTGGGGACACATACAAACGATGTAGATGTCAATTAAAATAAGCATTTATAAATTACTGCGGAACAAAAATGTGACGTCACCTTAACAACTAACACCAGAATTCTCTAAATAAACGTATATATATATTTTGTACGTTATCGTTGACTTGAAGTATGCATTCCCAGCAGATTGAGACCAATGATAACACACCTGTCATAAAAGCTAGAATTGTTTAAGTATTTTTTTATGAATGAAAACTGCCTTTAATCTCACATTAGAGTCAGAGGCACCGATCACGAGCAGTCACGCTGGAGCTTATGCACCCGGCTACAACACACACATACAACTATGGGGAAATAAATCTGCTTTTATGCATCTGTACATGTGTCTAGAGCCTGTGTCTGTCTTTGTAAAATATATAAATAAAAGTGTAAATAACAGAATGGACGCGGGGGCAAAGCAGGTGTGGATGCTAGCGGCAGCGTTAGCATCGAGCTAGCTCCGGGCACAATGAAAAGTCCACGGTCTGCCCCAGAAAACTCAGGGAAATGTGGAATAAAGAGGTAAATAAGAGAGGATATGTGGTGACTCGGGTTGACAATGACTTACCGGTGACGAAAGAGCAAATAAACAGACACAATATCCATTTGTTCGGCTGTAAATCCATCTTCCTGGTTTGAAAAGAGAGAAACACAACACGAAAAGTCCGCTCTGATGACTTCCGGGTTCAACTTCCGCTTTGAGACACTTAAAAACAAATGCTTTTTCGCACAAAAAAAGAAATAAAAGTAACAAATTATGTGGAATAATTCATCCTGTACATATTAAATAGTAATTTTTGAGTTTTTAATGTATGTTGCAATAGTGTTCCTCAGAAGAAAAAAAAAAAAAGATTAACACTTGAACTTCCAAAGCATTCATAACAGTTTATTTCTGTAATTATGAATTATGGTAATTATGGTTTTTATCATTTAGTATTTCAACAAGGGCTAAGATCTATGACTTAAAAGTAATATGGGAGGATATTCTTCTTCCGGGTGGATGACCGAGACATATTACTATTAGACTTTCAGAGGGTTGTGGGTAGCACCAAGTAAGACATGTAAACAACATGTAAACAACATGTAAACAACATGTAAACAACATGTAAATATTAAACCAAAAGCCCCCAATTTCAAACACGAATGTGATGAACATAAACTCACACAAAGCCATAGTTCACATGAGACAAGATTAAACACAATGTCATCAAAATTCACATTTTCTCAGGTTTAAAAATCACACGCTTTTGTCCAAACAGTAAAATGATTATTTTGTCTTTATTAATGCTTAAGCCTCACACTTCAGTAAGAAATCTTTATTCATATAAAGACTCCTCAAAGAGATGGGAGCGGCTCATGCCCTATCGAGCAGGTTTTTAGTGGTAGGGGAAACCGGAGCACCCGGAGGAAACCTACGCAGACACGGAGAGAACATGCAAACTCCACTCAGAAAGGCCCTGTTCCGACCGGGATTCGAACCTTCTTGCTGAGAGGCGAGAGTGCTAACCACTCAGCCACCGTGTCGCCCATAAGGTCTTCAGTTGGACCTGTTTCCACTTCATCAGAAAAGCCTTTTCCAACAACGTGGAACCGTTCATCGAATCTTTACCAAGACGTACGCCGCTTTACCGTAACATACGCCACTTTACCGTACAGCGCTTTACCGTAACATACGCCACTTTACCGTACAGCGCTTTACCGTAACATACGCCACTTTACCGTAACGTACGGCGCTTTACCGTACAGCGCTTTACCGTAACATACGTCACTTTACCAAAACGTACGGCGCTTTACCGTGCAGCGCTTTACCGTAACATACGTCACTTTACCATAACGTTCGTCACTTTACCGTAACGTACAGCGCTTTACCATAACGTACGGCACTTTACCGTAACATACGGCGCTTTACCATAACGTTCGTCATTTTACCGTAACGTACAGCGCTTTACCATAACGTACGTCACTTTACCGTAACATACGTCACTTTACCATAACGTACGTCACTTTACCGTAACGTACAGCGCTTTACCATAACGTTCGTCACTTTACCATAACGTACAGCGCTTTACCATAACGTTTGTCACTTTACCGTAACGTACGGCGCTTTACCATAACGTTTGTCATTTTACCGTAACGTACAGCGCTTTACCATAACGTACGTCACTTTACCGTAACATACGTCACTTTACCATAACGTACGTCACTTTACCGTAACGTACAGCGCTTTACCATAACGTTCGTCACTTTACCGTAACGTACAGCGCTTTACCATAACGTTCGTCACTTTACCGTAACGTACAGCGCTTTACCGTAACGTTCGTCACTTTACCGTAACGTACAGCGCTTTACCGTGATGTACGGTGCTTTACCAAGACGTACGGCACTTTACCGTAACATACGTCACTTTACCATAACGTTCGTCACTTTACCGTAACCTTAAAGTTATTAAAGTAATTTTTAAAAATTGGTGACTTTTTAAAAAAAACTTTTCAAAAACATCAACAAAGTTTGTACCATCTTCAAACCTTAGTCTTTTTCTCTGCATCAAATCAAGAACATTTGACGCCGAGAAGAAGAAAAGTTGGTTTAAGGTTTTAGAGGAAGTTACAGAACGTTCATTTTTCTGCTGCAAAAATATTAATATTTTTGCCTCAAAATGAATTTTGAACAATTCAGAAGTGAGAGGGTCTTAACAGTATCTACAGAAGGGAGAGGGTCTTAACAGTATCTACAGAAGGGAGAGGGTCTTAACAGTATCTACAGAAGGGAGAGGGTCTTAACAGTATCTACAGAAGGGAGAGGGTCTTAACAGTATCTACAGAAGGGAGAGGGTCTTAACAGTATCTACAGAAGGGAGAGGGTCTTAACAGTATCTACAGAAGTGAGAGGGTCTTAACATTATCTACAGAAGGGAGAGGGTCTTAACAGTATCTACAGAAGGGAGAGGGTCTTAACAGTATCTACAGAAGGGAGAGGGTCTTAACAGTATCTACAGAAGGGAGAGGGTCTTAACAGTATCTACAGAAGGGAGAGGATCTTAACGGTATCTACAGAAGGGAGAGGGTCTTAACAGTATCTACAGAAGGGAGAGGGTCTTAACAGTATCTACAGAAGGGAGAGGGTCTTAACAGTATCTACAGAAGGGAGAGGGTCTTAACAGTATCTACAGAAGGGAGAGGGTCTTAACAGTATCTACACAGCGCGTGGTGGACTGAGTGGAAGAAGGAGCTCAGTCTGCTCCTCTTCTTCTTGGGTCCAACCAGGCGGTTGTGGATCTCTGAGATGATGCAGTCGCTGAAACCTTCTTGGATCAAAGCAGCAAAGTGGACCCATGTCTTCTTGTTTCCTGACCACAGCTCTTTGTAAACGTCACAAGTGATTCTTTTGATGCAGTCCGGACTCTCCTTTATCCTCCACTCCCACATTTGTTCCTCCAGTCGCTGAGACAGCTTCGTCACCAGAGGATGTGTCGGAGACAGGTCTTTGTCCTGGAGAATATGTCTGGACACCCCCCACGGTAGATCCTGGATCTGACTGGTCTCCCACTGAGAGGAGACCTCATGGTTCTTTATGATGAGACCTGAGGCCTGGTCTGGGACCTGGTCTGGGACCAGCTGCAGAGGCCTGAGCGGGGTTTCAGAGGGAGAGTATCTGATCTTTATGGGAGACCTTTCTCGCTCGCTCATGGAGATGCTCTTCATTGGGGTCTGGTCCTCCTCAGTCTGTGAGGTCTGGTCTGGGATCAGGACCAGGGCATCAGAGTTATACCTGATGGTTTTCACCTGCTGAGACTCGCTGATGGATGAAGTCACCTGTGCAGGAGCAACACGGGGAGACTTTTCTGATTCACTCATGGAAAATCTTTCAACCGGGGTCTTGGTCACTTCAAGCCCACTCTGCAGGTCCTGGGCCGGTCTCTGCTTTCTCTTCTTCTTTGGTTTGGTCAAAGACCTCTGAGCTGGTTCCTGGTTCTGTGGCGGTTCACAAAATGAGGTCTGCTCAGTCTCATGGGTCTCGGTCTCATGGGTCTCAGTCTCATGGGTCTCGGTCTCATTGGTCTCGGCCTCACGGGTCTCGGCCTCACGGGTCTCGGCCTCACGGGTCTCGGCCTCACGGGTCTCGGCCTCACGGGTCTCGGCCTCACGGGTCTCGGCCTCACGGGTCTCGGCCTCACGGGTCTCGGCCTCACGGGTCTCGGCCTCACGGGTCTCGGCCTCCTCTTGGGGGACCCCAGGGGAGTGTCTCTGCATCAGGACTTCTCCAAATGAAAGAATGTCCCACTCCTCCTGCTTCACCTCCATCTGCTCCATCAGAGGTTCTGCAGAGACATGAGCTCGACCCGGGGAAGGGTTTCTCTCACTGACCTCTGTCCTCGCTCTCTCCTGTTCTGACTCTTCAGTCGCTTCGATGGACGTCTCCACTTCCAGCACCTCTGTTTTCAGGTGGCTCTCAGTGAGACCTTTGGAGATCTCGGCCTGTATGAGTCGGTCCCACTGGTCGGAGAAGGTCATGTGGGGCAGGAACATAGAAGCCTGAGCAGCGATGTGGTGCAGAGTGCTCCGTGCTGTGGAGCAGTCCTTCTGCTCCACCAGCAGCAGACGCTCAAAGCCACAGTTGTCCTTCAGCACAGAGTTGACCGTCTTAGTCACTTCTGCACTGAGGAGTTTGATGACTCGGTCCAGGGCGACGAACTCATCTGTGGACTTGGTTTTCAGGAAGGTTCTGAAGATGGGGCTGAGAGAAGCTCTGACTCCTGTGTGCGACACCTGCACCTCACCAGGGGAACACTCATAAAGGCACTTCCCGGTCACCAGCGCCCTGAGGACCTCATTGGCCGACACACGGATCAGATCCATGAACATGTCCTCCATCTTGGCCTTGGCCTCCTGCTCAGTGATGTCCTGAGCTCGAAGTTTGTCCCAGAAGGATCTGAGAAGACACTTTATATCTTCTCCGATGACAATGGGCAGATCCTCCAGAGTCGTCTTGCTTCCACTCATGGCCTTATCTGGCGACCTCTGAGTGGAGTAAATCTGGCCCGACTGAAATCTCTCTGAAAATCTCTGGGTCTGTGGCCCCGTCTTGGCGTCCTCTATCTCCTGTAACATCTCTCTATAGAGAGACCTGTCCTTGTTATTGCTTCCTGCCATAATGAAGATTAAACTAAATACTTTCTGTGGTTTATGATCCTATTGAGTAAATCTGCTGTCTGCCGGACACTGCTGGACAACTTTTTGTGAAATCTATCGATGACACGTAGAACATTCCAGTTTCCATGGTAACGGGATTCTATGGAATGAATCCAGGTGGAAACACGATGCAGTGTGTTACCATGGAAACCTCTGTTTGGAAGTTGTTTCTATAATGAATATAGTGGTGTGAAAAAAAACAACATTCTCACGTCGAGAGGAACCAGTTGAGGTGGCTCGGGCATCTGTTCCGGATGCCTCCTGGACACCTCCCTGGGGAGGTGTTCCGGGCACGTCCCACCGGAAGGAGGCCCCGGGGAAGACCCAGGACACGCTGGATGGACTGTGTCTCTCAGCTGGCCTGGGAACGCCTTGGGGTCCCCCCGGACGAGCTGGAGGAAGTGTGTGTGGATAGGGAAGTCTGGGCGTCTCTGATTAGACTGCTGCCCCCGCGACCCGAGTCTGCCCCGAGTCTTTGAATAGGAGGAATCACAATGTATCGCATCAAATCACAAAACTGTCTGTATCGCGATATGCAAAGAATCACAATAATATCAAATTGTGGCCCAAATATCACAAAACTATTGAATCCTCACATATTTGCAGATTCCCATCACAGACAGACATGTGTGTCCCACCGCTGTCAGACTGTACAATAAGTCACTTTAAAGGTGCAGTAAGCAATTTTGTTAGCTTAGCCGTAGCACCAACTGGAAACCACTCCCCCCTCCCCACCAAACCACTCCCCCCTCCCTCTCCACCAAACCACTCCCCCCTCCCCTCCCTCTCCACCAAACCACTCCCCCCTCCCCTCCCTCTCCACCAAACCACTCCCCCCTCCCCTCTCCACCAAACCACTCCCCCCTCCCCTCCCTCTCCACCAAACCACTCCCCCCTCCCTCCTCCACCAAACCACTCCCCCCTCCCCTCCCCTCCACCAAACCACTCCCCCGTCCCCTCCCCTAAACCACTCCCCCCTCCCCTCCCCTCCACCAAACCACTCCCCCCTCCCCTCCCCTCCACCAAACCACTCCCCCCTCCCCTCCCCTCCACCAAACCACTCCCCCCTCCCTTCACCAAACCACTCCCCCCTCCCCTCTCCACCAAACCACTCCCCCCTCCCCTCCACCAAACCACTCCCCCCTCCCCTCTCCACCAAACCACTCCCCCCTCCCCTCTCCACCAAACCACTCCCCCCTCCCCTCTCCACCAAACCACTCCCCCCCCCCCTCCACCAAACCACTCCCCCCTCCCCTCCACCAAACCACTCCCCCCCCTCCACCAAACCACTCCCCCCTCCCCTCTCCACCAAACCACTCCCCTCGCTCCCCTCTCCCCAATGTGCATTTGTCCATCACAGATCAATAAAGTTTATCTGATGTCTGGTGATATGTGAGACACGGCGTTCCCTTTGAGCAGGGCAGTTCTTTCTGAAAATTCAGAAAAATCCTCTGAAATACCTTTAAGACAATTCAAAATAACACATTCTTGAGCTGGGACGCACGGACAGAAGCGAGGCAGTCTTTGCCATCGGCCCAACCCACCACCAACCATTCACACCTGCACTACTGTGGCACATGGTGTTCCCAGAGGTCTCCCATCACAGTACTAACCAGGCCCTTCCCTGCTTAGCTTCAGAGGTCTGACAAGATCTGATTTCACATGCAGTATTTCAGAGTAAGTTTAGGCAGCTTCAGAATGCAGATTTGATTGGGTAATAATTGGGTGTTATTTAATTCTGTGTGTTACTGCAGTTAGTCGCAAAAATGCTAAGTCGGCGTGTTGCAAATGTGCCGATCACAACAAAACATTTTCTTTAAACCTTTGCGTTCTCTCTCAAACACAAACGAACCCAAACACTGCAGTTATATCTACTCAAAAAGAAACCAGAACTCAGCGTGTTGTATTTTCTGCTTTATTGATTTGAATACTTTATACTTTAGAAGCAGCAAAAGGACAACAGCACGGAGAGAACCCAAGAAGCATCATTCCTCAGTAAGTGTCGGTTACATAAAAACATTTCCATAGAGAGTGAACGAGGAGCAGAGCGTGTTACGTCTTTGGGAATAATTCTATGACTTTTGTGTTAAACTGAAGCCGTGTGACATCGCAGCAGCTTCTCTGGTTTTAACGAAACTGCAGCGGACTCACGCGCAGACCGATCACATCTTTGCCGATCTCCGTCACCTGGAAACAAGAAATATATACAGTTATTCATGGTATTGGACTGGGTCTACAGCCTCAGTCCTGGGTCTACAGCCTCAGTCCTGGGTCTACAGTCTCAGTCCTGGGTCTACAGCCTCAGTCCTGGGTCTACAGCCTCAGTCCTGGATCTACAGCCTCAGTCCTGGGTCTACAGCCTCAGTCCTGGGTCTACAGCAGGGGTGCTCAATACGTCGATCGCGATCTACCAGTCGATCGCAAAGGTAGTATTGGTAGATCGCATTAAATAAATAAAAAATTACACATTCTAAACAATAATATACAAAAAACTCCGGGCAAAGTGGAGATTTTTGAAAACTCCGTTAATGCATTTGTGTGTAGACAGAGATAACCAGAGTTTTGCGTTCTCGCACGCCACAGTACCCCCCTAAATTCCTCTGATCACTGAAGCATGGATCATACTACCTTAAAAACTGTTCGCTGTGAGATGCTCGCAGCAGCGAACATCCTCCACATCAGAGAGCAGCAAAGTGATCGCGGGGACTCACGCTCGAAAACAACCAAACCAGGACTAAACCAGGACTAAACCAGGGCTGAGGACGGGGTCAGTGCTTGTAAACATACGTCTTTACTCTGAGTGTCTTCTTCGACTGTAAAAGTGCCGTTACCGGCGTCTGCATCAAAGCTCCGCCCACTTCTGTGTTTTTCCCCAACGCAGGACAGGACGTAAGAGACGCACATGTTTGGAATGTTACGAATGTGACTGATAACGCAGATGTGTGGATGCAAATTATTTTATAAACGGAGGATGGGAAATATTTGGATTTAAAAAAAAAACAGGCATGGCACATGGACATGGCACCACAGTCACATGACATCTGTGTTTTACTCAGTAATGTTTTACTGACACTTACAGTAGGTGACTGCACATGCGCAAACAACCGCTCAGTGCAGGAAAACTAAACCACGACAAACTTGCCAGCGAGTTACCGCCAATTTTCCGGACTATGCCTCCCTGGCCGATTCAATTCAGTGCAAGTCATCAGAGTAAACTCGGGTAATGACAAAAAATGTACATAGGTAATTGTGTTGTGCAATATTGGCTCATGCGGTTTTGCACGTACATAAACATACATTGTAGGTATAAAGAATATTTTTTGAAATAAATATATGATTTGCATTTTTGTAGTAGGTAGATCATTTTGACTTGATCCTTTTATAAGTAGCTCGCATGCTGAAAAAGTGTGAGCACCCCTGGTCTACAGCCTCAGTCCTGGGTCTACAGCCTCAGTCCCGTCAGTCCTGGGTCTACAGCCTCAGTCCCGTCAGTCCTGGGTCTACAGCCTCAGTCCCGTCAGTCCTGGGTCTACAACCTCAGTCCCGTCAGTCCTGGGTCTACAGCCTCAGTCCCGTCAGTCCTGGGTCTACAACCTCAGTCCCGTCAGTCCTGGGTCTACAACCTCAGTCCCGTCAGTCCTGGGTCTACAGCCTCAGTCCCGTCAGTCCTGGGTCTACAGCCTCAGTTCTGGATACAGACCTGGGTGACCCTGCAGACCTGGCCCTTGTAGGGGGGGCAGTAGCAGGCTCCGGACAGAGGGCACTTCTCAACGGGACGCCCGCGGTACAGGGGCACGTACGAGGCGGCGCACAGGTCAAAGGGATTGTGGGAGTCGTAGTTCAGCTGGTGTGCGTCTGTCAGGTTCTTCTCACACGCAGCCAGGATCTTACGAATCTGGAAGGAAACAGGACAAATGAGAAATCAAGTTTTTTATACAGATTCATGTCAAACTTTCAAAGCCTCGAAGGTTAAACAAAGATGGATTTCTTCTTCAACTTTAGAAGCAACAACGGTAACAGCTGAAATCATTACAACAATAAGCAGGAGCCAGGGATTTTACACTTGATGTTTTGGCCTAAGGGCTAACGAAGCTAACGAAGCTAACGAAGCTAACGAAGCTAACAAAGCTAACGACGCTAACATCTCTCTGTGCCGTCGCAGAAGCTGAAAGGAAGAGGACCTTGATCCTGGTTTTGTGAATGCTGATTCTAAACTACAGTTGAACCTGAACAAAATGCACACAAACTGACAAAAGTGCAGAATTTATTTTTACTTGGATTATCTAAGTAAGTAAGTAGTAAGTAATGTTTATTTATATACCGCCTTTTCACTGCAGTCTCAAAGTGGTTTACAATTGTTATTTTTGGGCATTAGTCTCTCACTCCACAGAGATGGGAGGGGCCAGTACAGGAGGCACAGACCTATTGTACATGTTTTTAGTGGTAGGGGAAACCGGAGCACCCGGAGGAACTCCACTCAGAAAGGCCCTGTTCCGGCCCTGTTCGAACCCAGGACCTTCTTGCTGAGAGGCGAGAGTGCTAACCACTCAGCCATGGAGGAGAAATGACTTTCAGAGGGTTGTGTTTAGCACCAAGTAAGACATGTAAACAACATGTAAACAACATGTAAACAACATGTAAACAACATGTAAACAACATGTAAATATTAAACCAAAAGCCCCCAATTTCAAACACGAATGTGATGAACATAAACTCACACAAAGCCATAGTTCACATGAGACAAGATTAAACACAATGTCATCAAAATTCACATTTTCTCAGGTTTAAAAATCACACGCTTTTGTCCAAACAGTAAAATGATTATTTTGTCTTTATTAATGCTTAAGCCTCACACTTCAGTAAGAAATCTTTATTCATATAAAGACTCCTCAAAGAGATGGGAGCGGCTCATGCCCTATCGAGCAGGTTTTTAGTGGTAGGGGAAACCGGAGCACCCGGAGGAAACCTACGCAGACACGGAGAGAACATGCAAACTCCACTCAGAAAGGCCCTGTTCCGACCGGGATTCGAACCTTCTTGCTGAGAGGCGAGAGTGCTAACCACTCAGCCACCGTGTCGCCCATAAGGTCTTCAGTTGGACCTGTTTCCACTTCATCAGAAAAGCCTTTTCCAACAACGTGGAACCGTTCATCGAATCTTTACCAAGACGTACGCCGCTTTACCGTAACATACGCCACTTTACCGTACAGCGCTTTACCGTACAGCGCTTTACCGTAACGTACAGCGCTTTACCAAAACGTACGGCGCTTTACCGTACAGCGCTTTACCGTAACGTACAGCGCTTTACCGTAACGTACAGCGCTTTACCATAACGTACGTCACTTTACCGTAACATACGTCACTTTACCGTAACGTACGTCACTTTACCATAACGTACGTCACTTTACCGTAACATACGTCACTTTACCGTAACGTACGTCACTTTACCGTAACGTACGTCACTTTACCATAACGTTCGTCACTTTACCGTAACGTACGACGCTTTACCGTAACGTACGTCACTTTACCATAACGTTCGTCACTTTACCATAACGTTCGTCACTTTACCGTAACGTACAGCGCTTTACCGTAACGTACGTCACTTTACCGTAACGTACGGCGCTTTACCAAGACGTACGTCCCTTTACCGTAACGTACGTCCCTTTACCATAACGTACGTCACTTTACCATAACGTACGTCACTTTACCATAACGTACGTCACTTTACCATAACGTACGTCACTTTACCATAACGTACGTCACTTTACCATAACGTACGACGCTTTACCGTAACGTACAGCGCTTTACCGTAACGTACGTCACTTTACCGTAACGTACGGCGCTTTACCAAGACGTACGTCCCTTTACCGTAACGTACGTCCCTTTACCGTAACGTACGTCCCTTTACCATAACGTACGTCACTTTACCATAACGTACGTCACTTTACCATAACGTACGTCACTTTACCATAACGTACGTCACTTTACCATAACGTACGGCGCTTTACCATAACGTACAGCGCTTTACCGTAACCTTAAAGTTGCCTTTGGCTGAAAATTGGTGACTTTTTAAAAAAAGTTTTCAAAAACATCAACAAAGTTTGTACCATCTTCAAACCTTAGTCTTTTTCTCTGCATCAAATCAAGAACATTTGACGCCGAGAAGAAGAAAAGTTGGTTTAAGGTTTTAGAGGAAGTTACAGAACGTTCATTTTTCTGCTGCAAAAATATTAATATTTTTGCCTCAAAATGAATTTTGAACAATTCAGAAGTGAGAGGGTCTTAACAGTATCTACAGAAGGGAGAGGGTCTTAACAGTATCTACAGAAGGGAGAGGGTCTTAACAGTATCTACAGAAGGGAGAGGGTCTTAACAGTATCTACAGAAGGGAGAGGGTCTTAACAGTATCTACAGAAGGGAGAGGGCTTTAACAGTATCTACAGAAGGGAGAGGGTCTTAACAGTATCTACAGAAGTGAGAGGGTCTTAACAGTATCTACAGAAGGGAGAGGGTCTTAACAGTATCTACAGAAGGGAGAGGGTCTTAACAGTATCTACAGAAGGGAGAGGGCTTTAACAGTATCTACAGAAGGGAGAGGGTCTTAACAGTATCTACAGAAGGGAGAGGGTCTTAACAGTATCTACAGAAGGGAGAGGGTCTTAACAGTATCTACAGAAGTGAGAGGGTCTTAACAGTATCTACAGAAGGGAGAGGGTCTTAACAGTATCTACAGAAGGGAGAGGGTCTTAACAGTATCTACAGAAGGGAGAGGGCTTTAACAGTATCTACAGAAGGGAGAGGGTCTTAACAGTATCTACAGAAGGGAGAGGGTCTTAACAGTATCTACAGAAGGGAGAGGATCTAAACAGTATCTACAGAAGGGAGAGGGTCTTAACAGTATCTACAGAAGGGAGAGGGTCTTAACAGTATCTACAGAAGGGAGAGGGTCTTAACAGTATCTACAGAAGTGAGAGGGTCTTAACAGTATCTACAGAAGGGAGAGGGTCTTAACAGTATCTACAGAAGGGAGAGGATCTTAACAGTATCTACAGAAGGGAGAGGGTCTTAACAGTATCTACAGAAGGGAGAGGGTCTTAACAGTATCTACACAGCGCGTGGTGGACTGAGTGGAAGAAGGAGCTCAGTCTGCTCCTCTTCTTCTTGGGTCCAACCAGGCGGTTGTGGATCTCTGAGATGATGCAGTCGCTGAAACCTTCTTGGATCAAAGCAGCAAAGTGGACCCATGTCTTCTTGTTTCCTGACCACAGCTCTTTGTAAACGTCACAAGTGATTCTTTTGATGCAGTCCGGACTCTCCTTTATCCTCCACTCCCACATTTGTTCCTCCAGTCGCTGAGACAGCTTCGTCACCAGAGGATGTGTCGGAGACAGGTCTTTGTCCTGGAGAATATGTCTGGACACCCCCCACGGTAGATCCTGGATCTGACTGGTCTCCCACTGAGAGGAGACCTCATGGTTCTTCCTGATGAGACCTGAGGCCTGGTCTGGGACCTGGTCTGGGACCAGCTGCAGAGGCCTGAGCGGGGTTTCAGAGGGAGAGTATCTGGTCTTTATGGGAGACCTTTCTCGCTCGCTCATGGAGATGCTCTTCATTGGGGTCTGGTCCTCCTCAGTCTGTGAGGTCTGGTCTGGGATCAGGACCAGGGCATCAGAGTTATACCTGATGGTTTTCACCTGCTGAGACTCGCTGATGGATGAAGTCACCTGTGCAGGAGCAACACGGGGAGACTTTTCTGAATCACTCATGGAAAATCTTTCAACTAGGGTCTTGGTCACTTCAAGCCCACTCTGCAGGTCCTGGGCCGGTCTCTGCTTTCTCTTCTTCTTCTCCTTTGGTTTGGTCAAAGACCTCTGAGCTGGTTCCTGGTTCTGTGGCGGTTCACACGACGAGGTCTGCTCGGTCTCACGAGTCTCGGCCTCACGGGTCTCGGCCTCACGGGTCTCGGCCTCACGGGTCTCGGCCTCACGGGTCTCGGCCTCACGGGTCTCGGCCTCACGGGTCTCGGCCTCACGGGTCTCGGCCTCACGGGTCTCGGCCTCACGGGTCTCGGCCTCACGGGTCTCGGCCTCACGGGTCTCGGCCTCACGGGTCTCGGCCTCACGGGTCTCGGCCTCACGGGTCTCGGCCTCACGGGTCTCGGCCTCACGGGTCTCGGCCTCACGGGTCTCGGCCTCACGGGTCTCGGCCTCACGGGTCTCGGCCTCACGGGTCTCGGCCTCACGGGTCTCGGCCTCACGGGTCTCGGCCTCCTCTTGGGGGACCCCAGGGGAGTGTCTCTGCATCAGGACTTCTCCAAATGAAAGAATGTCCCACTCCTCCTGCTTCACCTCCATCTGCTCCATCAGAGGTTCTGCAGAGACATGAGCTCGACCCGGGGAAGGGTTTCTCTCACTGACCTCTGTCCTCGCTCTCTCCTGTTCTGACTCTTCAGTCGCTTCGATGGACGTCTCCACTTCCAGCACCTCTGTTTTCAGGTGGCTCTCAGTGAGACCTTTGGAGATCTCGGCCTGTATGAGTCGGTCCCACTGGTCGGAGAAGGTCATGTGGGGCAGGAACATAGAAGCCTGAGCAGCGATGTGGTGCAGAGTGCTCCGTGCTGTGGAGCAGTCCTTCTGCTCCACCAGCAGCAGACGCTCAAAGCCACAGTTGTCCTTCAGCACAGAGTTGACCGTCTTAGTCACTTCTGCACTGAGGAGTTTGATGACTCGGTCCAGGGCGACGAACTCATCTGTGGACTTGGTTTTCAGGAAGGTTCTGAAGATGGGGCTGAGAGAAGCTCTGACTCCTGTGTGCGACACCTGCACCTCACCAGGGGAACACTCATAAAGGCACTTCCCGGTCACCAGCGCCCTGAGGACCTCATTGGCCGACACACGGATCAGATCCATGAACATGTCCTCCATCTTGGCCTTGGCCTCCTGCTCAGTGATGTCCTGAGCTCGAAGTTTGTCCCAGAAGGATCTGAGAAGACACTTTATATCTTCTCCGATGACGATGGGCAGATCCTCCAGAGTCGTCTTGCTTCCACTCATGGCCTTATCTGGCGACCTCTGAGTGGAGTAAATCTGGCCCGACTGAAATCTCTCTGAAAATCTCTGGGTCTGTGGCCCCGTCTTGGCGTCCTCTATCTCCTGTAACATCTCTCTATAGAGAGACCTGTCCTTGTTATTGCTTCCTGCCATAATGAAGATTAAACTAAATACTTTCTGTGGTTTATGATCCTATTGAGTAAATCTGCTGTCTGCCGGACACTGCTGGACAACTTTTTGTGAAATCTATCGATGACACGTAGAACATTCCAGTTTCCATGGTAACGGGATTCTATGGAATGAATCCAGGTGGACCCACGATGCAGTGTGTTACCATGGAAACCTCTGTTTGGAAGTTGTTTCTATAATGAATATAGTGGTAGGAAAAAAACAACATTCTGTTCAGTATCACGATATTTTGCGCAGACAATTAAATGAACACAGTGGAGCAAAGTATTGGAATATTTAATAATTATTGGTTTCACTTGTTTTCTCAAAGTTTACTTCATCTGCGTATTATTATTATTAGTTTTTCAGCCGAGTTCAAAAGAGCCGCTTCTACACGACATAAATATGAATGATGTCCGTCTGGAGTTTGCTTCACTTTATGTTCAGACCAAAATAAAGGTCAGTCTTATTTTCCTCCATGTTTGTAAAGTATTTGAATCAAATCACAAAACTGTCTGTATCGCGATATGCAAAGAATCACAATAATATCAAATTGTGGCCCAAATATCACAAAACTATTGAATCCTCACATATTTGCAGATTCCCATCACAGACAGACATGTGTGTCCCACCGCTGTCAGACTGTACAATAAGTCACTTTAAAGGTGCAGTAAGCAATTTTGTTAGCCGTAGCACCAACTGGAAACCACTCCCCCCTCTCCACCAAACCACTCCCCCCTCCCCTCCCTCTCCACCAAAACATAACTTGATACTTTTAGGGTTTAGGGACGTTTTGCACGTTTTTCAATATTTTCCAAAATGCGTCTGGAAAAAAAATCTCTGACTGTATCTTTAAGTCCCTAACGACCTGCACTAGGACTGAAAAAACTGCAATAGCCACTTTATCGAACATATATATCTTGCACAGACTATTATTAACTTCAACATGTTTCACGCTTCTGTCTTTTCTGAGTGATTCAATCTGAGCCAAATGTGACGTGTGCATTTGTCCGTCAGAGATCAATAAAGTTTGATCTTATTCGTCAGACAGAACCCTGCGAGTCACTGCTTCACACTTGGACAAACTGCAGAGTCAAGTAAAAACACAGTTAAAGTAATGTTTTCAACAACATGGTTCCGAACCTGCTGCGCTACGTCCGGCTTTGGGCCCAGCTCCAGGAGGCGTCGGGCGAATCCTGCGGCCGTTTTGAAGTTTTTGAGTTTGAAGAACAGATTGAGAGCCGTCCTCAGCACCAGCAACATGTGGACCGGCTGCAGGTTACAGTGGGTGAAGTACGCCGCCATCTAGAGGACAGAGAAGGTACAGGCAGCGTGAGATGGAGAGAAATGGAGAGAAATGGAGAGAGATGGAGAGAGATGGAGAGAGATGGAGAACTCAGAGCAAATGTGTCTTTTAAGGAGAATGTTTTTACACTGGTTTCCAATTCATCACTTGTAATGTCCTGTAACAGAGATTAGTCCTCACTAATTAACAGCTAATACAGTGGTAATTAATTAACCCTAATCAACGCACCAGGAGCCACAGCCATTTCCTAGACTCCCTCATACTTTATTGATTTAATATGGACAAGTGCACACAAACATGTGAAACACTACCACATTTATAGCCAAGGCTAATGTACAATGTCCGTCCTGAGGCCATTTACAATGGCAATGAAAGATATTCTGATTCTAAAAGATGCTATATTGTAGTTTTCTAAAAAATAATGACTATTAGTCTTTCTACAACATGTTTGACATTTATCAACATGTGTTCTATATTGTATATTGTGTTTTAACTGTTGATTCTCTGGTCTGTGGTGATTTCAATGGTTTTGTTAAGTCTGAGATGATGCTGATGATTTAGAGAAATACAAGAATAAATTGTATTGTATTGTGTTGCTAAGGAAGAGAAACCTCCCAATCTCATTCAGAGCTCCCAATGAAAATAATACAATATATTTCTTAGGCGCCTTTCTAGATTCTCAAGGTCGCCTTACATCTCAAAAAGTACATTTAGTAAAAATACAGTTAAAGCAGCGTGAACAATTGTGTGGTTATGGAGTTGGTGGATATGTAAGTCAGGCAAAGGGAAAGGGCAGAAGGTGTAGGAGGAAAAAGTGTTTTAGAGTCTGATGCTGGAGGGCGGGGGTGTCCAAACTTTATAGCAAGAGGGCCACTTTAGTTCGTCAGACTTGACCTGGGGCCAACAACCTGGATTTAAAAACTGGATTGGAGCTGGATTCTGGAATTTAAAAAGGGTTATGATATGTCCTAATTGATTCACAGCTGCATTTTATTTGGAATGTTGTGACTGAATGTCTGAGAATTACAAGGTATAGCATGACAGTGTTGGTGGAGCTGAAGTTGGTTGGATGACACTGTCAAAGTGCATCAATGGAGACTTTGTGTTAGCAGCAGAGAGCCACATAAAATTGCACCGCGGGCCTGAATTTGGACATGAGACATTTGGACACTCCACATTCAACTGCAGTTATGGACTCTGGTCCCTAGGGGGCGCTGTGCTCACCTCACAGAGACGCTTCTGCTGGTCCAGAGTGTCTTTGGGCAGCTTCTTCCTCTCGGTCTCCATGGTCAGACCCACGATGTACTCTCTGCAGATGGTGATGAGCTGCTGAGCCTGGACACACCAAACAAACACCGGCCTGAGACGTTGTACTGGTTTTTTTGGTTTAGCCGTTTTCCTGCTTTTATACCAGGCGTATAAACCTTTTTCAATCAGAGAGCTACTTTTATATAACAGCAGAGACAGAGAGCTAATCCTAGTGAAATAATCAAAATACAAATCTACGTAATAATTTGGACGAGAGAGAAAACATGTGAAATATACTGTAATACTGTATAACCCGATGTTCAGACTCAAAATGTCATGTGTTCCACCCATATACTGTACATATATCCGTATATGTATATGGGTGCTTGATTGCTCGCTCTCGGCACCTAAAGGTTTGCCTTGGGGTGTTGCACGCAGATGTGGGCCGTGCAGATGTGGGCCGCGCAGATGTGGGCCGCGCAGATGTGGGCCATTATCTCCTTGCTTCCTGTGTCCTGCATGCAAATGTTTGACTGTTTGCATGATAATACGGAGAGCTTCCCTTTGAAACTGTACTTTTCCTCTGACTGTGGGTGTGTTTTAGAGGTTGTGTTTCATTGAATAAAGTAGGCTTCTTTGTGGAGGAGAGATCAGAGGTTCGGAGCTGTAAGAACACGGCGGCCTTCTCCGTCTCCTCCATGGACGTCTAAACATGTAGAATAGAACGACAACTTCGGTCTAATCTTTGTGTGCTTTTGTCCAGGAGACCTGCAGTGGAACTAGTTATTATTATTATGAGCCCATTCAAACAGATCCACAGACGGATGTATTTCTACCTCAGCAATCTCCTGCTTGTTGTCCACCACCAGCAGAGGCACCGACAGTAGAATGACCCGGAAGCGCTCCACCGCCTCCTCGAAGCGCCCCGCGGTGGTCAGCTGGTAGCACTGCTGCAGCCGCGAGATCAGGTCAGAGAGACGCACTCCCACCGCGGGAAGACCCTGCTTCAGACCACAGTCCTGGAGAGAGAGAGAGAGGGGGGGGGGTTAGAGGTGAGGGAGAGAGAGAGAGGGTTAGAGGTGAGGGAGAGAGAGAAGAGAGGTGAACGAGAGAGCAGAGGTGAGGAAGAGAGAGACAAGAGCGTTAGAGGAGAGGGAGAGAGGGGAGAGAGTTGAGGGAGAGAGAGGGAGGGAAGTGATTTAGAGATGAAGAGGAGACATAGACAGGTGAGGGAGAGACAGTGGGTTAGAGATGAAGAGGAGACATAGACAGGTGAGGGAGAGACAGTGGGTTAGAGATGAAGAGGAGACATAGACAGGTGAGGGAGAGACAGTGGGTTAGAGATGAAGAGGAGACATAGACAGATGAGGGAGAGACAGTGGGTTAGAGATGAAGAGGAGACAGACAGGTGAGGGAGAGACAGTGGGTTAGAGATGAAGAGGAGACATAGACAGGTGAGGGAGAGACAGTGGGTTAGAGATGAAGAGGAGACATAGACAGGTGAGGGAGAGACAGTGGGTTAGAGATGAAGAGGAGACATAGACAGGTGAGGGAGAGACAGTGGGTTAGAGATGAAGAGTAGACATAGACAGGTGAGGGAGAGACAGTGGGTTAGAGATGAAGAGGAGACAGACAGGTGAGGGAGAGACAGTGGGTTAGAGAAGAAGAGGAGACATAGACAGGTGAGGGAGAGACAGTGGGTTAGAGATGAAGAGGAGACAGACAGGTGAGGGAGAGACAGTGGGTTAGAGAAGAAGAGGAGACATAGACAGGTGAGGGAGAGACAGTGGGTTAGAGATGAAGAGGAGACATAGACAGGTGAGGGAGAGACAGTGGGTTAGAGATGAAGAGGAGACATAGACAAGTGAGGGAGAGACAGAGGGTTAGAGATGAAGAGGAGACAGACAGGTGAGGGAGAGACAGAGGGTTAGAGATGAAGAGGAGACATAGACAAGTGAGGGAGAGACAGAGGGTTAGAGATGAAGAGGAGACATAGACAGGTGAGGGAGAGACAGAGGGTTAGAGATGAAGAGGAGACATAGACAAGTGAGGGAGAGACAGAGGGTTAGAGATGAAGAGGAGACATAGACAGGTGAGGGAGAGACAGTGGGTTAGAGATGAAGAGGAGACAGAGACAGGTGAGGGAGAGACAGAGGGTTAGAGATGAAGAGGAGACAGACAGGTGAGGGAGAGACAGAGGGTTAGAGATGAAGAGGAGACATAGACAGGTGAGAGAGAGACAGTGGGTTAGAGATGAAGAGGAGACATAGACAGGTGAGGGAGAGACAGAGGGTTAGAGATGAAGAGTAGACATAGACAGGTGAGGGAGAGACAGTGGGTTAGAGATGAAGAGGAGACAGACAGGTGAGGGAGAGACAGTGGGTTAGAGATGAAGAGGAGACATAGACAGGTGAGGGAGAGACAGAGGGTTAGAGATGAAGAGGAGACAGACAGGTGAGGGAGAGACAGAGGGTTAGAGATGAAGAGGAGACAGACAGGTGAGGGAGAGACAGTGGGTTAGAGATGAAGAGGAGACATAGACAGGTGAGGGAGAGACAGTGGGTTAGAGATGAAGAGGAGACAGACAGGTCAGGGAGAGACAGTGGGTTAGAGATGAAGAGGAGACATAGACAGGTGAGGGAGAGACAGTGGGTTAGAGATGAAGAGGAGACATAGACAGGTGAGGGAGAGACAGTGGGTTAGAGATGAAGAGGAGACATAGACAGATGAGGGAGAGACAGTGGGTTAGAGATGAAGAGGAGACAGACAGGTGAGGGAGAGACAGTGGGTTAGAGATGAAGAGGAGACATAGACAGGTGAGGGAGAGACAGTGGGTTAGAGATGAAGAGGAGACAGACAGGTCAGGGAGAGACAGTGGGTTAGAGATGAAGAGGAGACATAGACAGGTGAGGGAGAGACAGAGGGTTAGAGATGAAGAGGAGACAGACAGGTCAGGGAGAGACAGTGGGTTAGAGAGAAGAGAGGAGACATAGACAGGTGAGGGAGAGACAGTGGGTTAGAGATGAAGAGGAGACATAGACAGATGAGGGAGAGACAGTGGGTTAGAGATGAAGAGGAGACAGACAGGTGAGGGAGAGACAGTGGGTTAGAGATGAAGAGGAGACATAGACAGGTGAGGGAGAGACAGTGGGTTAGAGATGAAGAGGAGACAGACAGGTCAGGGAGAGACAGTGGGTTAGAGATGAAGAGGAGACATAGACAGGTGAGGGAGAGACAGAGGGTTAGAGATGAAGAGGAGACAGACAGGTCAGGGAGAGACAGTGGGTTAGAGATGAAGAGGAGACAGACAGGTCAGGGAGAGACAGTGGGTTAGAGATGAAGAGGAGACATAGACAGGTGAGGGAGAGACAGTGGGTTAGAGATGAAGAGGAGACATAGACAGGTGAGGGAGAGACAGTGGGTTAGAGATGAAGAGGAGACATAGACAGGTGAGGGAGAGACAGTGGGTTAGAGATGAAGAGGAGACATAGACAGGTGAGGGAGAGAGTGGGTTAGAGATGAAGAGACAGACAGGTGAGGGAGAGACAGAGGTGAGCAGAGAGACGACTGTTTTGACCGGATACAACCGGATCAAATGTGGAATCCTGGTTCCACATTTGGTTTTGAACAATAGTTTATAACAGCTTCATCGTTAGCTTCCATGACTCATTCACTTTCATCTGTTCTGACATAAACCAGTGTCCTGCAGCATAAACAGTGTGTGAGGAGACCAAAGCGTTACCTTCCAGTTCCTCTGGGGGTGGCCTCGCAGACAGGGCAGAGAGGGCAGCCCCAGGAAGCAGGTGCGACCTCTGGACAAAGTCTGCATGAAGAGGGACTTGTATGGAGCAAAGTCCACCACGCCCACCTGGTCGTGCAGCAGCTGAGGACACACACACATAATTTATTACAAAGTTTAGCATTGGCACAGCTGAAACACTGGGTTGAACCTTCTTTAGGGTCTGGACAATGGACGCTCAGAGTTTAGCAAGTCTGACGTACTGCTGTGTTAGCAAAAAACCCAGGGGGGAAGTGATGGGTGGGATTTGATGCTAACAAGTTTAAGCTAGCATCTCAGCAGTGTCTGTGTCTGAGATCCTCCAGAGACTTCGTACGTGTCTGACAAACCTGCCGAATATTCGTACAGACTGACTTTGCATTGAAACTCGACGCAACTCATGGTCAAGTGTGAAGGCCCCAATACGGTGATGGATAGATCTTTATGAGACTATTATGCAGACGTCAGTTTTTGTCCACTTCCTGTTATACTAATCTGAAGTCGAAGCCACCAGAGTCATTCTCTCAAACCCATCCTTTCCTTCCCTCCCCTCAGTCCAGACTCACCCTCATGGCGGTCTCGTAGGATCCGGCCAGGATGTGGTCCACAGGCAGCTGGGAGTTGTTGCACCACATCTGTGCAGGACTCGTGCCTTTAGTCGGAGGAACAAAGAACCCATCCTCAGCTGCTCCTCCTGCAGCTGCCGGCACGTCCTGGAAACACACAGGATTAATCATGAAACAAGTCAGAAGAGAGAGAAGGAACACAACATCTTCATCTCATTTCTATTGGAGAATTTGGAGACAATTCATGTGAAGCTGCGGAATCTAACTTCACAAAAACAATACATTTTTCAGATTTTTCCTCTTTCCAGTTGATTCTGCTTTTCCTAACTAATTAAAGTCAGATTTTATACATGCTTCGTTATTTTGGTAAAGTTAGAGATTCTATTCTATGCTAACGCTTACGTAAAGCTGAAGTAAACATGGATCTACATTTTGACATCACACATGACTACTCCACGTGTTTCCTGGTTTCATTGAGAACTGAGAGAGACCCACCAGTTCTGGAGGCAGGTCCAGGTCCTCCTCCACCTCCCATCCTCCTCCTCCGCCCTCGTCCTTGGCCACGCCCCCTTCTTCTCCAAACGCCTCCTGTGCGTCCATGAACCCGTCTGTCACACAAACCGTTTTAATCATCGTTAGAAAAGCTTCAGGTTGAATGATCAGAGGAAGTGTGTGTCTTCACCTTCGTCCAGCTGCAGCTCTGCGTCCTCCCCCCAGCCCTCACCTCCAGGAGCCTCCATGTCCATCTCCGCCGCCATCTGCCCCGCTTTACCTGAACACACAACAACACACACTGTTAAAATACAGCTTTACCTGAACACACAACAACACACACTGTTAAAATACAGCTTTACCTGAACACACAACAACACACACTGTTAAAATACAGCTTTACCTGAACACACAACGGTAAAATACAGCTTTCGCTCCCACTGCATGACAGTGTGAGTGAGTGAGAGTGTGAGAGAGAGACCAGAGAGACCAGAGAGAGAGACCAGAGAGAGAGACCAGAGAGAGAGAGACCAGAAAGACCAGAGAGAGTGGCCAGAGAGTGAGAGACCAGAGAGAGAGACCAGAGAGAGAGAGACCAGAGAGAGAGAGACCAGAGAGAGAGACCAGAGAGTGAGACCAGAGAGAGACCAAAGAGAGAGGCCAGAGAGAGGCCAGAGAGAGGCCAGAAAGAGAGACCAGAAAGAGAGACCAGAGAGAGAGACCAGAGAGAGAGACCAGAGAGAGAGACCAAAGAGAGAGACCAGAGAGAGAGAGACCAAAGAGAGAGACCAAAGAGAGAGACCAGAGAGAGAGACCAGAGAGACCAGAGAGAGTGGCCAGAGAGTGAGAGACCAGAGAGAGAGAGACCAGAGAGAGAGACCAGAGAGAAAGACCAGAGAGAGAGACCAGAGAGAGAGAGACCAGAGAGAGAGGCCAGAGAGAGAGACCAGAGAGAGAGAGACCAGAGAGAGAGACCAGAGAGAGAGACCAGAGAGAGAGACCAGAGAGATAGACCAGAGAGAGTGGCCAGAGAGTGACCAGAGAGAGAGACCAGAGAGAGAGAGACCAGAGAGACCCGAGAGAGACCAGAGAGAGACCAGAGAGAGAGACCAGAGAGAGACCAGAGAGAGAGAGACCATAGAGACACCAGAAAGAGACTAGAGAGAGAGACTAGAGAGAGAGACCATAGAGAGACCAGAAAGAGACTAGAGAGAGAGACAAAACATGATTGTGCATAATATGCTGCTCTCAAAAGGCCTAACAAGGTCTAAAAACCATAAATGTTTCTAGATTGTAAACAACCCCTGACCCTTGGCAGCGATGGCGCCCTCGAAGAAGCCCTTGGAGACGGTGAGCAGAGGCCAGTTGGTGTCCAGGGGGTTGATGGGAGGAGACGGCTGCAGCAGCTCCGCCTTAGGGTCCACCTCCGGGATCTAAGATAAGATATTCCAATTATCTACACGGCAGAAAAGTAATTCTCAAACTACTTTTACTAACTTTTGAAAAACTTTTACTAACCCTGCTGTAACTTCTACCTCTGTCTTCTTTTCTCTTCTCAGATCAACAATACTTTCCCGGGACGATAAAAGGCAGAGAGCTACTTTCCCGGGACGATTAAAAGGCAGAGAGCTACTTTCCCGGGACGATTAAAAGGCAGAGAGCTACTTTCCCGGGACGATAAAAGGCAGAGAGCTACTTTCCCGGGACGATTAAAAGGCAGAGAGCTACTTTCCCGGGACGATAAAAGGCAGAGAGCTACTTTCCCGGGACGATTAAAAGGCAGAGAGCTACTTTCCCGGGACGATTAAAAGGCAGAGAGCTACTTTCCCGGGACGATAAAAGGCAGAGAGCTACTTTCCCGGGACGATAAAAGGCAGAGAGCTACTTTCCCGGGACGATAAAAAGGCAGAGAGCTACTTTCCCGGGACGATAAAAGGCAGAGAGCTACTTTCCCGGGACGATAAAAGGCAGAGAGCTACTTTACCGGGACGATAAAAGGCAGAGAGCTACTTTCCCGGGACGATAAAAGGCAGAGAGCTACTTTCCCGGGACGATAAAAGGCAGAGAGCTACTTTCCCGGGACGATAAAAGGCAGAGAGCTACTCCTTTAGGCCCCGGGAGAAGGATGTAAAATATCAGTGTGAACAATACTGATTCTGAGACCTCTGATCTTGCACAGTCTCAATGGTTTAGTTTTATTTGTTTATTTCTGTATTTCTAATCTTGTTTCAGGTATGAACTTGTCTGGTGCAGTGGGGTCTATGCAAAATTAAAAACAAATAAAGGTGAAAAACTTATTTGCGTCTGGAGACTTTATGATGTAAGAACCTGCAGCTTTAATGAGACAGTTTATGGATGTCGTCTGTCGTGTCCTGAACATAACGACTTCTGGTTTGTACAATGAGACCGTGGAAATGAACGAACCGTCTCCTTCTCGGGGTCGAACGTCTCCTTCAGCGCCTCGGCCTCTTCGTCCAGACCGTGAGTGGCCGCCGTCAGATACGCCAAGGACTCTGCACCGGGAGAGGACGAGGATTAAAGATCAAGGTTATAGTTGTACATTACAGAAGAATAGAAGGAGAAATGAGAACATTAGAGAGGACACAGAGAGAGACCAGAGAGAGAGAGACCAGAGAGAGACCAGAGAGAGACCAGAGAGAGAGACCAGAGAGAGAGACCAGAGAGAGACCAGAGAGAGTCCAGAGAGAGACCAGAGAGAGACCAGAGAGAGACCAGAGAGTGAGACCAGAGAGAGAGACCAGAGAGAGTCCAGAGAGAGGCCAGAGAGAGTCCAGAGAGAGACCAGAGAGAGAGACCAGAGATAGACCAGAGAGAGACCAGAGAGAGTCCAAAGAGAGACCAGAGAGAGACCAGAGAGAGTCCAGAGAGAGTCCAGAGAGAGTCCAGAGAGAGTCCAGAGAGAGGCCAGAGAGAGGCCAGAGAGAGGCCAGAGAGGGACCAGAGAGGGACCAGAGAGGGACCAGAGAGGGACCAGAGAGGGACCAGAGAGGGACCAGAGAGGGACCAGAGAGGGACCAGAGAGAGACCAGAGAGAGACCAGAGAGAGACCAGAGAGAGACCAGAGAGAGACCAGAGAGAGTCCAGAGAGAGTCCAGAGAGAGACCAGAGAGAGACCAGAGAGAGACCAGAGAGAGACCAGAGAGAGTCCAGAGAGAGACCAGAGAGAGGCCAGAGAGAGACCAGAGAGGGACCAGAGAGGGACCAGAGAGGGACCAGAGAGGGACCAGAGAGGGACCAGAGAGGGACCAGAGAGGGACCAGAGAGGGACCAGAGAGAGACCAGAGAGAGACCAGAGAGAGACCAGAGAGAGACCAGAGAGAGACCAGAGAGAGACCAGAGAGAGACCAGAGAGAGACCAGAGAGGGACCAGAGAGAGACCAGAGACAGACCAGAGAGAGAGACTAGAGACCAGAGAGAGACCAGAGAGACACCAGAGAGACCAGAGAGAGACCAGAGAGAGACCAGAGAGACACCAGAGAGAGACCAGAGAGAGACCAGAGAGACCAGAGAGAGACCAGAGCGAGAGACTAGAGACCAGAGAGAGACCAGAGAGACACCAGAGACCAGAGAGACACCAGAGAGAGACCAGAGAGACACCAGAGAAAGACCAGAGAGACCAGAAAGAGAGACACCAGAGAGACACCAGAGAGAGAGACCAGAGATGGACCAGAGAGAGAGACCACTCACTTTGCCCACAGTTTTTGAGGATCCGCACTCTCTCGCTGACGTCTCCCAGATACAGAGCGGCCTGGTAGTGTCCACTCATGTCCTTCCGGATCTCAGCTACACAATGACACAATGACACACACACACATATTTCAGTGATAGTAAGCTGCATTTCTCCAGGAGCTAAGACAAATCTACTGTGTTTCAAAAGGATAAAGAATCAATATTTATTCAGATTTAAGCAGTGGCGGACCCTCAACGGCTGCAAGGCCTTCACTGCTGAGCTAAACATCATTACATATATATATATTTTATAATATATATAATTTTTCTTATTAACTATTGTTTTATTCTATGTTTATTTTTCCACAAACTATGGCGGTTGCGCGGCAAAAATGCTAATATGTGGAGCAAGACAACAAGACAAAAGTTTTTCAACCCTCTATGGCTGAAGGAGGTGAATTTATCGTTCTGGTAACTAAACAGTTAGAACACCTTTCTCAAGAAAAACAGAGACAGAGGGACCAGGAGAGTTAGGACCAGGAGAGCCAGGGCCAGGAGAGCCAGGACCAGGAGAGGCAAGAGAGAGAAAGAGAGAGACCAGAGAGAGAGACCAGAGAGAGACCAGAGAGAGACCAGAAAGAGACCAGAAAGAGACCAGAGAGAGACCAGAGAGAATCTACCTTAGTCCTCTGAACTAATCACCACGGTTCACACAATCCAGTTCTCTCTCAGCCTGGATGGATCTAAAAACCACCGCAGGTCTGTTTGTGACCTGCATTATAAGTGTTTTACTCTTGTGTGTGCTTCTCACCGATCTTCATCATCTTGCGCAGCTTGGCCAGGTTCCCAGTGATGAGGTAGAGGAAGGTGAGCTTGTCAAAGTTCTTGGTCCTCTGGTAACACATCTCCACCACCTGATGATGCCCCTGGAGCAGCGCCGCCTCCCCCAGACGCTCCCAGCACGACCGCTCGTCCAGGGCTTTGGCGGCCTCCAGCGCCACCTGCAGGAAGCGGCGGGTAAGACCAAAGTCTCATGGATATAAAGAAGCAGCGTGTGACTTCAGAGGAGTTTGTGAGCAGGTTTTAGGGGATTTAAGGTGGAAATAAATTCACCAGAAGACAGGGGTTTAAACTAGTCTTTTTCAGAGAGAGACAAGTATTAAATCACTTTTAGAGAGAATCCAAGTTTGTTATGAATAAAATGACAGAGGCAGAGAGACAGAGAGAGAGAGAGAAAAAGAGGGAGACAGACACAGAGAGAGCGAGACAGACACAGAGAGAGCGAGACAGACACAGAGAGAGCGAGACAGACACAATGAGAGAGAGACAGAGGGACAAACAGAGAGAGACAGAGGGAGAGAGACAGAAAAAGAGGGAGACAGACACAGAGAGAGAGAGCGAGACAGACACAATGAGAGAGAGACAGAGGGACAAACAGAGACAGACTGAGGGAGAGAGACAGAAAGACAGACACAAAGAGAGAAAAAGAGACACACACAGAAAAAGAGAGAGACAGAAACACACACACAAAGACAAAAAGAGAGAGAGGTATTTGTCATCAGTTCCAAACCAAACCAGGACGCACTCACCTCGATGTTGCCGCACTCCAGAGCGAGACTGAAGCGAGTTTTCTCGTCCTTGACAAAGTGCAGAGCGACCTCAGGGTACCCCTTCTTCTGCAGGTACGCGATGATGGACTGTCCCACCAGTTTGGCATTACGTACCATGTGGAGAACCTGGTACACACAGACATTACATCTGTTACAGACATTAAGTTAGTACTAAAGGGTGCACATACCAATAGTACCACCAGGGGGCCTACTAGTACTATTGGACAGATGTGAGAAGGACAGAGAGACAGAGAGAGAGAGACAAAGGGAGAGAAGGACAGAGAGAGAACACAGAGAGGGAGACAGGAGAAGCCACAGCTGCCTTGGGGGCGGCCTGACAGATTTGAGAATGACAGGAGTAGTCACAGCTGCCTTGGGACGGCCTGACAGATGTGAGAATGACAGTAGTAGCCACAGCTGCCCTGGGACAGCCTGACACATGTGAGAATGACAGTAGTAGCCACAGCTGCCCTGGGACAGCCTGACAGATGTGAGAATGACAGTAGTAGCCACAGCTGCCCCGGGACGGCCTGACAGATGTGAGAATGACAGGAGTAGCCACAGCTGCCTTGGGGCGGCCTGACACATGTGAGAATGACAGCAGTAGCCACAGCTGCCTTGGGGCAGCCTGACAGACAGTTGTTGCCCTGACCTCGTCGTATTTGCGGTTGACCAGAGCCAGTTTGAAGCGGTACTCCGTGGGGTCGATGGTGAGGACTCTGGGGCGACACTCTCGGTCCAAACAGTAAACACTGTTCCCTCGGACTCTGGTCACGTAGATCGGCAAGTCCAGGGTCCGGATTATTCCATGGTCCCTGAGGAGACAGAGGAGAGCGTCAAGACCTGAGGGCCTGGGTCTACAGCCCCGGCCCTGGGTCTACAGCCCCGGCCCTGGGTCTACAGCCCCGGCCCTGGGTCTACAGCCTCTGTCCTGGGTCTACAGCCTCTGTCCTGGGTCTACAGCCTCTGTCCTGGGTCTACAGCCTCTGTCCTGGGTCTACAGCCTCTGTCCTGGGTCTACAGCCTCAGTCCTGGGTCTACAGCCTCAGTCCTGGGTCTACAGCCTCTGTCCTGGGTCTACAGCCTCAGTCCCTGGGTCTACAGCCTCAGGGCCTGGGTCTACAGCCTCAGGGCCTGGGTCTACAGCCTCAGGGCCTGGGTCTACAGCCTCAGTCCTGGGTCTACAGCCTCAGTCCTGGGTCTACAGCCTCAGTCCTGGGTCTACAGCCTCAGTCCTGGGTCTACAGCCTCAGTCCTGGGTCTACAGCCTCAGTCCTGGGTCTACAGCCTCAGTCCTGGGTCTACAGCCTCAGTCCTGGGTCTACAGCCTCAGTCCTGGGTCTACAGCCTCAGTCCTGGGTCTACAGCCTCAGTCCTGGGTCTACAGCCTCAGTCCTGGGTCTACAGCCTCAGTCCTGGGTCTACAGCCTCAGTCCTGGGTCTACAGCCTCAGTCCTGGGTCTACAGCGTACCCAGAGATCAGGGCGTATTTGATGTGGTTGGAGGTGGTGTAGATGAAGACGCCGCTCTCGTCCCAGGCGCCGCTCTTCACTCTGATGTTCTCGTGGATGTTGCACAGAGACTCCAGTTTCCGGTTACAGATCATGATCGCTGCAAGAACAGGAAGAGGACAGACGTTAGATTTATTATTCTCAAAACTCCGATAGTTTCCACGTGTTGTTCTCATGACACAGCGTTTGTAAAACTTCATATGGAGCCTCTGTGCAGCGAGAGACATTTGTGTTGGATTTCAGCGTAAGGAGAGGATCTGGCCATTTTTTTGTTTTTACTTATAAAGGTTCTTTCAATAAGACAACAAATGTAAAGAAGCTGCTTAATCATCTGATATGTTCTGGAAGTAGACTCCAGACTTTTGATGAAATCTACCACCAACATCTTTAGTGGCTCGGTTCCAATGCTGCGTCATTATCCTGAAACACTCGCCAACCTTTCCCCACTGGTCTGTGGGCCACATGGGGAAAGATTAGTGCTAAAGTAGTATTGATCTAAACGCTACTCTGTGGATAGAGAACTGGGGAGAGCAGGAGAGAGCAGGAGAGAGCAGCAGAGAGACCTGGAGGCAGAGACCTGGAGGCAGAGACCTGGGGAGAGACCTGGGGAGAGAGACCTGGGGAGAGAGACCTGGGGAGAGAGACCTGGGGAGAGAGACCTGGGGAGAGAGACCTGGGGAGAGAGACCTGGGGAGAGAGACCTGGGGAGAGAGACCTGGGGAGAGAGACCTGGGGAGAGAGACCTGGGGGGAGAGACCTGGGGGGAGAGACCTGGGGGGAGAGACCTGGGGGGAGAGACCTGGGGGGAGAGACCTGGGGGGAGAGACCTGGGGGGGGAGACCTGGGGGGGGAGACCTGGGGGGAGAGACCTGGGGGGAGAGACCTGGGGGGAGAGACCTGGGGGGAGAGACCTGGGGGGGGAGACCTGGGGGGAGAGACCTGGGGGGAGAGACCTGGGGGGAGAGACCTGGGGGGAGAGACCTGGGGGGGAGAGACCTGGGGGGAGAGACCTGGGGGGAGAGACCTGGGGAGAGAGACCTGGGGAGAGAGACCTGGGGAGAGACTGGGGGGAGAGACCTGGGGAGAGACCTGGGGGAGAGACCTGGGGGAGAGACCTGGAGGGAGAGACCTGGGGAGAGACCTGGGGAGAGACCTGGAGGGAGAGACCTGGAGGGAGAGACCTGGGGAGAGAGACCTGGGGAGAGAGACCTGGGGAGAGAGACCTGGGGAGAGAGACCTGGGGAGAGAGACCTGGGGAGAGAGACCTGGGGAGAGACCTGGGGAGAGACCTGGGGAAAGACCTGGGGAGAGACCTGGGGAGAGACCTGGGGAGAGACCCGGGGAGAGACCCGGGGAGAGACCCGAGGAGAGACCTGGGGAGAGACCCGGGGAGAGACCCGGGGAGAGACCCGGGGAGAGACCTGGGGAGAGACCTGGGGAGAGACCCGGGGAGAGACCTGGGGGGAGACCTGGGGGTGGGCGCTGTGGTCTCACCGTGTTTGGCGAGCAGGGCCACATGGCTGGTGTCGGCGCTCCACACCACATATTTGACTTTGGCGATCTTCACGGTGGCGAGAGAGCGTTTCTGTTGGACGTCGAACAGCGTGACACCGTCGGCGTCACGGAGCAGCAGAGAACCGGTGCCAGCGTAAAAGATCTCCTCACACGACGGGACCTGCACCTTCTTCACAATCTCGTTCTTCAGGTTCTTTATCAGCAGCTGCAGCAGAGAGACAGGGGAGAGACAGGGGAGAGACAGGGGAGAGACAGGGGAGAGACAGGGGAGAGACAGGGGAGAGACAGGGGAGAGACAGGGGAGAGACAGGGGAGAGACAGGGGAGAGACAGGGGAGAGACAGGGGAGAGACAGGGGAGAGACAGGGGAGAGACAGGGGTGAGACAGGGGAGAGACAGGGGAGAGACAGGGGAGAGACAGGGGAGAGACAGGGGAGAGACAGGGGAGAGACAGGGGAGAGACAGGGGAGAGACAGGTGAGAGAGACAAGTGAGAGAGACAAGTGAGAGAGACAAGTGAGAGAGACAGGTGAGAGAGACAGGTGAGAGAGACAGGTGAGAGAGACAGGAGACAGGAGAGAGAGACAGGGGAGAGAGAGGGGAGAGAGACAGGGGAGAGACAGGGGAGAGAGACAAGTGAGAGAGACAGGTGAGAGAGACAGGAGAGAGAGACAGGGGAGAGAGACAGGGGAGAGAGACAGGGGAGAGAGACAGGGGAGAGAGACAGGGGAGAGAGGCGGAGACACGGGGAGAGACAGGAGAGAGACGGGTGAGAGACGGGTGAGAGAGACAGGGGAGAGAGGCGGAGACACGGGGAGAGACAGGAGAGACGGGCGAGAGACGGGTGAGAGAGACAGGGGAGAGAGGCGGAGAGACGGGTGAGAGACGGGTGAGAGACGGGTGAGAGACGGGTGAGAGACGGGTGAGAGACGGGTGAGAGACGGGTGAGAGACGGGTGAGAGACGGGTGAGAGACGGGTGAGAGACGGGTGAGAGACGGGTGAGAGACAGGGGAGAGACAGGGGAGAGACAGGGGAGAGACGGGTGAGAGACGGGTGAGAGACAGGGGAGAGACGGGGGAGAGACGGGGGAGAGACAGGGGAAAGACAGGGGAAAGACAGGGGAAAGACAGGGGAAAGACAGGGGAAAGACAGGGGAAAGACAGGGGAGAGACAGGGGAGAGACAGGTGAGAGACAGGTGAGAGACAGGTGAGAGACAGGTGAGAGACAGGTGAGAGACAGGTGAGAGACAGGTGAGAGACAGGGGAGAGACAGGGGAGAGACAGATAAAAACAGTGGCAGATGGGATGAAGAAAGTACCAATATTTCAGAAACGTATGAATAATCTGGCGCATGAATCGGCCAATCTCTGATAATGTTTTAGTTTTAAATAAGAGCTTTTACTGAAATACAGATTTGAAGGAGATTCTGAAACAATATTGTATCAAACTCACTGAGTGCATTCGATCCAGGACCGCAAACCTGTTCCTGGCAACCCACACAGCAGTGAGACCCGAGGACCTCTTCCCCTCCGGAGCTGGGAACGAGAGAGATACACATTTATATTTAGAGAGGGAAGGGGAGAGACAAGGACAGAGAGAGAGAGAGAGAGAGAGAGAGAGACAGAGAGAGAGAGGGAGAGAGAGACAGAGAGAGAGAGAGAGAGAGAGATACACAGAGACAGAGAGAGACAGAGAGAGAGACAGAGAGAGAGACAGTGAGACAGAGAGAGAGAGAAAGACAGAGACAGAAACAGAGGGAGAGAGACACAGAGACAGACAGAGAAAGAGACACAGAGAAAAAGAGACAGACAGAGAGAAAGAGAGAGAGAGGGAGAGAGACACACAGAAAGAGATAGAGAGAGAGACAGAGAGAAAGAGAGACAGACAGACACACACACACACAGAGAGAAAGAGATACAGAGAGAGACAGAGAGAGAGAGATAAACAGACAGAGGGAGAGAGCGAGAGATAGAGAGAGAGAAGTAGACAGAGAGAGTGAGACACAGAGAGAGAGAGAGACAGCGAGAGAGATACACAGACAGAGGGAAAGACAAAGAGAGAGAGACAGAGAGAGAGAGAGAGAGACATAGAGAGAGAGAGAGACAGCGAGAGAGAGAAGTAGACAGAGAGACTTCCAGAAGAGTCCGTGGCTTCTTACCGTCTGGGTTTTGAGAGTCACTTTCTTTGGGGATGGAGTACAGGTCGTAGGTGCTGTTCTCCAGGTTTGTCGCCCTCTGCAGGACAAACAGAGGAACAGAACATTCACCAGAAATAGGCAAAAATAAATGTCATGTTTGATGTGATTAGAGTTTTCTTACGGTACAGAGGAGGACGGCGTTCTCTGCAGGATTGTACGACATGCTGAACACGGGGAACTTGGAGCCGCTGGAAAATAGATTCGAACAAATTTGGAAATGTCTGAATCTTTATGTAGGTTATTTATTCAAACATGCACAAGATATACAACTATAAAAAGCCGCTCCTCCCTATTTTCCCTCTCCTCTTTTCACATCATCTCTCTCTCCTCGGCCTCCTCCCTCGGCCTCCTCCCTCGGCCTCCTCCCTCGGCCTCCTCCCTCGGCCTCCTCCCTCGGCCTCCTCCCTCGGCCTCCTCCCTCGTCTCCTCCCTCCTCTCCTCTCTCGTCTCCTCTCCTCTCTCGTCTCCTCTCCTCTCTCGTCTCCTCTCCTCTCCTCTCTCGTCTCCTCTCCTCTCTCGTCTCCTCTCTCGTCTCCTCTCCTCTCTCGTCTCCTCTCCTCTCCTCTCTCGTCTCCTCTCCTCTCTCGTCTCCTCTCTCGTCTCCTCTTCTCTCTCGTCTCCTCTTCTCTCTCGTCTCCTCTCCTCTCTCGTCTCCTCTCCTCTCTCACCTCCCTCTCTCACCTCCCTCTCTCACCTCCCTCTCTCACCTCCCTCTCTCACCTCCCTCTCTCACCTCCCTCTCTCACCTCCCTCTCTCACCTCCCTCTCTCCTCCCTCCCCTCAGTCTCTCTCCCCTCCCTCCCCTCAGTCTCTCTCCCCTCCCTCCCCTCAGTCCTCTCTCCCCTCCCTCCCCTCAGTCTCTCTCTCCTCCCTCCCCTCAGTCTCTCTCTCCTCCCTCCCCTCAGTCTCTCTCTCCTCCCTCCCCTCAGTCTCTCTCTCCTCCCTCCCCTCAGTCTCTCTCCCCTCCCTCCCCTCAGTCTCTCTCTCCTCCCTCCCCTCAGTCTCTCTCCCCTCCCTCCCCTCAGTCTCTCTCCCCTCCCTCCCCTCAGTCTCTCTCCTCCCTCCCCTCAGTCTCTCTCTCCTCCCTCCCCTCAGTCTCTCTCACCTCCCTCTCTCTCCTCTCTCTCCCCTCCCTCCCCTCAGTCTCTCACCTGCGCAGCTGCATGACGGCTGTGTCTTTGCTGCTGTTGAAGTCGAGCTGTCGGAGGAATCTCTCTTTGACGTAGTACAACATGTTTCCGTAGACTGCGTACGCTGGACGCTCTCGCTCCAGTTTGAACACGATCATCCCACTGTCGTGACCTGGGACCAACACAACCAACTTTATCATTAGAATGATTATAATAGATACTTTACTGATCCCCTGTAGGAGAAATTCAGGACAGAGAGAGAGAGAGAGACAGATACAGAGACACAGAGGTAGACAGATACAGAGACACAGAGGTAGACAGATACAGAGACACAGAGAGAGACAGATACAGAGACACAGAGAGAGACAGATACAGAGAGAGAGAGATACAGAGAGAGAGAGACAGAGAGAGACAAATACAGAGACACAGAGACAGAGAGAGAGAGAGACAGAGCCAGAGAGACAGAGAGAGAGAGAGACAGATACAGTGACATAGATAGACACAGAGAGACAGATACAGAGACACAGACAGAGAGAGACAGATACAGGGACACAGAGAGAGACAGATACAGGGACACAGAGAGAGACAGATACAGAGACACAGAGGCAGAGAGAGACAGATACAGGGACACAGAGAGAGACAGATACAGAGACACAGAGAGAGACAGATACAGAGACACAGACAGAGAGAGACTGATACAGGGACACAGAGAGAGACAGATACAGGGACACAGAGAGAGACAGATACAGAGACACAGAGGCAGAGAGAGACAGATACAGGGACACAGAGAGAGACAGATACAGAGACACAGAGAGAGACAGATACAGAGACACAGAGAGAGACAGAGAGAAAGACAGAGGCAGAGACACAGAGAGAGACAGATACAGAGACACAGAGAGAGACAGAGAGAAAGACAGAGGCAGAGACACAGAGAGAGACAGATACAGAGACACAGAGACAGATACAGAGACACAGGGAGAGACAGATACAGAGAGACAGAGAGAAAGACAGAGGGAGAGAGGGGGGGGGGGAGAGAATGTTAGTGTCATTAAGGAGTTTATAAACAGCTGACAGGAGTGTGATGGTTTGTTGGAGGGAGGATCCATGATGGAGGATTGAGGCCGCCACAAAACCCTACACTCTACTTGTCTGACAAGATCCCAGACATTGTCATTTTCGTCACCTTCTGATGTTTGCACACTTTGGACATAATATTTGGTGTATTCTACTAGCCTTGATGAAGACCAGAGAGTGTCTATGTCCCGTCAGTAATAACGGGTTTGAGTCAGAGCGCCTCAGACCGTTTCCTTTGTGTTTGTACTTGACCCCGACCACTCACGTTTATCCTTTATGTTTTTATCCCCATATGCACTCACTCATATATGTGTTTTTTTGGCTTTACCTGCTGAATATTCCCCAGATCTTTTTCATTGAAAGTCACATTAAACAGTTACATCTCACTAAAAGCTCGGACTTCTCAGAGGGCTGCACTTCTCACCGGCGGCGAACAGGTTGAGGTTGGGATGCGCCCCCAGGACCCAGAAGCGGTCGTGGTCCCTCCTGAAGGTCTGGACCCCGGTGCGTTTGGACATGTCCCAGACCCGGATGCTCTTGTCCTCAGAGTTGGACAGGATGAGCTCCTGTCGGGGGTGGAAGACGGCACACGACACGTTGTTGTAGTGACCGCGGCAGGTGTCCAGCTCCCAGGCCTTGGACTCTGCAGACGGAGAGAGAGACCACACTCTGTTAAGTTCCGTATTGTATTGTTTGCTCAGAGGACGCTAACACACGTTTTGACAACAACATCACACAGACACAATAATAAAGTGAAACACAGCGGTGAGGCGCTGTAACAAATATCAATAACTAGAACTCCTAAGTTTTATGGTAATATGGAGCAATAAAAGACAGAACAAGAGAGAGAGACAGAGAGAGACAGAGACACAGACACAGAGACAGAGAAAGAGAGAGAGAGAGAGACAGAGAGACAGACACAGAGGCACAGAGAGACAGACACAGAGAGACAGACACAGAGACACAGAGACACAGAGAGAGAGACACAGAGAGAGAGACAGCGACACAGAGAGAGAGAGAGAGACAAAGAGAGACACAGAGAGAGAGAGAGACAAAGAGAGACACAGAGAGAGAGAGAGACAAAGAGAGACACAGAGAGACACAGAGAGAGAGATAGAGACAGACACAGACAGAGAGACACAGAGAGACACAGAGAGAGAGAGACAAAGAGAGACACAGAGAGACACAGAGAGAGAGATAGAGACAGACAGAGACAGAGAGACACAGAGAGACACAGAGACACAGAGAGAGAGAGACAAAGAGAGACAGAGACACAGAGAGAGAGAGAGACAAAGAGAGAGAGAGAGACAAAGAGACACAGAGAGAGAGAGACAAAGAGAGACACAGAGAGAGAGAGAGAAAGAGAGACACAGAGAGACAGAGAGAGAGAGACAGAGACAGACGCAGAGACACAGAGAGAGAGAGACAGAGACAGACAGACACAGAGACAGAGAGACAAACACTCTTGTTGATATGAATCATATAAATATGAATTATCATTGCTTCAGTATAATTCCATTCATCACTTCTTTGCTTGGTGCTTCCACATAAAAACAATGACAAATTAAAGTTCTATTCTTTTGTTAATGTGACATAATTATTGCAGACGTGTTTCTCACCGTTCATCCTCCAGATTTTGACCTGTCTGTCGTCAGCCCCAGACACGATCAGAGGCATTGTGGGATGGAAGGCGGCCCAGTTGACTCCGCGGTCATGGCCCTGGGGACGAGATCATGGGTTTGAACGGAGTCTGCCTCGTCCCACAGTGGGGAAATTTCAGTGTTGCGTCACAAGTTATAGAACAGTAGGAAAGAGGAGCACACGGTTCACAAGTTAAGTGAACAATAGCTGTACTAATTAAAATATACACATCTGTAAATACTCCTGAACCAAGTGCGATTACAGCTCCGGAGTTTATGTTATTTCAGAATTTTAATCGTTCAATATAAATGTGTTTAACTTTATATTTGATCCAGTTTTGGTTCAATCTAAACAAACATCTCACTCCAAACTAAACTGTATCAATGTGTTACTTTTTGGTCAATGACACAAAAAAGTCCCGAAATGTCTGAATGTTTACAGACTCTTGTTTTGTCCCTTGTTTGTCCAGTGGGGGGCGCTCTACTTAAACACAGATTCGTTCAGGGCCGTATTATTAACAGCTCCAAGACGCCGTTTTGGACAAAACAAAAGTGGACACGATTGTTACGTCCAAAATATAGATTGATTATAGTTATATCTCCAACCATTAACCATTAACCCTTCTCTGTCCTGTTCATTCTTTCATTCACAAAGCCTCCAACACGTCCTAAATGTAACAAATATGTCCCAAAGTTCAATACCATTTTTCTTGAAATAGTATAATCTCAGAAGAGCAGCTAAAACTATCTCTATATATATATCGTCTACATGCTGGGCGGGACGGTGGCTGAGTGGATAGCACTCTCGCCTCTCAGCAAGAAGGTCCTGGGTTCGAATCCCGGTCGGACCAGGGCCTTTCGGAGTGGAGTTTGCATGTTCTCCCTGTGTCTGCGTAGGTTTCCTCCAGGTACTCCGGTTTCCCCTACCACTAAAAATATGTCCAATAGTTCTGGCATGTGCCTCCTGTACTGGCCCCGCTCCCATCTCTGTGTGGAGTGAGAGACAAGTGCCAAAAATAACAATTGTAAACTGCTTTGTGACTCTGGTCTGTGAAAGGCGGTATATAAATAAATATTACTTACTTACATGGTATTTAAAAACTGCTTAGGTACGAACATTTTTAGTTCATACATTCATTTTATTGTTGCTTGAAGTTAGATTGAGCAATGATACAGTTGAATGTGGAGTGCGCCAGATATATTTTGTTTTCAGAAAAATCAACCAGAAAATAACAGTGAAACTCAAGTCACATTAAAGTCATGTTAAACTTTCATAATGTAAAAAAGTATGAACAGAAAAGGAAATCTCTTCAACTGTTTCGGCCTCGACCTCATTTCGGCCCTGCTCTAGAGTGACAGGATGGAGACTCTCGGCGTGCGGTGCATAATAATGTGTTCTTGTTTGTGGCCTTTACCTCCAGCACGTGTTTGACCACGGCGTCCGAGGCCCCGAACAGATCCACTCCAGAGATGCCTCGCACTTCGGTCTCCACGGCTCCAGGAGACAGGTTCTTCTTCCTCAAACCTGGAACCACCGTTACAGCAGCGCGTGCAGGGGGCGCATTTACACGTTACACACAGTCACAACACACCGGAGGGAGGACGATGGGAACATTTAGACGTTCAAAAGAAAAAGGGAGAAACTGTGGAGGCAGCTTTTCAAAGGTGCACTGTGTAGTTTCTGGAGACGACTTGTGGCAAAAGTCAAAAGTTAAAACCGTTTAAAGATCTAACTCTACATTCTTCCTGCTCATTAAACACATTGGGTCTCCTACATTTAACGGAATGAGAATTATTGTACAGACAATTCAGGATTATCATTTCATCTTCGTTCCTTTAATCTGCTGCCAAAGCATCTGTGATTCTACATTAAAAATATATCAGACTTCTACTTTTCAATCGGAGCCACGGGAATCAGCTTGGGTTGTAAAACTGTTTGGACTGGATGCTGTTCTCTTTAAATATGGCTTGATATTTATTTTTACCACAGCTACATTAGTGACAAATATAAATTGTGTGCCCAACTTTATCATTTGTATGAAACAGACATTTAACGTCTGGATTCTGAAGGTTCTGAGCTTCACAACGAGGTACAACACGTCCATATCAGTGTTGAGGTTAGCTACAAGAAACTGAATGTACCGGTAGCTACTTTAGCGGTTAGTGTTAGCGTTCGCGGGAGAGGGCCCGGTGAAATGACACAGGAGGCCGCATTAGACCCATGTGCCTCCACCGGCTTTTAAAAACTACACATTGCACCTTGAACCTTTAACCGTTGGGCTCAAAAACACACACAATGAACAAGACACAAGCTCAATATTTTCACCATTTGAATCTGTAAATAATCATTGCACACTTTTGATTGGGTTGAAGAAGAAATTACCAACATTTAACGATCGATTGATTACTTTCCAGATGCAAACGTTCCAGAAAAGCTTGAATTTGTCCACATTTAACAGACTGTGGTGAATCTGAGCTCAACGGTGTTATTTAAAGTACATGTGACAGAGTTTTACAGTCTGTCACACGCACTTTAATGAGGAGGAGGGGGAACTAGGAACCTTTGAGCACGCATGGATGTTTCTGGGGGGAGCATGGGGGTGGACACAGGAAATGCGTGGCGAATGGGGCAGTGGTGGTCGTGCTCTGATGGGCGTTGGATGGAAACGAGAGGAGTTTAGTTTGATAAAGGTTTGTGAGTGAAGGTGGAGCGTGCAGAAGTGATGTCATGTAAATGTCACGAGCCCTTCTGAAGAAAAGCAGCCAGAAAGCGTTCTGCCGACTAGATATTTGTACGTGAAGATGCTGCATATTGTTAGTACAGTACTTGCTGGATTATTCGGAGCTAGTGGTGGGGAAAAGATCAAATCGATTCTGTTCAATATCGCAACATTTTAGTGAAAGAAAAATAAAACCCTGATAATTAAATATCACAAAACTTTAATCCAAGTTTTCTGAGTTTCCTCCGGTCATTTACATCTGGGGTTTCTGTGGCTCTAATGTCTGGGTTAGGCTGGGTTGGACTGTTCTTATCACTATCGCCGCCCTCTCGCCGCTCTATCGCCGCCCTCTCGACGCTCTATCGCCGCCCTCTCGACGCTCTATCGCCGCCCTCTCGCCGCTCTATCGCCGCCCTCTCGACGCCCTCTCGACGCTCTATCGCCGCCCTCTCGCCGCTCTATCGCCGCCCTCTCGACGCCCTCTCGACGCTCTATCGCCGCCCTCTCGCCGCTCTATCGCCGCACTCTCGCCGCTCTATCGCCGCACTCTCGCCGCACTCTCGCCGCCCTCCTGTTGCTCTATCGCCGCCCTCTCGCCGCCCTCTCGCCGCTCTATTGTCTCGTCGCTCTATCGCCGCTCTCTCGTCGCTCTATCGCCGCCCTCTTGCCGCCCTCTCGTCGCTCTATTGTCTCGTCGCTCTATCGCCGCCCTCTCACCGCCCTCTCATTGGTCTACCACCGCCCTCTCATTGGTCTACCACCGCCCTCTCATTGGTCTACCACCGCCCTCTCATTGGTCTACCGCCGCCCTCTCATTGGTCTACCGCCGCCCTCTCATTGGTCTATCGTCACCCTCTCCCTCTCATTGGTCTACCACCGCCCTCTCATTGGTTTATCGTCACCCTCTCCCTCTCATTGGTCTACCGCCGCCCTCTCATTGGTCTATCGTCACCCTCTCCCTCTCATTGGTCTATCGTCACCCTCTCATTGGTCTATAGTCACCCTCTCCCTCTCATTGGTCTATCGTCACCCTCTCATTGGTCTATAGTCACCCTCTCCCTCTCATTGGTCTACCGCCGCCCTCTCATTGGTCTACCGCCGCCCTCTCATTGGTCTACCGTCGCCCTCTCATTGGTCTATCGCCGCCCTCTCGTCGCTCTATCGCCGCTCTATCGCCGCTCTATCGCCGCTCTATCGCCGCTCTATCGCCGCTCTATCGCCGCTCTATCGCCGCTCTATCGCCGCCCTCTCCCTCTCATTGGTCTATCGCCGCCCTCTCGTCGCTCTATCGCCGCTCTATCGCCGCCCTCTCCCTCTCATTGGTCTATCGTCACCCTCTCCCTCTCATTGGTCTACCGTCGCCCTCTCATTGGTCTATCGTCACCCTCTCATTGGTCTACCGTCGCCCTCTCATCGCCCACATAGAATGAATGTTAATTTTGAAGCACAAAAGGCAAGTGCTCAGTATGAGTTTTTAGAGTGAAAGGTTGAGGCCATGCTGGGCACACATGCTTCACAAACAGCTGAATATCCTCCGGTAAAAAAAGGGTCTAAAATGAACTAAAACACAGACAGAGAGGGAGGAATGGAGAGACAACCATGCTCTGTGCAAAGTCCACAACACTAAACACATTTCTACACAGTTAATACGATTAGTTCAAAGACAAAAACACACAACACTACGTTTGAAACATGCAAAAACACACACACAGAAATGTCTCTGTTCAGACAAACTTTCAGACTTAGAAAGACATTTCTGTGAACGGCCCTCACAGATTGGTCTTCCACAACAGAGCAGGAGAATCACGTCCTGCTCTGAACCACTGGTCCCAAAAACACCATTTATTCACACGCTACAAACAGAAACCTCCATCTGCTAAAAGACCGAGTCGTTTTGACCAATTTATACATTTACTGGAAGATGTTTGATGTCATAAGTATCAATATGTAAGATTTTCATGTCCATTCATCATTAAAGGGCCCCAATCTGTCATCGTTAAAGGGCCCTAATATGTCATCATTAAAGGGCCCTAATCTGTCGTCATTAAAGGGCCCTAATCTGTCGTCATTAAAGGGCCCTAATCTGTCGTCATTAAAGGGCCCTAATCTGTCGTCATTAAAGGGCCCTAATCTGTCGTCATTAAAGGGCCCTAATCTGTCGTCATTAAAGGGCCCTAATCTGTCGTCATTAAAGGGCCCTAATCTGTCGGCATTAAAGGGCCCTAATCTGTCGGCATTAAAGGGCCCTAATCTGTCGGCATTAAAGGGCCCTAATCTGTCGTCATTAAAGGGCCCTAATCTGTCGTCATTAAAGGGCCCTAATCTGTCATCATAAACTGCTCTTTTCCAATACTTCTTTAACTGATAACAATACTTTTCCAGCCCCTAAATCTTGTTATTGTTTTCATTTCGATGTCCCGCCCTCCACCGTTTCACCAATCAGAAAGTCTGTGATCCGGGCGCCAGAACTCACCGCGTGGAGCTAATCTCACTGGTAAAGTACCATGTGGCGCAGAACTAAAAAAGGTCTCGTTATGATTCTCAAATCATTAACGACAAAACAAGGAATAAAACCAGGATTTCCATCTTTGTGAAAAAGGTGTTGGTTATAGATTTGTTGTTGACTAAACTCTTGTCTATTCAGCTGTTATGGTCCCAGCTGGATTCGTCTGCATATCTGGCAACCTGAGTCAGGGAGAGTGGGAGAGGCTGCAGTACCACTTTTGGCCACATTTTTTACAAACTACTCCTTTAAATCAAAGGCTAAAAATGATTTGACGTTGGTCCAAACCACTCGCGGCATTGTCTGAGGAGGTTCTGTTTGTGCGTTTGTGTCCGAGTCCCGCTCTCACCAGAGATATCCCACACGCGCACGGTCTGGTCCAGAGACGCAGACACCACCAGGTCCTCGGCCGGGTGGAACTGAGCGCACATCACATAATGGTTGTGTCCCGTCAGAACGCTGCACACAAACAGAAAGGCCAGAGAAAAGGAATTAGTTGCAATTTACTTACTTTCTAGATTACCAAAAGTCATATTTTTACAAGTTTGTTCTGATAGGAGGGGTTGAAGTAAAGGGTATATAACGAAATATTATCCAAATATTAGTGTATTACTGATTTATCTGCAGCTGCACACAAACAGAAAGGCCAAAGAAAAGGAATTAGTTGCAATTTACTTACTTTCTAGATTACCAAAAGTCATATTTTTACAAGTTTGTTCTGATAGATAGATAGATAGATGTTGTCTTTGTTGTCTGTGATGTTGTCTTTGTTGTCTGTGTTTGCTTCTTGTTTGTCGTATTGTATGTATTGTATTGTATGTTTTGTATTGTATGTTTTGTATTGTATGTTTTGTATTGTATGTTTTGTATGTCTATTCTCAACAATAAATGAAAAAAAAAAAAAAAAAAACAAGTTTGTTCTGATAGGAGGGGTTGAAGTAAAGGGTATATAACGAAATATTATCCAAATATTAGTGTATTACTGATTTATCTGCAGCTGTACACAAACAAGTACATATTTCTAGTATTATTCATAAACCTCCCTCAGTCCAGTTTATTTATAAAGCACTAATAAAAACAAGGAGGACCAAAGTGCTGTACATGAAAACACAAACAGAAATGTACAATTAGAGAATACAAAGCAGTGGCAAAAAACATATTATTTCCAGCAAAAAAAGCCAATGAGAACAAGTGAGTTTTAAAGATGCAGTCGGTGATTTTTTCCAGAAGCATTTTTTTGTTAGATATTGTGTGAAAACGTCCTTAAATCCTAAAAGTATCAAGTTATCATGTCTTTTCAAATAGTAATGGAATTGACCAGATGTCTATAGTCTCCAAAAATGAATAAAACATATTTTGGAGCGGACTGATAAAAATAAACCAATGGGATGTGTTGGTTCACCCTCTTCCTGTTTCTCGAGTGCACCGGAGTTATCGGATTTTCTAAAACATAAAATTGCTGAACAGAAAATGCCAATTTCACGTTTGCTTCACTCTCCCTGTGACAAAGAAAAGAAAATGCTGGATGTTTGGTTAGGTGGAGGGGGGGGGGGGGGGCTACGGCTAAGCTAACAACAACGCTTACTGCACCTTTAAGACGAGACTTAAAAACAGGAAGTGAATCAGACAGCCGAACACTCAGGGCAAAATTACCGATCACTGTGATTCAAATTAGACTGGATTTTACTTTGAATGCAAAAGGTTTTAAGGAAATGTTTGTATGAGTTGCTATAAAAGAAGCTATTATAGTTTAACAATAATCAGATAAGAGAAAGTCTAATCAGTATTCTCAGATATGTGTCTAATATGGTCCGGTCTCCAGCTCTCACCAGACGCAGGTCCTGGACTGCCAGTTCCAGATGCGGATGGTCTGATCGTCCGACGCACTGAGGATCCACGGATACTCCTGAAAAAGCACAAAAGACAAGAGCAGTTATAAACCAGGTGAGGTCAGGTGACAGTGAAACGTTACAATGTCAGACTCACATGATGAAAGAATGTGGTCCGGATGTAGTCCAAATGTCCCAGCAGAGTGAAGAGGCAGCGTCTCAGCTTGTAGTTCCACACCTGGGCATGTCACAGAGAATACACACGTTTAAACACTCAAAAGAACCACACACTGTTAAATATGTGAATACAGTTATAATGATTGGATGGAGCCTTTCAAAAAAGAAAAACAAAAGAATCCAAGATGGAACCGTGTCAGGACGCCGCAGCTGGAACTCTGGTGTGTACTTTATGAATCCATCCATCCGTCCATTTTCTTCCCATCAATCCATTTCTGGGTGGGGGGTGGCAGTCAGAGCTACACCCAGTTCACAGAGCATCAGCCCCTCACTGATCTTCCTGCAGGTGGATCAGTGTCGACCCCTACTTTATAAATCTAGACTCTTAAAATGCGCCCTTAGAAAAATCAATCTGGCTTCTGGTTCAATGACTCTCCGCTTGTTCTTCAATGTGATAGTCATTTTATTGTGTGTCTGTTTTTAGATGTTTACTTGCTGCAAAACTGATTTCTCCTTGTTGGACAATAAAGATGAACGTTGAATACATGGTTGGTACTTTGGTTAAGAAAAGTAAGATGTGGAAGCGGTTCATATTATCACTGTGAGAGAATAGAGTATACATTATATTCTAAATCCATGAGGCCTGGTGAGTAAGTGATCCCAACTTTAGATACAGTGAAAGCCAATGGTCCCACCCTCCTCCTCTTCCTCCTCCTCCTCCTCCTCCTCCTCACCTTAATCTTGTAGTCATCACCCCCTGACACAAAAAGAGGCTGCTGTTTATGGAAGTCGATTCCTCTGACGGGTCCTGTGCAACAAAAACACACACTTATGCATTCACAAAACCGCATTTCAGTCAGTTTTAGTCGAATAAACGCCACGTCAGAGCCATCTCACCGTCGTGCTCGTCGAACTTGTCGATCAGCGTGCACATACGGTAGTCCCACAGCTGGATGACCCCGTTGTGCAGACTCGCCAGAACCCATGGTCTTTTCGGGTGGAAACTGAGCCCTAAAACAGGTCAAAAACACACACACGGACAATGCACTTTAGCAGAAGAAACAACACAAAGTCACAGATGTACATTTTGTCAGAGACGGCTAGCATAACTTAGCTAGCAGTTTGGGACCATTTCAATTTGTTACACGTTTTCTGCATTGACAGTTTAAATATAATAACATGCACATACGTGATATGTTAAACAGCATGCACAACATAATATAACCAGCACTAAACGCTTAAATATTCGGTTATAAAAGATCCTGGGTGTAAAAATTAGTGAAATCCTCCGCTAGCTTAAATGCTAACAGCTCCATCCTCACCTTTAACACGGGCTGATTTGGTTTCAAACTTGGTTAGCATCGCCCCAGTGCTAACACACTCTTGTAACGTGTATAAATGTTAATCCAAAGCTTATAACAAGTGCAGAATGTTGCAGATGAATAGATTTAAGCGGCTGGTCCTCTGTGGCCCTTGTAATTCACTGCTTCTTCTTTTCCTGACACGTCGCTCGTTCGCTCTTCCGGTTTGATGACGCAGAAAGCTCCACGCAGACTGACGTTGAGCGTAACAGACTGACGTTGAGCGTAACAGACTGACGTTGAGCGTAACAGACTGACGTTGAGCGTAACAGACTGACGTTGAGCGTAAGGTCAACAACTACATTAAATCTATATCCCTCATTAACAGCAAAAAACCAACTCCACAGTCAAATTATTTGAAACCTTGATACATCAAACATAACTCATGTCTCCCTTAAACGCCCCCTATATTCTTAGTCTCAATAATTATTCACCTTATCTCTAATATTAGTCATTAAAATCTCAAATTCATATATAAAACCTTATCTCTTTATACCCATTATGAATGTAATTTGTTTCTGTATATAATTTATATATATATTTTTGTCTTCGTCATTGTATGTATCGTTTGTATATCTGTACTTTTTGTATTAGAAAAAAATAAATAAAAAAAAAAGGTCTGTTATGTAGCAACTAACTAGTGTTGTAAAATACAAATAAATGCATGTGCATCTCAGTGACACGATATTTATGTGTGATTTATAATCTACTCTAAAAGAACTAAAAAACATTTTCCATCAGTTCCTGCATGGCCTGCTCTACTTGGCTCCACACTATTGATTGTGTTTCCACTGGCCGTGCCAGAGCCACACCAGGTAATTCTTTAATCTAACTGACAGTGATGGGTCAGAGCCATGGATCTATTAAGCCATGGTTACCAGGGAGTTTCCAACCATACTGGTTTGTTGTGGGTTGGTGGAGAGGATACAGTACCAGACCCTAGACATGATGGAAACGCAACCAGGTAGAGATGAGTCGAGTCGAGTAGAGTAGAGTAGAGTCGAGTAGAGTAGAGTAGAGTAGAGTAGAGTCGAGTAGAGTAGAGTAGAGTAGAGTAGAGTAGAGTAGAGTAGAATAGAATAGAGTAGAGTAGAGTAGAGTAGAATAGAGTAGAGTAGAGTAGAGTAGAATAGAGTAGAGTAGAGTAGAGTAGAGTAGAGTAGAGTAGAGTAGAGTAGAGTAGAGTAGAGTAGAGTAGAGTAGAGTAGAGTGGAGAAGCATATTCTACAGTAGAGCTAAATAAAGTAGAGCAAGGCCAAAACTTTTGCTTCTATAAAATGTTCACATCCCTTTTCCCGCACTGACCCCCAGGGCCCCGGGAAGGATCAGTGCTGCAACAACCCTACTGGGAGAGGGGAGATATGGAAAAAAATAAATAAATATATATTTAACACAATGTATACATTTATTAATGTTTTGGGAAGTGATTTTACACTGGTAGTCTGTGAATTCAAATGTGTATATGAATTTCTTTTGTCCGAAACATACAGGAAGTTACGTTGACAATTGGTTTCCCGCTCATCGCTGCAGCAGCAGAAAAACATGGCACAAAAACGAATTTTAGATTTTTTTGGAAAACCTTCAGCTTCGAAAAAGAACACCACCGGAACTGTGAGGCCCAAAGGACAGCATTCGTGAGAGCAATGAGAATAGGCCTATCCACACATGCCTCTGCCCAGATACACCTCCAAACTCACACAGGGCCAGCCATGGGCCCCAGCCATGGGCCCCTGCTCCCGCAGCCCTGCCCTGGAGACCGGACTAGCTGAAGATACATGGGCCGTTCATCTCTGCGCTGCTAGTTCCCGATGTTGCAAAAGGCAGAAGGTCAGACAGTGTCACAGTCAAAGATGTAGCATCATGTTTGACCAAGCTCCAACCACAAACTAGCCATGTTTTCAGAGGTGGAAAAAACGATAGTTATGTTTGTGGCCTCATCTGAGTGCACTCTCAGACCTGGGTGCAGCACAATGACCCAGCAAAGACACATCTTTCACTGATGCCCACGTCTGGATTCTGAATTATCTGGATATTCGTCCCCTCATGAAAGACCACTATACCCCAGAGCGCACCTCCACATTCGGACATCTGTACGGAAGCTCAAAGGTAGGCTGCAGGTTCGTGTTCAGTGTTAATGTAGTGTATATTCTTTAGCGTGAGTTGTTTGAGGTAGACAGTGTTCCTTATATCTAAACAATGAATGTATCTGTTATATGTGTTTAAATAGGCTTATAGGCTAAGAAGGTAGGTTAAAAAAATCATAGCACCTCTGAAATACCTCCCGCGGCCCTGCTGACCCCTGTCACATCAAACTTTTTCATAGAGAAAACTGATAAAGAGACCTCAGCCAATCATCTCTCAGCCAACCGGGTCACCTAGCAACCATAGACATGCTAAAGGCCTTGAGGTGATCCCATAGACTGTATATATTATATATATTATATATATTATATATATTATATATATTATATATATTATATATACTTTATATATATTGATCCACGCGTTGCGCAAGTGGCGTCACGTCACCACCGTAAGCTCCGCGCTGCGCGACTATACACTACACTTAACGACTCATATCTTTCTCACAAGTACGCAAAGACGACACGTTTTCGAGCAGGACAACGACACGCACGTTGTTGTCTGATCAGTCAACATTATTTAGGAAACAAAAAAGTTAGGCACCTACAGGTTAAATAAAAAGTAACCGTAACCATGCGGACCTCTCGCAGTGCATGCTGGGAGCGCCTGTGAGCGGCACCATGACAGAGGCCGTGGTGTCCCAGCAGAGCTTGCCTCTCTCTGGCCTCTGTCCTTCAGTACACTCTTGTTTCTCTTCAGATCGTATAAATCTTTCGCCTTTTACTAAAGATTTCCGTGGAGAGGAACAATAAGAGTTTTATCCAATTTTTTGATGCCCTGCTCACGCGGGGCTTCCTCTGTCTGTGAAAATAAAATGCAATCTTGACTGTTTAAAGCTGTTATTGATCTCGAGTCCTCGATCACGGATTTGTACCGGATCTACATTAGAGGTCTCCAACCTGTACCTCGGGAGGCACCAGTAGCTCATCATCGCCTTCCAGTTAGCTCGCCTAAAGATTGAGAAATGAACACATCAAATAAAATACTTAATATCAGAGAACTGGAGTGAGTGCTACAGGGTCCAGAAGTTAAAGACGTAATTAAAATCCGGTGCTGTTCAGGATGAGAAATAACACTGCAACACAAAGATACCGTTTACAGCGGGAAAGTAAAGACGATGAAATTCGAGGCACTCTGGTAAAAAGTCCTAATGAGAGAAGGGACCAACGCGTTTCAGCCTCGCACGGCCTTCTTCAGGGCAGTACCCTGCCCTGTAAAGGGTGGCGCCTGTGAGCGGCACCATGACAGAGGCCGTGGTGTCCCAGCACAGCCTCCCTCTCTCTGGCCTCTGTCCTTCAGTACACTCTTGTCTCTCTTCAGATCGTATAAATCTTTCGCCTTTTACTAAAGATTTCCGTGGAGAGGAACAATAAGAGTTTTATCCAATTTTTTGATGCCCTGCTCACGCGGGGCTTCCTCTGTCTGTGAAAATTAAAATAACCTTAGCCCCTTTCGGACGGGATTAGTATAATTGTGGACCTCATATGTTTTGTGATAGTGTCAGAGGACGTCTGAGATCTCTATGTTGTGCGAATGCGCTACGTCTAATTTGTAAAGTGATAATTCCGCTGCAAATAGATAGATAGATAGATAGCTTTTATTACAGACTCGTAGTCCAAAACACAAAAAATAGACAAAACACAACACACTAAAAACAGACAACATAAAACAATTAAAAGTCCCCAAATCTCTCTTTAAATGACCTCCTGTATTTGTCCAAGCCCGTGAACTGCATAAAGACGGTTCAATATATTATAAGTAAAGCTTAACTGCGGATCATAAAGTCTTATGTTCTACTGTTTTTCTTTTTTTCCCCGAAGTCCTACTCTGCTCTGAATATAGACAGACGAGTTTAATTTGACTTTAATGGAGCTCATAATGATCTTGGGATTGCTATTTTGGCCCAACCTTTTTTTGTCTTTTTTCTTCATCTCTTTTGTTTTTTCTTGTTGTTTTAATTTCATTTCTAATACAGGGACTTTTTCTTATAGATGCAGTTCATATGTAATACTTTGGAAACCGGGGTTGTAAATAAGATCTATAAACTCACAATGCAATGGTCCTATGGTGGTCACTGGATGTAAGAATCCAGTGAAGAGAACCAGGATACTTCACTTATTAAAAAAAGAGAATATTTCTGTTGCTATGTTGCAAGAGACACATTTGACAAAAATGAGCATTAAAAACTGAAACAAGACTGGGTAGGACATGTTTATTCCTCTTCATTTAATACTAAAAGCAGAGGTGTGGCAGTTTTGGTGCATAAACATTTACCGCTAAAAATAAATCATGCAGAAGCTGACAACGATGGCTTGTTTAGCTCCATGGAGTATTATATGGGGAGGACATTACTATTCTAAATGTCTATGCTGCTCCAGATCCTGAGCCTTCTTTTTTTACTTGCTTAACTGATATTCTGTTTAAGTTCCAATGCCCCACTGTGGTTATTGGTGGAGATTGGAGCTGTGTAAGGAGCAATATGCTAAACCAACACCAAGACAGCGAGCTTTACAACAAATGAAAGATGAAGCTGAATTGGCCAATGTCTGGAGATGTATGCACCCCGCAGGAGAGAAGGACTGTACCCAGGAGAGAAGGACTGTACCCAGGAGAGAAGGACTGCACCCAGGAGAGAAGGACTGCACCCAGGAGAGAAGGACTGCACCCATTAGAGAAGGACTGTACCCATTAGAGAAGGACTGTACCCAGGAGAGAAGGACTATACCCAGGAGAGAAGGACTGTACCCAGGAGAGAAGGACTATACCCAGGAGAGAAGGACTGCACCCAGGAGAGAAGGACTGTACCCATTAGAGAAGGACTGTACCCAGGAGAGAAGGACTGTACCCATTAGAGAAGGA